AGACACACACCCGCCCCGGCGCTCGGCTCTGGGCACATCCCGCAGCCCGCTCTGATGGATTGAGGGACGCTAATCATTAATTACTGAGGAATGCGAAGCCCGCGTGAAGGTTTCCAGCTCCTCCTTCGTTGGTTCTCAGGTGACAGCTGGGGCTGGCCGCCTCCGGCCAGGGACCCCTACCCCAGATCGCTCCCCCCAGTTCTGCTCGTGGTCCCCAAGTCCGGGGAAACCAATACGAAAACAAGAGGCCACGGACCAGAATTATGTGGTCAGACTTGGGGATTCTTCTGAAGTTTCCCCCTTGGAATTGTCTCCTTGGATCTTTTCTTCACTCCACGCTCATCACCTGCATTCAGAAATTTCTGCCTTTGCACCATTAGTTTTATCAAAAAGTTTACTCTGTCGGCTCTTACAGCCTAAGGCTTAAACTGCTTTTGGTACTAGTGCTAAGCTACTAATGCTTTAACAAGACTATTCAGAGAGGAGAATACAATTAATCCAATGTATTCCAGAACACCCACACAGCTGCCCCACGCCCCAGAGACCCTCACCCCAGCTTCAGGGCTGACCACAAGTTAAAGCACGGTATTAAGGGCATCGTCCAAATGCCGCTTAAACACCAACAGGCTTGGGGCATCCGTCGACCACCTCTCCGGGAAGCCTGTTCCAGGGCATGTCCACTCTCTCGGCAAAGAAATCCTTCCTCGTGTCCAGTCTGAGCCTCCCCTGATGCAGCTCTGAACCATCCCCAGGGGTCCTGTGCCTGGAGCCCAGGGAGAAGAGCTCAGCACCTCCCTCTCCACGTCCCCTCCTCAGGAAGCTGCAGAGAGCAAGGAGGTTGCCCCTCAGCCTCTTTTCTTTTTTTTTTTTTTTTTCTTTATTTTTTCCCCCCCAAATGAGACAGAGTCCCCGGCCGCTCCTCGCAGGACATGCCTGCCAGCCTGTCGCCAGCTTGGCTGCCCTCCTCGGGACACGTTCAAGTACCTGAACGTCCTTCCCAAACGGTGGGGCCCAGCACGGTGCACGGTGCTCCCGCGGTGTCCGCGCCAGCGCTGAGCGCGGCAGGACAATCCCGTCTCTTGGCTGGGTGGCCGTGCTGTGCCGTGCCGTGCTGTGCTGGATGCACCTGGGGGGCGGTTTGCCCTCTCGGCTGCCGGGGCACGCTGCTGGCTGCTGTGGAGCTGCTGCCACCAGCACCCCCAGACCCCTTTCTGCAGGGCTGCTCCCCAGCCACTCCTCCCCCAGGTGAGACTCGTGCCCGGTGTTGCTCCATCCCAGGTGCAGAATCCAGCATTTCTTCTTGTTATGTTTCATGCTGTTGATGATTTCCCAGTGCTCCAATATATCTAAATCCCTCTGCAAGGCCTCATGCCCCTTGAGAGACTCAACAGCACCTCCCAGTTCGGTATTGTCAGCAACCTTGCTAACGGTGCGTTCAACTCCTGCATCCAGATCACCGATAAATATGTTGAACGGCGCTGGCCCTGGGATTGAGCCCTGGGGAACACCGCTGGCAAACCGGGACCAGCCAGACGTGGCCCCATTCACTACAACCCTTCGAGCTCTGCTGTCCGGCCGGTCCTTCACCCAGCGCACTGTGAACCTGCTCATCCCACAGCTGGGCAGCTTGTCCAGAAGGATGTTGTGAGGGACAGTATCAAAAGCCTTACTAAAATCCAGAAAATCTACATCTGCCGCCCTCCCTTCATCCACTATTTTGGTGACCTGCTCCTAGGAGGATATCTAATGAGTTGAACAGGACTTTCCCTTTGTGAACCCACGTTGACTGTGCCTGATTGCACTGCTTTTTAAATGCCTTTCCATAGCACCCAGCTTCATCTTCTCCAGCTCTTTTCCAGGTGCTGAGGTTAGACTCAAAGGTCTGTAGGTTCCTGGGTCTTCCCTCACGCCCTTCCTATCAATTGGAATAACACTGAGCTACTTGCAGTCAGCTGGGACCTCTCCAGACCTTTGGCAGATGATGGAGGGGGGTCGTGCCAGAACATCCACCAGCTCTTTCAGTTCTCTGGGGTGAGCTGCGTCAGCCCCCAGGGGCCTGTGACCATTCAGCTGGTGCAGCTGGTCCCTCACAATTTCAGCATCCACAAATGGAAAGTCACTGCTCCCGCACTCGTGGGCCTCCGACACCGGGGACAGGGCAGCCCAAGGTCTGGCGGTGGCGTTAAAGACTGAGGCACAAAAAGCATCGAATGCCTCCGCTTTTACTTCATCCCTATCAGTCAGGTGACCATCTTCAGGAATTATCAGCCCAATGTTTCTCTTTAGACCTCCTCTGGTTATCAACATACTTTAAAAAGCCCTTCTTGTCTGCCACAGCACTCCCTGTGGCAGCTCCAGCTGAGCTTTGGCCTTGCGTGTTCTCTCCCCACACGTGCGAGCCGCGGCTCTGTAACCCTCCTGCGGAGCCTGACCTCTCCGCCAGAGATGGTGCCACGTCTTCCTCCTCCCGAGCTCCAGGGAGGTCCCTGGCCAGCCCGGCCGGTCTCTGTGGGGACCTCAGCCGGACTGAGGCCCTGGGAAGGGACGACTTCGACCTTGAAAGGGTTCCAGTCTACCCCTGAGAGAGCAAACAAGAACAGGAGGAGCTGCAAGACGAGCAAGCTTATCGACTGCAGTAAGGGAGCACAACAGCTCTGAACCGATAAGAAAACAGACACATCGGAAGAGCTGATAACCCAGTACCTGGAGCTAGTTTTAGGTGGATAGAGATACCAGAAAGCTTGGGAGCCTGAACTTTTGAACTTTTCGTCTTACTATGCTTGCGCGATGAGCTTGTGCACATTAACTTCTCCGCCCTGGCAAGAGCCAGGGTTCATTTCCATGAACATGCGGTGTATGAACACAATCATGAAGGGGCGGGTCGGTAGGTGGACTGGAAAGTCTGAGCATCCTGTAGAAAAAGTGTAAAGGAACAAAGGAGGAGCGCAATAAAGGCTTTTGGCTTTTGTGTTAACTTGCTTTAAAGAAGAATCTGTCTTGTAGTTTTGTCCATCTGAACTGCGACCGGTCTCCCGCTTGCCTCGGGACACGCTGGGACTGCTGGCTCCTGGGCTCTTAGAGGGGGCTCCTAAAAGCCGCCCGGCTCCCGCAGACCCCCGGGCCCTCGCAGGCAGATTCCCCGGGGGACTCTGCTCAGGGGGGTCCCCGAGCAGCGTGAGATTGGCTCTTCTGAAACCCCGGGGAGCCGCTCCGCTGCCCGTTTTTCTCATTACGCCTAAAACTTTAAGCCCGACCATTTTGCGTGTCCCCACCCCGTGTCTGCCCGAGTCCTCTGGGCACAGAGGGGGCTGGGGGGGGGGGGGGGGGGGGCACCTTCCCACCGGCTCCCGGGCGCTCGGGGGTCTCGGTCAATGCCCTGCCCGTTATTTACCGGGCCCGGGCCCGGGGATGGAGCGGAGCCCCCCCCGCCCCCGCCCCGCCCCGCCCCGCCCGCCCCGCCCGCCTCTGCAGAGCCGCAGACCTGCGGGATGGGGCGGGGCCATGCAGATTAGGGAGAGCGAGGGGTGACGGGAGGCCGTGCTGCCCCAAGACGGTGCCGCTGACGGTCCGCGCGGGAGCTGCGCGGGGCCACGCGTGGGCGGCGGGAGGCGCGTGGGTGCGGGCGGGTGCCGCGTCGGGGGAGGCGGGCGAGAGGGCCGGGGTGCCGCGTGTTGTGTGTGGGTGCGGCGGGGTGGTCCCCGGGGCGCGGGGAGCAGAGTTATACTTACCTGGCAGGGGAGACACCATGATCAGGCAGGTGGTTTTCCAGGGCGAGGCTCATCCCCTGCACTCCGGGTGTGCTGACCCCTGCGATTTCCCCAAATGCGGGAAACTCGACTGCATAATTTGTGGTAGTGGGGGACTGCGTTCGCGCTCTCCCCTGGTGTCCGTGGTGGAACGACAGATCCCGAATCGAGAGTGGGTCCCGTGGGCTGTGCGGGCCCACTGCCCGCGGCCGCCACGTTCCCCGCGGGAGTGGGGTCCCCGCGGCCGGGGGCTGCGGGCGGAGCTGCGGCCGTGCCCCCGCGGCTCGGGCTCCGCTGTCCCCGCCGGCCGGGGGTGTCGCGCCGGGAGGAACCGGACGCGTCGCGGCCCGAACCCGAGCGGGACCGGCGCCGCTTCCGCCGCCTCGAGCCGCCCGCGGGGTCGACACCCGGAGCTCGCGTGGAGCCCGAGTCTCGTCTCCCGTTGCCGCCCACGCGCGGCCGGGCCGGAGCTCGTGTTCGCCGTGGGGCGAGCCGGGCTTCGGCCACGGGCTCTCGGCAGCCGCGAGAAGCAGCGCGGGGCCGCCGCCGCCCCCGCGGGATTTGCGGGGGAGCCGGGACCCGCCCCCCGAGGCTGATGTGCGGCCGCTTCCCACGCGCGGCGGGACGGAGCGTGGGCACCGCGCTCGCGGGAGCTGTGACGTCTGCTGTTCCACCACGGACACCAGGGGAGAGCGCGAACGCAGTCCCCCACTACCACAAATTATGCAGTCGAGTTTCCCGCATTTGGGGAAATCGCAGGGGTCAGCACACCCGGAGTGCAGGGGATGAGCCTCGCCCTGGGAAAACCACCTGCCTGATCATGGTGTCTCCCCTGCCAGGTAAGTATAACTCTGCTCCCCGCGCCCCGGGGACCACCCCGCCGCACCCACACACAACACGCGGCACCCCGGCCCTCTCACCCGCCTCCCCCGACGCGGCACCCGCCCGCACCCACGCGCCTCCCGCCGCCCACGCGTGGCCCCGCGCAGCTCCCGCGCGGGCCGTCAGCGGCACCGTCTTGGGGCCGCACGGCCTCCCGTCACCCCTCGCTCTCCCTAATCTGCATGGCCCCGCCCCACACCCGCGAATCCCCGCCCCCTCGCCCCCGCCCGGCTCTGTGCCCGCGTTCTCCGTGGCCCCGCCCCGGTGTCCCTCCCGTACGCCGCCCCCCCCCCCGGTACCGGGGCTCTTCCCCAGCACGGGCGGGCGTGGGACGGCCGGCAGCCCCGCGAAGCAGTCGGACAGACACACGGAAAGGGCGCTGCGGGCTTTATTCCTCCTCATCCTGCGCCGTGCCCAGCCAGACCCCAGCGCACGAACCCCCCCAGCACCCGGAGCCCCCCCCAATCCTCCTCCTGCCCCCAGCAGCGCCGATGCGCCCCCCCTCCCCGCTCAGGGGGTCTTGGCTTTCCGTCGCTGCGTGCCCCACAGCAGGAGGGACAGGGACAGGGTGACGCCGCCCAGGATCCCGCAGAAGAGCAGAACGGGGAAGGTGCCCTGCAAAGAAGGAGCAGTGAGAAGCATTGCCCCCGCCCCGCCCTGGGAGGGGGGCACTCGGGGATTTGGGGGGGGGGTCCCATCTCGTGGGTGCTCACCTGCCGCAGGCACTTGTAGCCATGGAAGGGGCTGTCGCACAGGCACTGGACAAGGCCGGGTCCGTCCGGTGCACAAACGGCATTCTCAGGGCACAGCCAGGCTGGTGGAGCAGAGCCGGGGGGGGGGGGGGGGTTACAGGGCCAGGGCCCCCCCCCCCCCCGCCGCCAGCCCCCCCCCCCAGTGCTGGGGCTGCAGCCCCCCGCCGTACCCAGCTCCCCGGAGCCGTTGCAGGAGTTCCTCTGGCCTTGGCACAGCCGGTTGCTCCCGTGCGTCGTCACCTCCTCCCAGGCACTGCTCCCCCCCGGGCACTCCAGCACCAGCGGCACCGCGCTGGGGAGCAGAGCTCAGCACCCGGCACCGGCCCCCCCCCCCCCCCCCCGTGTGCCCCCCAACCCCCCGGTACTCACAGGCGCTGCAGGCGGGTGAAGCCCAGGAAGGTGCCGTTGGGGAGCGGTGCCAGGGGGTTCTCTGTCAGGTCCCTGCAAACACAAGCCGGGTGCCGTGGACACCCCCCCCCCCCCCCCCGTGGGTGCACAGGCCTGGGGGTGCCCCTGTGCAAGGCTGGTGGGGTGTGGAATGGGGGGGGGGGGTGGGTGTCCCCTCTCTGTGCCACATCACTGCCCGGGGCCAGGCTGCTCCCCAGCAGGGACACCAGCCCCAGAGAAGGGACAAGGTACCTCCAGGAAAGTGTCAAGAGGGTCACAGACCGGTTTGGGTGGGAAGGGACCTTAAAGCCCCCCCAGTGCCCCCCCCTGCCCCGGGCAGGGCCCCCTTCCCCCAGCCCAGGGGGCTCCCAGCCCCGTCCAACCTGGCCTTGAACCCTTCCAGGGAGGGGGCAGCCACAGCTGCTCTGGGCACCCTGGGCCAGCGCCTCAACACCCTCATAGTAAAGAATTTATTTCTTATATCTAATCTAAATCTATCCTCTTTCAGTTTAAAACCGTTACACCCCACCCCCTGACCCAGAGTCCCCCCCCCTCCCCACCTCCCCTGTCCCCCCTTTAAGCCCTGGGAGGCCACTCTCAGGGTCCCCCCGGAGCCTTCTCTTCTCCAGGCTGAACCCCCCCAACTCTCTCAGCCCGGCCCCCCAGGGGAGCTGCTCCAGCCCCCCCAGCATCTCCGTGGCCTCCTCTGGCCCCGCTCGAGCAGCTCCGGGTCCTTCTGCTGTTGGGGGCCCCCGAGCTGGCCCCAGCACTGCAGGGGGGTCTCCCCAGAGCGGAGCAGAGGGGGAGAATCCTCCCCTCTCGCCCTGCTTGGGGGTGCCCCCACCCACAGGCAGGACCTTGTGCTTGGCCGTGTTGAATCTCATGAGGTTGGGGTGCGCCCACCCACTCGGGCGCCCCCTCCAGCGAGCCAGCCGCACCCCGCGGTGCTGTGCCACCCCCAGACCCGCCGAGGGTCCGCTCGATCGCGGCATCATCAGTGACATCGAACGCTACTGGCACCCGCATGGACCCCCGAGGGACACCCACCCCCAGCTGCCGACCTCCCCCTGGACGTGGCTGCCCAGCCCCGAGCCGGCGGTTCCCAGGGTGTGGGTCCTAGAAATGGGGGTGATGTTTCCCTTTTTTCCTTTTTTTTTTTTTTTTTTCCTTTTTCCCCAGGACTCCCCCCCCCCCCACTCTGGCCACCACCGCTGTTCAAAGAGGGTGGGTGTCCCTCTGGGCAGCAGGGTGCTGGAGGGAGAGGGGGCGCGGGGGGGCTCGGCGCGGGGGGTGGGGGGTCCCACGAGGGAAGGGGGTGGGGACGGGACACCCGGACTCACACGACGACGGCGGCGGCGGCCTCGGGGAACCCCGGGGGGGGGCTGCGCAGGGAACAGTCGCTCAGGTCCAGCCTGGGGGGGGGGGACGGACGGACACACGGACACACGGACACGTCACGCGCACGGTACCCCCCCCCCCCCCCCGCGTGCCCCTCCACCCCAAACATCCGCCCCGTACCCCAGCAGCCGCTCCGGGCCCCCCCCCCCGCTCCCGGCAGCAGCGCCCGTCGGTCTCGGCGCCGGCCCGGGACGCGCAGTACCGGGAGACGAGGGACCCGTTCCGCACCGGCCCCGGGCAGCTCCCGCACACCGGGAGCCGGGGGGGGCGGCGGGGCCCGGGCACCTCCGGGACCCCCAGGGACCCCCCGGGAACCGGCACCCCCCGCCCCGCACCGCCGGGCCGCGGCAGGACGAGGAGGAGGAGGAGGAGGAAGGCGCCCATGCTCCCGGGCACACGCCCCACCCCCCCGGGGCTCTTCCGGCACCGCCCCGCCGGCGCGAGGTCGCCCCCTGGCGGGCACAGTGGGCCTGGAGGACCGCCCCACCCCCCTCCGGGGGCGGCCTCTGGACCCCGACCGGGGCCGGGGGGGGGGGGGGGGGCGGTACCGGGGCGCGGTGACCTGCCCGGGGCGGCGGAGCGCGGCGGCACCGCCCCCGACCCCCCCCCCCAAACTCACACACACACCGTGTGACGCCATCACGGTGCGCCGCGGCCGGGCGGAAGTGTCCGGTGAGGGCAGCGCTGCCCGCCTCTGACGTCATCAAGGGCGCGCCGGCGGCGGTCGGGGCGGCACGTGGGGCGAGCTCTGCCGCGCCGGTCGCCGCCGCCGGTGAGTGTCGCAACGTGGGCGGGGGGTGTCCCGCTGTCCGTACCCCCGTCTGTCACCCCAAAAGGTCACCGTACCCCCCTCCTCCCCCCCTCCCCCGGCTCCGCTCCGGTCACACGCCCGGGCTGGGGCTCGTCTCGCCCCGGCCGGTACCGGGGAACCGGAGCTGGGGCCTCGGTCACTGGGGGAGAGGGGGGGCTGGGGTCACGGGGGACACCGGGGCGGGGGCAGGGCCGTGGCCTGGGGTCACCGGGGACACCGGAGGGGGGGCAGGGCCGTGGCCCTGGGGTCACCGGGGACACCGGGGAGGGGGGGCAGGGCCGTGGCCTGGGGTCACCGGGGACACCGGGGAGGGGGGGCAGGGCCGTGGCCTGGGGTCACCGGGGACACCGGGGAGGGGGGGCAGGGCCGTGGCCCTGGGGTCACCGGGGCGGGGGCAGGGCTGTGGCCTGGGGTCACCGGGGTCACCGGGGAGGGGCAGCGGTGCCGGGAGGGAGGTCACCGAGGTCACGGGGGAGCGAGGAAGAGTAAGGCGGGGGACAACGGGGAAACGGGGATGGGGAAGTAGGGCGGGAGATGGCGAGGTCACGGGGAGCACAGAGGGGAGCACGGGTCAGCCCGGGGCTGGGGGGCACTGGGTCTGGGGGGGGGATGTGGGGATATCGAGAGGGAGCAGCGGGATCACTGGGGTGCGAGGTCTGGGGGGTGCTGGGTTTGAGGGGGGGACACGATGCGGATTGGGGACACAGGGACATCAGGGGAGGGAGCAGCAGGGACACTGGGGAGCAGGGGCTGGGGGTGCTGGGTTTTGGGGGGGGGTCGGACACAAGGACCTCAGGGGAGGGAGCTGTTGTGTCGCCGGAGAGCAGGGTCTGGGTGTGCTGAGTTTTGGGTAGGGGGGGACACGGGGACAGCAGGAGAGAGAGCAGTGGGGTCACCAGGGAGGAGGGGCTGGGGCTGGGGGTGCTGGGTTTAGGGGAGGGGGGGACATGGCATGGACTGGGAACATGGGGACATCAGGGGAGGGGGCGGCAGGGTCACTGGGGAGTGGGGTCTGGGGCTAGGGGTGCTGGGTTTAGGGGAGGGGGGGACATCAGGGGAGGGAGCAGCGGGGTCACTGGGGAGCGGGGTCTGGGAGTGCTGGGGTTTGGGTTTGGGGACACAGGGACATCAGGGGAGGGAGTAGGGGGGGGTCACTGGGGAGCGGGGGCTGGGGCTGGGGACACGGGGGGGGGACGCCGTGGCTTGAGGCAGCGGAGCCTGAGGGACACTGAGGGGCCCCCGGGGTACGGGGGAGCCTTGGGCTGGAGCCGTGCGGCACCGCCGGCCCCGTGTTTAATCTCTGCGGTGGAATGCGGTTGGGGTGACCTTGGACCCTGCCCGGGAGCTGCGCGGCGCGGGGCTGGCGTCGGGGACGGGGACGGCGGCGTGGGAGGTGCTGCCCTCTCACCCCCTTCCCGCCGCGGCCCCGTGCCAGCGCGGCCGCCCCAGTCCCCAGACTGGGGGTGCCAGGCGGGGGGCCCGGCCTAATCCCCCCAGGTATGCTCCGGGCAGACATTCCTCCCGGGATCACGGCGGGCGCAGTGCCAGCCTGCGCCCCCCCCCCCCCGCCCCACCAGCCCGGTTTTCTCCCCTGTGCTGCCCCGTGGCAGCCCCTAACGCTGCCCCACTGGTATGGCAGAGTGGGGGTCCCTCTGTATCCCGCACCCCTCACCCCGCTGGTGCCCACTCCTGGTTCCCTGCTGGCAGAGGTGGGGGGGTCCCAGCTGGAGCCGGGAGCGGGGGCAGAGGCTCAGCAGGGACCCCCACGGATGTGCCTTTTGGGGGGGGCAGTGGGGTGCCAGGGCCGGCAGCAGCTCAGGCGTCTGCTCCGTCCGGCTGCCGCCCAGACCCTCGGAGTCTGGCAGCCCCCCTCCGCCCATCCGTCCGTCCGTCCACAGCTGCGTGGGGTGCGCATCGTGGGGGTCGCCCTGCCCAACTGGGCGAGGGTGCCAGGGCACCTCCTCGCCAGCACAGACTGGGCTCCACTGCCCGTCCGTCCACCCGGCCCTGTCCGTGTGTCTTGCGGGGTGGGGGGGCTGCTGGCGGGGCCGGTATTGCAGGGTGGGCTGCTGGGGGGGGGGGGGGCGGTGCTGGCCCCGGGGTGCCCGGCTGGCGCCAGCGCCGGGGCGGTTGTGCCGGGCTTGGCTGGGCGCTGGTACCGGGGGCGGTTGGCGGGGCTGCGCGGTGCCGGCGCAGTTGGGTCCTGTTGGGTTTGGCAACGGCGGGACCGGTGCTGCCGGGCTTGGCAGGGCTGCCCTGTACCGGGGGCGGTTGTGTTGGGTTTGGCAACGGCGGGACCGGTGCTGCCGGGCTTGGCGGGGCTGGCAGGGCCGGTGCTGCCGGGGTGGGACTGTTTTTGCAACCGCGGCCTCGGCGCTCTTTGGAAGAGGCACCCGTTTCCCTTGGCGGGAGCAGCCGGGGAGGGGAGGGGGGGGTGGGCGCCGAGGTGCCGAGCCCAGCCCAGAGGGAGGAGGAGGGTGAAGGGGACGTTCCTTTTCCAGCCTGGCCCCCCCCTCCCCGCACCGGCTCCTTAAGGCTGAGACAGCAGCGAGCGAAGGTCCCTGCAGCGGCGCCTGGTTCAGCTCCCGGCACGGCCCGACGCCCGTCCCTCGTCCCGCAGCACCGAGCGCCGGGGAGATGCTGGCCAGGACCCGCTGCCGGGGTGGCTGCTGGGGTTCGGCGTGCCCATGAAGGCGGCGGGGCGCAGCCGGGGCGGGCGGCGGGGCAGCGGCGGCGCAGCGGCAAGAGGAGAGGCTCGCCATGGAGTTCACGGTGATCGACTACAGCATCTTCGCGCTGCTGCTGGTGCTGTCCTCGGCCATCGGGCTCTTCTACGCGCTGAGCGGGGACCGGCAGCGCACGGTGCAGGAGTTCCTCCTGGCCAACCGCAACATGGGCTTCTTGCCCGTCGCCCTCTCCTTGCTGGCCACCTTCCAGTCGGCCGTGGCCATCCTGGGCGTGCCGGGCGAGATCTACCGCTTCGGCACTGAGTACTGGTTCCTCGGCTGCTCCTACCTCCTGGGGCTGCTCATCCCGGCCCACGTCTTCATCCCCGTCTTCTACCGCCTGCGCATCACCAGCACCTACGAGGTGAGCGGGGCGGGCGGGGGGACGAGCTGGTGTCACCCGGCGGGGGGGGGGGGGGGGGGTTTGCCTCCCAGTGCCTCGCTGCCCCACACCTCTGGCCCCCAGCCTGCCCGGCCCCGCTCTGTCTGTGCGGCAGTGGGGGCTGAGGCGCTGGGGCAGGGCTGACTGCCCCCCCGGGGCTGGGGGTGGGATGTGGGGAGACATCCCCCCCTGCTCAGGACCCCGCAGGGCCCTCACCCATCTCCCCCCCCCCTGCCCCCCAGTACCTGGAGCTGCGCTTCAACAAGACGGTGCGGGTCTTCGGCACCGTCACCTTCATATTCCAGATGGTCATCTACATGGGGGTGGTGCTGTACGCGCCCGCGCTGGCCCTCAACGCCGGTAACGGGGGGGACGGGAGCGCGGGGGGGTGACGCTGGGCACCCCATCCTGTATGGGGAGGGGGGTGGGCTGCTGTTGCCCCCCCGCTCCCGGCTCCTTAACAGCCTCTGCCCGCTTCCAGTGACGGGCTTTGACCTCTGGAGCGCGGTGCTCACCATGGGGCTGGTCTGCACGCTCTACACCACGCTGGTGAGTCCCTGCCCGCCGCGCCGCCGGCCGTGCCGGTGCCGGTGCCGGTGCCGGGGGTGACGGGCGCCGTGCCTCCGCAGGGCGGGCTGAAGGCCGTCATCTGGACCGACGTCTTCCAGACGCTGGTGATGTTCGCCGGGCAGCTGGCCGTCATTGTGGTGGGCGCCCGGCGGGTGGGCGGCATGGCCCGCGTCTGGCGCCTGGCCGAGCAGGAGGGGAAGATCTCCGGCGTCGAGTGAGCGGCCGTGGGGGGCACGTGGGGCGGGTGGGAAGGGTTTGGGGGTGTGGGGGAAGGACCCCAGCGTGGTGCTGGGGTAGGGGGCATTCCTGCTGCCCTTCCCTGCGCGGTGCTGGTAAGCACCGGGCACCGTGACCCCCAACCTCCCGGCAGCCTGGACCCCAACCCCTTCGAGCGTTACACCTTCTGGACCCTGGCCGTGGGGGGTGTCTTCATGATGCTGTCGCTGTACGGGGTGAACCAGGCGCAGGTCCAGCGGTACCTCAGCGCCCGCAGCGAGTGGGAGGCCAAGCTGTGAGTGGGGTTTTTTTTTTTTTTTTTTTGGTGTGGGGAGGGTCCCACCTATGGCCACAAGCCTCCCCGCCCCCCCCCTCACCACCACCTCTGGCGCCCGCAGCTCCTGCTACGCCGTCTTCCCCTGCCAGCAGATCATCCTCTGCCTCAGCTGCCTGATGGGTCTCGTCATGTTCGTCTACGACCGGGAGCACCCACTGGCACCCACCCAGCGCCCCGGATCCTCCGACCAGGTGGGTGGCCGGGCCCCCCTCCCACAACCCACAACCCACGGGGCCGGATCCTGCTCCCCCGCTGACTGCCCCCCCGCTGCCCTAGCTGGTGCTGTACTTCGTGATGGACGTGCTGCAGGACCTGCCGGGGCTGCCGGGGCTCTTTGTCGCCTGCCTCTTCAGCGGGTCCCTCAGGTGAGCGGGCAGCCCTGGGGGGCGGCAGGGCTGGAGTCGGGGGGGGGTCCCAGCTGAGCCCCCCCCCCCTCATCTTCCCCAGCACCATCTCCTCCGCCTTCAACTCGCTGGCCACGGTGACGATGGAGGACCTGGTCCGGCCCCACTGCCCCGGGCTGTCGGAGTCACGGGCCACGTTGTTCTCCAAGCTGCTGGGTGAGCGGCGGGGGGGGGGTCCCGGGGCCGGCGGTGGCACTTGGGGGTCGCCGGTGCTGCTGTGACCTGCCCCCCACCCACCGTGGCTCCTCTCCCCAGCTCTTGGCTATGGATTGCTCTGCCTGGGGATGGCCTACGTCTCCTCCATGCTGGGCCCTGTGCTGCAGGTACGGGGCGGGGCGCGGGGCCCCCCAGCTCCAGCACGCTGTGGGGTGCGAGCTGGCGCTGAGGGACGTGTCCCTGCAGGCGGCCATCAGCATCTTCGGCATGGTGGGGGGCCCGCTCCTGGGGCTCTTCTGCCTGGGCATGTTCTTCCCCTGTGCCAACCCCGTGGTGAGTGTCCCCCGTGCCCGGGGGGGGGGGGTGGGGACACAGACCCCACGGGAGACTTGGGGGGGGGGGGGGGGGGGGCGGGTGCTGGGGCACCCCGAGCCCGGGCTGGGGTCAGCACCCTCCTCCCCCGGCACAGGGTGCCGTCGTGGGGCTGCTGGCGGGACTGGCCATGGCTTTCTGGGTGGGCATCGGCAGCCTGCTGCACAACATGGGGGGGGGCCGGGGGGGCCCCCCCATCCAACGGTACCGCACTCCCCGCTGCCGGCAACCTCACCACTGCCCTCGCCACCACCTTGCTGGCCCCCACGCCGCCCCCCCAGAGGTGAGCAGGACTGGGGGGAGGTGGGCCGTGGGATTTGGGGGGGGGGGGGCGTGTGTGTGTGTGCCTCTCTCTGCCCCACCCCCGGCCTCACCCCTGTCTCCTCCTGCAGCCCCACGGGGCTGCAGAAGTTTTACAGCCTGTCCTACATGTGGTACAGCGCCCACAACTCCACCACCGTCATCCTGGTGGGGCTCCTGGTCAGCCTGCTCACCGGTGAGTGCGGGGGGGCAGGGGGGCTGGCAGCGGGGGCCGCCCCCCCGCTCACCTTCCTCTCTGCACCCCCCCAGGCCCCACGCCGCCGGCGGCCGTGGACCCCCGCACCATCTACCCCGTGCTGCCTCGCCTGCTCTGCTGCCTGCCCCAGAAGTACCGGCAGAAGCTCTGCTGCGGCGTGGGCTTCCCCCCCGAGGTGGGGGGCCCAGACCCCAGCACCCCTTGGCGGGGAGGGGGGAAGGCACAGGGTCAGTGCCCCACCACCACCTCGTGCTCCAGCTGCCCCCCACCCCGCTTTGTGTCCCCCCCTCAGGACACCGACCATGCGGACGCCGTGGTGAAGAGCAACGGGGTGGCCAACGGCCTGCCCCCCCCCGGCCCCGGGCGGCGGGAGGAAGAGGAAGGACAGGGTTACATCCGCACGGCCGGGGTCCCCACCTACACCCTGCAGGAGACCTCCTTCTGACCCCCCCACCCCCCTGGCATGGGGGAGTCCCAGCCACCCCCTGTGCCCTTCCCCAGTGCCCCCCCCACGGCCAGAGGGGCACGGACCCCCCCGGGGGGTGCCTCTGCACAGGGCTGGGGAGCACCAAATACCGGGGAGGGGCTGGGTCCCCGGGGGGGGGGGCGGGGGGAAGTCCAGGGTCTCTCTGCCTGCACCCACACCAGTCTGGCCCCAAGCTGGGGGGCTCTGGGACCACAGGGGGGGTGTGGGGGAGCGATTCCCTCTTCCCCGACCCCCTCCCGGGACATGGGTGCTGCCCATGTGCCTTTACCGCACCCCTCCTGCACTGGGAGCCCCCCCAGGGTGCCGAGCACCCGACACCCCGCCCCCCCCCGCTGTCACCCATCTCTGTGTTCACTGTCCCCCCAATAAATGGTTCTGGAGCGCAAGTGACCAGCCCCCTCCCCGCCAGCCCCCAGGGAGGCTGTGGGGATGCGGGGGGGGGGGGAGCCCCCGCGGGAGCCTCGCCAGCTGGGGGAGATTTTTGGCCGTGGCCCCTTTCCCACGACGCAGGGCCGGGGGGGGGGTCCTGGCCCAGGGTGAGGGTCCTGGGTGGGGGGGCCCATCCTGAGGCAGGAGACCAGCGGCGGGTGCTCACTGCAGGTTTATTGCTGCGGGTGGGGCCAAGCAGCCCCCAGCCCCTCTGTGGGGCACCCCCCAGGCTGGGTAGGGGGGGTGCAGCACCAGCCCCATGGTGGGAGCTCCCACCGGGGCCCACCCTGAGTGTCCCCAGGGGTCCTGGCCCGGGTCCTGCCCCACTGGGGGCATCCCCCTGCCCACCCTGTGCCCGTGGGACCCCTGTGTGGGATGGGGGGGGTCAGGGTGTCCCCTCTGCCCACCCTGCGCCTGTGGATTCCCCCCATCCTTGTTGCTGCCCCCCGACCCCCACCCCGGGGCACAGCCCCCCCATGCCGTGGGGAGAGGGCAGATGTGGGGGGGTCACCCCCGTTGCCAGCCTGCTGACCCCCAGGTCTGTGTGCTCACGGCTGCCAGCGGCTGTGGCTGCCCCGGGGGGGGGTTAGGGCCGGGTCCCCCCCAAGGGCCGGCGTAGAGGTGGGAGCGCAACGGGGAGGGGGGGGGCTGGAGAGCCGCCCCTCATCCTGCTGCTGCTACCCCCAAATCTGGGGACGGGGGGGGGCAACCCCTGGGCCCGGCTGCTGGCATGCACAGGGGGTACCGGGGTGCGCTCACACGAGGGGTGATGTGCCGGGGGGGCTGTGTCGTCCCCCCCCCCAGGAAAGGGGTTGCCCTGGGTCTCACCTTGAGGGGGTGCAGCAGCGGGTGCCCGTGGAGCGGGGGGGGGGGGGCGGGCAGGGGGGCCGTGGACCAGCCCGTGGCTGAGGTGGGCGATGCAGGTGGTGGCCAGGACCAGTGTGTCCCGCTTGGAGAGCTTGGTGCGGGGGGGGGCATGGCGGGGGGGGGCGTGTCAACGGGCTCCCGGCACCCCCCGGCTGAGGGTTGGGGTGGGCACCCCGAGGGGGGACAGAGCCCGTCCACTTGTGCCGGGTGAACCCAGACCCACGGCGTAGCTGCGCCCACGGGGCCGCGTCCCACCCGGCCACCTGCACCCCACTCGTCACCCCCCCCATCTCAGCCTTGCCTGCGACCTGCACCCCCTCCCCACGGCAGCCCCCACCCAAAAGGCCTTTTGTGCCAGCCGGCTTTGGGGTGCAGTGGGTGGCAGGCGTATCCCTGGGGGGCTCCCCGCTACCACCCCGTGCGTGGGGTCCATGGGGGGGGGGTCCTTACCTGCGCTGCTGCCGGGGGGCCCCCAGGGCACCGAGGCGGGCAGATGAGGGCCGTGGGGTCCTGTGCCGGGCAGGTTTCGGGGGGCTGCGGGCACCCCTTCTGCCACGGGAGCCAGAGGTGACCGGGGAGCTGCTGTACCCCGCTCCGCGCCCCCCCGTGCTCTCAGCCACGCCGGGCCCCTCCGGCAGCCCCCCCCCTCCCCTGCCCACGCCTCAGCCCACGCGAAGGGCTCGGGGTGCCCCCGGGGGGAGCGCGGCTGCGTCCCTCCCGCCACGCCGCGGTCTCGCCTCCCCCTCCTTGGCACGGAGGGATGAGCGGGAGGATTCGGGCTGTCCCAGCCGGAGCCTCCCCCCGGCCCGGGCAGGGGACCCACGCGGGGGTGCGGGGGTCACGCCGTGATTCCACCCGGGCACCCACGGTAAGGTGGGAGCCCACTGCTGCGTGGGGTGCAGGCAGCTGGCGGCCCGTCCCCACAGCTCCAGCATGGAGCCGGCGGCACCCCCGCGCCCACATTCCCCGTGGGGTGTGGACCCCCCCGCGAGGGGCCGGGGGAGGCCGGTGAGGGAGGGGCACTGCCAGCTCAAAGCTGGGATGGGGAGGGGGACCCACACACCCCCACGGGGACCCACACGGCCCCCTGCCACGCCGTGGGGCTCTGAGAGTGGGGACGGTGGGGCTGGGGGCTGAGGGGGGCACCCCGGGACCCCCGCGCCGGGCCCCTCCTGCGCCGCGGGGATGTTCCCCCGCGGCCGTGGGGGCCGGGACGGGCAGCGTGCCCACGGGTGACCGGCGGGGGCGGGGCTAGGGATGGTGGGGGGCGGGGTTTGGGGCCGTGGGGCGGGGTTATGGATGACGGAGGCGCGTTTACGGATGGAGGGGGCGGGGTTATGATGGTGGGGCGGAGCTCGCTGTGGAGGGGCAGGGCTAGGGGCGGGGGCTATGAATGGTGGGGGGCGGGGTTAGGGTGCTACGGGGGCGTGGTTGTTGGGCGGGGCTATGGGGGAATGGGCGGGGCTATGGGGAATGGGCGGGGCTATAACGGGGTTGGGGGGGTTGGGAACGGCGGAGCGGGGCTGGGGGCGGGGCTTAGCGGCATGGCTGGGCGGTGCTTGTGCGGCGGGGTTGCCGTGGGCGGGGCCTGCGCGGTGACGCACGCACGCACGCACGCACGCACGCACGGGGCGCAGCCATGGCGCCGAGGCGTCCGGCCGAGCTGTACCGGGCGCCGTTCCCGCTGTACACCGTGCGGCTGCACCCGCGGCGGCCCCTCGCCATCACCGCGGGCGGCGGCGGCGCCGCCAAGACCGGCATCCGCAACGGCGTGGTGCGTGGGGGGGCGCGGGGGGGCGGGGGGCAGGTCCCCGCCGCGCTGGGCGCACTGGGAGCTGAGGCTGTGCCCCCCCCCCCCCCCCGTGTCCCGCAGCACTTCCTGCAGCTGGAGCAGGTCGGGGGGCAGCTGAGCGCCTCGCTGCTCCACTCCCACGACACGGAGACCCGCGCCACCATGACCATGGCGCTGGCCGGGGACATCATCGCCGCGGGGCAGGACGCCAGCTGCCACATCCTCCGCTTCACCCTGCGGCCCCCCGCCACCGCCACGCGTGACGGTGAGACACTACCCCCCCACACCACCACGCATCACCCCGCCACGCGTGACGGTGAGACACCCCCCCACACACACACGCATCACCCTGCCACGTGTGACGGTGAGACACCCCCCCACACACACACACACGCATCACCCCGCCACGCGTGACGGTGAGACACTACCCCCCCCCACCACCACGCATCACCCCGCCACGCGTGACGGTGAGACACCCCCCCACACACACACACGCATCACCCCGCCACGCGTGACGGTGAGACACGCCCCCCCCCACACACATCACCCCGCCACGCGTGGCAGTGAGACACCCCCCCACACACACACACATGCATCACCCTGCCACGCGTGACGGTGAGACACCCCCGCCCCCACACACACACACGCATCACCCCGCCACGCGTGACGGTGAGACACCCCCCACACACACACGCATCACCCCGCCACGCGTGACGGTGAGACACCCCCACACACACACACGCATCACCCCGCCACGCGTGACGGTGAGACACCCCACACACACACACACACACGCATCACCCCGCCACGCGTGGCAGTGAGACACCCCCCCACACACACACACACGCATCACCCCGCCACGCGTGACGGTGAGACACCCCCCCCCACGCATCACCCCACCACGTGTGACGGTGAGACACCCCCCCACACACACACGCATCACCCCGCCACGCGTAACGGTGAGACACCCCCACACACCCCCACACACACACGCATCACCCCACCCCCCCCCCCGGGGGTTGTGCGACAGCACCCGCCGTGGGCTCCGGGGTGCTTTGGGGGTGCAGGACCCTGCTATCCGGCCGCGGGGAGCTGTGTCGGGGGGCTCCGTGCCCAGTGTGTCCCCCCCCCCCTTCTCCTCGCAGGCGGTGCGGAGAAGGGGCTGCGGAAGCGGAGGGGCCCCAGCGCGGCGGGGCAGGGGGCCGGGGGGAGCCAGGCGAGCGAGGTGACGGTGGAGAGCCTGCGCAGCGTCCGCACCGATTTCAGCCCCGACGCCCTGCAGAAGGCCGTCCGCTTCAACGACGACGGCTCGCTGCTCGTCACCGGCGGCGCCGACGGCTTCCTCCGCCTCTGGGAGGTGGGTGCCGGGGGGGGGGAGATGAGGCCGGGGGGGCTGGCACGCCAGGCCCCAGCGGTTCCGTTACGCTGCGCTTTCCCAGCGCTTTGGCCCCCCCTCGGGGAGCGCTGGCCCGCCGGGCACACCTCCGATGCCCGCTCTGCCCTCGCAGTTCCCCAGCATGAAGAAGACGCTGGAGTTCAAAGCCCATGACGGGGAGATTGAAGACATTGCGCTGGGCCCTGACAACAAGGTGAGAGTCGGGGGGTGGGTGGGGGCTCCCCAGCCACTCCCCCCGTCCCTGGGGTGGGGGGGAGCCGCCCAGGGACGCCCGTGCTCCCTCTGCGCAGGTGGTGACGGCGGGACGGGACTTCCAGTGCTGCGTGTGGCAGCGGGACCAACTGGTGACGGGGTTGCACTGGAACGAGAACCTGCCCGGCATCCCCGACAAGGCTTACCGCTACCAGGCCTGCCGGTGAGAGCAGGGGGGCTGGGAACCCCCCTGCTAGGGGGCTGCGCTTCCCCCCAGCCCCTGCCACGTCCCCCCCCCCATAAGCTCTGCGCGCTGGTTCAGCACCCCGTGCTTCCCCGCGGCAGGTTCGGGGCCGTGGAGGACAGCGCCGGGGCGCTGCGGCTCTACACGGTGCAGGTGCCCCACAAGCGGGAGCGCCGGCCCCCCCCCTGCTACCTGACCAAGTGGGACGGGAAAACCTTCCTGCCGCTGCTGACCCGGCCCTGCGGCAGCGAGGTGGTCTCCTGCCTCTCCATCAGGTACTGAGGGAACCGGGTGAGCGCGGGGCTGGGGGGGGGGTCACACCACCCCCTGCTCATTCTGTGTGTGTTTTCCACCCCCACCCTCGCAGTGATTCAGGCACTTTCCTGGGGCTGGGCACAGTGACGGGCTCCGTCGCCATCCACATCGCCTTCTCGCTGCAGGTGAGCTGAGGGGGGGGGATTGGACACCCACACCCCCTCCTCCCCGCGGCCAGGCTGCCTCAGCCCCCCCCCGCACCCCGCAGAGGCTGTACTACGTGAAGGAGGCGCACGGCATCGTGGTGACGGACGTGGCCTTCCTCCCCGAGAGCCGGCGCGGGCGCGAGCTGCTGGCGGGGAACGAGGCCGCCCTGCTCAGCGTCGCCGTCGACAGCCGCTGCAAGCTGCACCTCCTCCCCACCCGCCGTAGGTGCCGGGGAGCGGGTGGGGAGGGGGGTTACCCGGGGGGTGTGTGTGTGTTGGGGGGGGGGGGGGCTCCCCCTCCTCACACCCCTCCTCACACCCCTCCCTTTCCCAGGCTCCCTCCCCGTCTGGCTGCTGCTGCTGCTCTGCGCCGGGCTCATCGTGGCTGCCATCCTGCTGCTGCAGCTCACCTTCCCGGGGTTCCTCTGAGACCCCCCACCCCGCTCAGCGCCAGGATAGATCCCCCCCCCCCCCCTGCACTCCCGCCCCCCCAAGCAGACTGTGAAGCAGATGAGGGACCAGCCCCGGACCCGCTGGCATTTGGGGAGCGGGCAAGGGGCTCGGGGGCCGCGCGGGACCCCAGCCCAGCAGGACTGTGCTGGTATTGGCATGGAGCTGGCCCCGGGTGGGGGGGGAGTGTGTTTTGGGGAGGGGGTTTTGGGGGGGGTTCGCACCAGCCTTTCGCCCTACTGCTGCCATTAAAACTGGGGTGCGAAGGCAGTGCTCGTCCTGTCTGTGCTGTGGGGGGGGACACCCCCCCCCGGGCCCACGCTGTGCCCCTCACAGCCCCCTCCCCGTCCCCCCTCGGGAAAGAGGGGGGCTTGAGGTGTCACCCGCCGTCCCGGTGTGGAGGCCACGCCCCCTTTGTGGAGGCCACGCCCCCCCGGGCGGAGAGCGCGCCCCCCTGGACTTGCCCCTCCCTCTTCTGGCCACGCCTCCCCGTGTGGCTCCGCCCGCCACGGCCCCACCCCTGAGCGGGCACGGGTCGGGCCGGCGGCCATCTTTGAGACGGGCGCAGGGTGCCGGTTAACCCCTGCGCTGCCGGCGGAACGCAGCCGGCGGCCCCCCACACCTCCCGGGGGCGTCGCGGGTGGGGGCTGACCCCCCCCACACCCCCACACACACCCCCACTCACCTCCCCCGGGGCGGGGGAGGAGCCGGTGTGCGGGGCGGGTCCCGGCCGGTGCCGGTGCGTGGTGGGGGGACGTGTCAGCTACGTGGCCCGGGGCGGGCGGCGGCGAGCGGCGAGACCGGGACCGAGTGTGAGTGGGTTGGGGGGGTGTGGGGGTGGGCACCGTGTGTGCCCCGCGCGTGCATCAGCGCGGGACGCTGCGTGCGCGTGTACGCGTGCAACGTGCGTGCACTCCGCACTGTGAGAAGCATGTGCACCGCGTGTGCACTGCGTGTGCCCCGCGTGCGCAGCGACCCGTGCAGCGTCCCCACGCGTGCCGCGCGCCCCGCCCCACCCCCCCCCCCCCCCCCGCGCGGTGCCAGCGTGTCCCCGCCGCGCTGGAGCCCTTTGACGCTCCCGGAGCTCCCGGCCCCGCCTGTGGAGGGGGGGGGTCCCGGGGGAGCTGCCGTGGGGGGGCGCAGAAGCCGGCGGCGTGACCGTGGGTGTGGAAGCCCCTTGCGCAAACGCCCTCCTGCCCCTCCCCAAACGCCGGATTCCCGAGGGGCCCCCCCCGCTCCCGGGCACGGTCCCCCGAGCCGGGGGCGCCCACCCACCTGTTCCCACCCAGCTGCAGCCCGAGCTCGCGGGATGAGGAACCCACTGGTGGCCCTGCTGCTGCTGGTCCCCGCGGCGTGGGCAGCCCCCAAGGCTGGGGGGCACAGGTATGGGGGGGGGGGATGGATTGGGGGGGGGGTGGACATGGGTATGGGTGAACGCAGACACAGATGAGTGCACGGGGATGGGGGGTGCGTGGGAACGGGTGGGGTGCATGGGCGTGGCTGGGATGCAGACGGGACACGCGGGGGGAGGTGTCTGTGGGTGGGGGGGACACCGTGTGCGGCTGTCAGCCCCCCCCCATCTGTCCCCCCATCCTGGATAACCCCACCCTCCCCCCACTCCTGCCAGGCCTGAGGATCCTACAGCCGCGGGGTCACATCCTGATCCCGACCCACTGAGCCTGGAGCTGATCGCACTGCCGTGAGTCCCTGCCCCACGGCGAGCCCCACAGCACCGGGCCCTGCACCTCTGGGTGGGGGGCTGTGCATGGGGGGGAGGGGGGAGTAGCACAGGCAGTGCCCAGCTGAGTGTGGGGCACCGTGGTCCTGGGGACAGCTATGGGGTGGAGCGGCTGTGGGGCAGGCTGTGGGGCAGGTTGTGGGACAGGGGTGGGGCATGCCCACCCCCAGCCCCACGGCCCCCAGGCTGCTGCAGAGCGCGGTGAGGAGCCTGGAGCCGCCGGAGCGGGACGCGGAGACCATGACACGGGAGCAGGGTAAGGTCGCACAGCGGTGTAGGGGGGTCACTGGGGGTCCAATAGGGACAGGGACCCCCCCCAGCCCCACGGCGCCCTGTGCCACACAGCCCTGCTCTACCTCTTCGCGCTGCACGACCACGACCGGAGCGGGCGCCTGGACGGGCTGGAGCTGCTGCAGCTGCTGGGCACGGTGCTGGCGCAGCGGGACGGGGGGCAGCCGGACCCCGATGTGGTAAGTCCCACGGGGTCGGCCCCTTGCACCCTACAGATGCCCCCCCCCCCTACACCCCGGGCCCTCACCCCATCCCCACCCCGTCCCTGCAGGTTGCCGTGCTGGTGGACAGAGCCCTGGAGAGGCAGGACCGGAGCGGGGATGGGCTGCTCGACCCCCCCGAGCTGCTGCTCTCGCCTGAGCGGGACCGGGGACCCCCGGGGCCGCCCCTCCTGCAGCAACCTGGGGAGCCGCGGGCAGGGGGGGACGCAGAGATGCCCAGGGGGGACACGGAGGTGCCTGGCGGGGACATGATGGTGAGTGGTCCAGGACAGGCAGCCCCCCAGGGTGAAGCCCCAGCTGCTGGAGCCATGGAGGCTGAGGAAGCCCCTGAAGCTGGAGCACCCGAGGGGGTGGCAGCCCCAGTTTGGGAGGACCCTGGGGAGGGGTAGGTGGGGGGAGGAGCTGTGGTCAGCGCTGTGCCAGCCCCACAGCGGCTGTGGGGCTGCTCCTGAGTCTGTGTGTGTTGGGAGGGGTCCCCCTGTGTCCCCCCCCCATCCTTGGGGGGGGCACGGTCACCCCTCTAAAATGCAGCAGGATGGAGAAATAAAAGCGCTCGCCATGACTGGGGTTCAGTGCAGCCCCCAGCCGCGGAGGGGCGCCGGGCCCAGCCCGGGGTGGGGGGCACGGAGGCTTTATTGGCAGCGGGGTGGGGGGTGCTGGGTGCCCCGGGGGTGGGGGTCTTGGGACGCGGGGTGCCCATCTCAGACGATGCCATCGAAGCCCTGGATCCCGCATTTTCTGCCGGCGATGCGGCAGCCGAAGGTGATGGCGTCCTGCAGGGTCTTCCCTGGGGAAGGGGCACCTCGTGGGGCTGAGCCGTGGCCGTGACCGTGGCCGTGGCCGTGGCCGTGGCTGTGGCCGTGCCCACCTGCCGAGAGTGCGAAGATGACAGCGGCGTTGAAGGTGTCCCCGGCCCCCAGCGTGTCCACGAGGGTCTCGGGGGGGAAGGCGTCCGAGTGCACCAGCTCCCCGTCTGGCCCCACGGCGTCAGCCCCTTCCTCAGCCCAGGCGCAGATCAGTGTGGCCCTGGGGGGGGGGGGGGATATGGGGGTGCGGGGGGTGGGCACGGGGCATGGCCATGCCCCCCACCCCACCTTTCCCAACCCGCAGCCCCCCGCCCCGTACCCCGGCTGCACGCGGCCGCGCAGCCCCTGCAGCGCCTCGGGGGCTGACCGGTACCCGAAGTGCCGCGCCACGTCCTTGCTGATGAACACCTGGGGGAGAGGGGCTGGGATGTGGGGGCAGCGCCCCCAGAGACCCCCCCCCCCCCCCCCCCCCCAATTCCACACCTGCACCCCTTGAACCCTCGAGTGACACCCCCCCCATCCCCGCACCCCCCTCCAAGGCTCCGACTGCCCCGTACCTGAACCCCCAATTTCCGTGCACCCCCCTCCCAACACCCTGGCCCCGCCCATGGCAGATAGCCGTGCCCCCGACCCCAGCCATTGGCAGACCTGACCCCGCCCATAACTGTTGGTCACGCCCCCATAACAGCGACCACACCCATGGCTCATAGCCACGCCCCCTGCATCTCCCTAACACCGTCCATGGTCACGCCCCCAGTCCCATTCCCCGCCCCCTCCATTAACATGACCCCGCCCATGACCCTTAGCCTCGCCCCACATTCCCCGCCCCATTGACATGGCTCCGCCCACTGCCCCACCCACGACCCTGCCCGATACCGTTAACCCGCCCTGTGCCGGTATCCCCGCCTTCCTCATTTCCATAACTCCGCCCATGACTCGTAGCTCCACACCCTGACCCTGCCCAGTGCCATTAGCCCCGCCCTGTGCATGTATGCCCCACCTGCCATTGACATAACCCCGCCCATGACCCGTAGCCCCGCCCCATCACCACACCCTTGCTCCGCCCAGTGCCGCTAGCCCCGCCATTGACATAACCCCGCCTATATCCCATAGGCCACGCCCACCGCCCCATCCTTGACCCCTGCCCATGACCCATAGCCCCACCCCCTGACTCCGCCCGGCGCTGCTAGCCACGCCCCCTACATTGACATAACCCCGCCCACATCCCGCAGCCACGCCCATCCCCATGCCCTGACCCCTCCCGGTGCCGCTGGCCCCGCCCCCCCGCGGCCCCGCCCCCGCACCACGTGACCCATGCCCATCAGCGGCAGCAGCTCCTCCCGCGGTTTCTCCAGCTCCACCGACGTGCGGACCCGCTCCCCCGCCGCCCGGCCCCGGTTGTGCCGCTCCACCCGCCGCATCATCGCCGCCTGCTCCGCCGCGTTCCGGGCCTGCGGGCGCACACCGCCTGCCACCGCCACCGGGGGGGGCCCCCCCGCCTCCCCGGGGGGGCGTCCCCCCCACTCCGCGCCAGCCCCGGGCTCACCTCCCAGTGGATCCACTTGTACTGGGAGAGGTCGACCCGCTCAAAGTCGTGGGCCGTCACGTCGGGCAGGTTCCTGCGGGGCGGGGGACAGGCAGGGCGGGGGGGGGGGGGCGCGACCCAAGGTGACCCCCCCCACCTCGCCCCAGCACCGGCCGGGGGCAAAGGGCAGCGCCGGGGCAGAGGTGGCCCCGCCCGGGTGAATTATTAATTAATGGTGGCGCAGCTGGACCCTGAGATGGACCCGAAGATGGACCAAAGGGCAGCGCCGCGGAGCTCGGCGGTGCCCCACGGCCCCTTGCCCTGCTGGTACCGGCACCGGCACCGGCACGGCCGGGGCAGCGTCGTGCCAGGCACCGGGCAGTTGGGGGTGTTGGTGCAACGGGGGTGTGATTGGGGGAGGGACTGTTGGCAGCGATCACGGTGCGCGGGGTTATGGGGAATTGCTCAACTCTGGCGCACGGGACCACCCCAAATCCTCTGGCAGGCACCGGTGGACCCTCCGCAGCGGGCCGAGCACTGTGAGACCCCCCCCCGGGATGCTGGGGGTGGCTCTGGGTGCCCGGCTCAGCCACGGTGAAGGCGGGGGGGGGGGGGGGTCTGCTGGGCGATGATGGGGGCTGACACCCTTACGTGTCGTAGAGCACGATGGTCCGGGAGCCGCTGGCAGCGCTGACGACGCAGCAGGCGCAGGGCACGTCGCCGCGGGGCTGCCAGGCCACGTGTGACACATCCACGCCGCGGCGACGGAAATCAGCGGCAATGAAACTTGGGGGGACACACAGGGAGTGGGACACACACACACACACACACACACACACACACACACAGGTGAGGGGTTGCTGGTGTGACCGACAGTGCGGGGCGGCTGGCGTGCAAGGCTGGCGGAGGGCGGGCAGGCGGCACCGCGTGGCACCGCGTGGCACCGCGTGGCACCACGTCCACCCCGTCGCGCAGGACGAAGCTGCTGGCGGGAGCGTTGGGGCGGCGACCACCGGGACACTCCCCCCCCCCCCCCCCCCAAACACCCTCCCGTTCCCCGCAGCTCACTCACTCGGCGGCGTGGCCGGGGGCCAGCGAGCCCATGAAGGCGCAGGGGGCTCCCAGCAGCGCCAGCACCGTGCAGGAGTTGGAGGCGTTCCCCCCGCGCTGCCACCGCTGTGACACACACCTGCAAAGCGGCGGGCGGTGGGTCCCGGGGGCACCGGCACGGCCCCGGGGGCACCGGCACGGCTCTGGGGAGCACCGGCACGGCTCCGGGGGGCACCGGCACGGCCCCGGGGGCACCGGCACGGCCCCGCGGGAGCAGCCCCCGGCCCCGGCGGTACCTGGTGTCCGAGTCCTCGGCCGGGTAGGTCTCCACCACGCTGATGATGTCCAGGCACACCAGCCCCACGCACAGGATCCGCTTCTCCCGCTCGCGTTCCGCCGCCATGCCGAGCCCGCTGCGCCCCGGTACCGGCACCGGCACCCGCGGCCCCGCCCCGCCGCGCCCCGCCCCCCCCGGCCGCCGCCAATCGGAGGCGGCGGACGCGCCCCACTCCCCTCGGGGGGGGCGGGAACGAGGGGTGGGCGTGGCCGTGGGGGGACACGCCCCCGCGAGTCCGGCCCCGCCCCGCGCGCAGGCGCGCGGCCGCCGGAACGAGGGGCGTGCGGGTCTGCACGCGCACCCACCCGCGCGCGGCGGGGGTGAGCGGTGGGCACCCGCGTGCACAGACCCACACCCACCCCACGTGCACACACACACCCACCCCACGTGCACACACACACCCCCCACGTGCACACACACACATCCACACACCCCCGCGTGCACACACACACACCCCCCGCGTGCACACACACACACCCCCCCGCGTGCACACACACACACACCTCCCCGCGTGCACACACATCCACACACCCCCGCGTGCACAGACCCACACCCACCCCACGTGCACACACACATCCACACACCCCCGCGTGCACACACACACACACCCCCCCGCGTGCCCACACACACACACACACCCCGCGTGCACACACAACCCCCCGCGTGCCCACACACACACACACACCCCGCGTGCACACACACACACACACACACCCCACGTGCACAAGCACCCCGCGTGCAGCTGTGGTTGCGGGTGTGCACGCGGGTGCTGGTGCACCTGTGGGTGCAGGTGCAGGTGTGGGTGGGTGCACCTGTGGGTGCACCTGTGGGTGCGGGTGCAGGTGTGGGTGGGTGCACCTGTGGGTGCGGGTGTGGGTGGGTGCACCTGTGGGTGCACCTGTGGGTGCGGGGCGGGGTGCGCCGCGCGGGGGGGCGGGGCAGGTTAATGTGTCACGGGCCGCGGCAGCAGCGTGGGCGGGGGGGGGGCGGCGCGGCCGCGGCACCGGGGACACGCACAGGTAAGCGGCGGGGCCGAGCACCCCCGCCCCGGGAGCCGCGGCACCCACGGCCACGCGTGTCCGCTCGGCCGCGCCGGGTCACCGATCCGGGGGCTGCACCGGGGCCCCTCCGCGCCCCCCCACCCCGCGCCGGCGGCACAACCTTTGCACCGGGCAGGGAGCGCCCGGACACGTCACCCGTGGGAGGCCCCACGCCTGCCCCGCTGCAGGGCCGTGCCGCGGGGAGCAGTCCCCCTTTGGAGGGGGGGGGGGCGGGGCGTGGAGGGGCCGTGCCGGAGCGCTGCCGTGCTTCCCCCCCCACTCGCGTGCGTGTCCCCCCCCAGGGTGCTGGGAGCCGGCGTGGGGGATGGACGAGCGGCTGCGGGAGCTGCGGCTGCGGGAGGAGAGGAGCTTCCTGCGGAGCGTGGCGTGGGGGGACCCCCCCGAGGACCCCCCCGAGGACCCCCCCGGCCGGGCACCCCCGATTGTCCCCGAGCCCCTCGCCAGTGACGCCGCCCTCTGCGCCCCCAACAGCCCCACGTCGCGCAGGTAGCGGGGGGGGGGTGGGTGTGGGGTGTGACCTCTTGCCGGGGGGGGGGGCGATGTTCCGATGGCGCCCCACCCGTGTCCCCCGAGTCCCCACACCCCCCTCCCCGCAGGGACCTGGGGCTGATCGCGGAGGCCGTGGGGCGCAGCGAGGTGCTGCGGCGGCTGGGCCAGGGCTGCCCCGGGGCGCTGGCGCGGAGCCTGGTCCCGCTGCGCCACGCCACGGGGGACACGGTGCTGGCCGAGGGCGCCGAGGGCTCCGCCATGTACATCGTGGCAGGTCAGCGCGTGGGGACCGCACGCGTGTGGGCGGGGGGGTGGGGGGAGGGGGGATGCCGGGTCCGTCATGCGTGTGCACACGTGGGTGTGGGTGCGCGTGCACCTGTGCGTGTTGCACGGCCATCCCGCGTGTGCGTGTGCACCTGTGTGCATTGCAGGGCAGTCCCGTGTGTGTGTGCGTGTGCACCTGTGCGCATTGCACAGCCATCCCGTGTGTGTGTGTGCGTGTGCACCTGTGCGCATTGCAGGGCAGTCCCGCGTGTGCGTGTGCACCTGTGCGTGTTGCAGGGCAGTCCTGCGTGTGCGTGTGCGTGTGCACCTGTGCGCATTGCAGGGCAGTCCCGTGTGTGCGTGTGCGTGTGCACCTGTGCGCATCTCAGGGCAGTCCCACGTGTGCGTGTGCACCTGTGTGCATTGCAGGGCAGTCCCGTGTGTGCGTGTGTGTGTGCACCTGTGTGCATTGCACGGCCGTCCTGCGGGTGCCTGTGTCTGCACGTCCATGCGTGTGCGTTGCGGGGCAGTCCCGTCTGTGCACGTGTGTGTGTGAGAGCATGTGTGCACATCTGCAAGGCAGTCCTCTGTGTGTGCATGGGAGTGTGCACGTGCATCTGTGTGCGTCGCGGGGCAGTCCTGTGTGCACGTGCGTGTGCGCGTGTGTGCACGAGCATGCATGCGTGTCGCGGGGCAGTCCTGTGTGTGTCTCTGTGTGTGCACGTGCACGTGTACGTACGTGTCTGCACATTGCAGGGCAGTCCCCGGTGTGCGCGTGCGTGTGTGCGCATCTGTGTGGGTCGCGGGGCAGTCCCGTGTGTGTGCACGCGTGTGCGTGACGCCCGCGTGGGCCGTGTCGCGCTGCAGAGGGGCAGCTCCGCGTGACGCAGCGGGGCCGGCAGCTCCGCACGCTGGGGCCGGGGGACGTTTTCGGGGAGCTGGCCATTCTCTACAACTGCAAGCGCACGGCCACCGTGCAGGGTAAGGGCAAGCCCCCCCGGCCCCCCCCGTGCCCCCCGTGCCCCCCGTGACCCCCGTGACCCCCGTGACCCCCCTGTGCCGCAGCGCTGAGCCCCGTGCGGCTCTGGGCCATCGACAGGCACCGGTACCGCGCCATCGCCACCAGCAACGCCAAGCGGAGACGGGCCGAGATGCTGAGCTCCCTGCGAGCGTGAGTGGGGCCGGGCACCCACGGCTCTGCCCCGCAGCACCCACCGCCCCCCCGGCCCCTCCCCTGGCCCGCGCCCCGGGGGGTGGGGGAAGGGGGCTGCCCTCGCCGGCAGAGTCCCCTCGCAGTCCCAGACTTGTCGTCATCGTTCCCAGCCCCATTCCCAGCTCATCCAAATCCCTGTTCCCTCCCCATCCCCATCCCACCCCATCCCATCCTGTTCCTGCCTGATCCCCCGTCCCAGCCCATTCCCAATCTCTTCCCATCCCATCCCTGTTCCCAGCCCTGGCTCCTCCCCAGCCTCGTCTCCCTCCATCCCCTTCCCCAGCCCTGCCCTGACGGCTGCCTCTGCTGGGCTCCGGGGAGCGGGCAGGGTGCGGGCAGGGTGCAGGCAGGGTGCAGGCAGGGAGCAGGCAGGGTGCAGGCAGGGAGCAGGCAGTGCAGGCAGGGGGCAGGCAGGGAGCAGGCAGGGAGCAGGTGGTGCAGGCAGGGAGCAGGCAGTGCAGGCAGGGGGCAGGCAGTGCAGGCAGGGAGCAGTCAGGGTGCAGGCAGGGAGCAGGCAGTGCAGGCAGGGAGCAGGCAGGGAGCAGGCAGTGCAGGCAGGGAGCAGGCAGTGCAGGCAGGGGGCAGGCAGGGGGCAGGCAGTGCAGGCAGGGAGCAGGCAGTGCAGGCAGGGAGCGGGCAGGACACCCAGCCCCCCCCGCCCGCAGGGTGCACTGGCTGCGGGACCTCTCCGACACCCACCTCTGGAAGCTGCTGGACGCCATGGAGGAGGTGGGTGGGTGCCCGAGACGGGAACCCCCGCCGCGGGGGTGCAGGGCACGGCCCTGGGGGGCTGCAGCCGGGGGTGGGGGTGCGGCACGGGGCTACCGGGACGTGCCTGGGATGGGGGGTCTGGGACTGGCTGGGGGGGTGCGGGGGCTGCCTGCTCCCCTGCCCACCCCCACGCTCCCCGCAGTGCACCTTCGCGCCCGGCCACGTCATTATCCACGAAGGAGACGAGGGGGAGAACTTCTACATCATCCTGAAGGGAGAGGTGGGTGCGAGGCTCCGCAGCAGCGGGGGGGACACACACCCCCCCCCCAGCTCCACGACCCGCCCCGTCCCGCTCAGCCCGTGCCCCCGTCCCGGCGCTGCAGGTGCGGGTGAGCCGGCGGGTGGACGGGCAGGAGAAGCTGATCCGCGTCCTGGGTGCCGGCGAGCACTTCGGGGAGCTCTCCCTGCTGCAGTAGGTGCCCGCGCCCCCCCCGCTGCCCCCCAGGGTCTCTCCTTTCCCCCCCTCACTACCCCGTGACCCCCCACCTCTCCGCAGGAACAGTCGCCGGACGGCGTCGTGCCAGGCCCAGGGACACGTCACCTGCGTCACCCTGACCAAAGAGTGGGTGTCCCCGTGTGGGTGTGTCCCCGACCCTGTCCCTGCCAGACCCCCCCCCCGCTGCACTGACCCTTCCTCTGCCCCACAGAGACTTCCTTGAGATCAGCCCCTTCTGCCCCCCACAGCCCTTGGAGCCGTGAGTGTCCCCGGCACCAGTCACCCCCAAACCTTTGGGGGACCCCAGGCGAGACCCCCAGCACGGGAGGGACCCAGATCGGGCTGACAGCTCGGGTCCTGCTGACTGGGGGGAGTGGGGAGGGGGGGCCATGGCCTGGGGGGAACTGGGGCGATGGGTGCTGGGACATCTGGGGCGATGGTCCCACACACGGGTCTGGGATCCTGGGGGGGGTTGGGGGGCTCCAGGTCGGTGGGGAAGGGGCTGTGTGGGTGCCTGGGGCTGAGTGGGGGCTGGCTCCACTGCCCCCCACCCCCTTGGCTCCTTCCCACCCCAGAAACACGTCTGAGACAGAAGCACCGGCCCTGGAGGATCCCGAGCGGTCAGTGTGGGGTGGGGATGGGGTGGGGATGACGTGGGGTGGGGTGGGGATGGGGACGGGGATGGGATGGGGACAGAGCCACAGCCCCCCTGCCCTGGGCTGGGGCTCCCTGCGCTCAGGGTGCAGACAGTGGGTGGGCAATGGGGGGGGGGGGGGGGGGGGGCACACACAGCAGTGTGTCAGCCAAAGCCCAGCCCAGCGCCGGGGGTCCCCCGGGGTGCGGCTGGGGTCACTCGGGGTGCTGCAGCACCCCCTTGGCCCATCCTGATGGCACCGGGGTCCCCAGAGCCTGGTGCTGGGGGGAGGGGGGGGTGTCCCCACAGTGGGACCTGGAGGTGTCCCCAGGGAGCAGCGGGGGGGTCATGGCAGGGCCAGGGGTCGGCAGCCCCGGGGTGCTGGTGCGGGGGCTGCAGGGCCGCGGTGGGCACCCGCAGGGGTTGGGGGTCCCCGAGGCTGCGGCAGCCCCCGGTGCCGGTGCGGCTGGAGGAGCTGGCGGCCGTGTGCTACGAGGAGGGGCAGCGGCAGGGCCAGCGCGTCGTCCTGGGCACCGGCGGCTTTGGCAGGGTCGAGCTGGTGAGCGCTGGAGCCTGGCCCCCCCCAGTACACACCCCCCCCCCAGCCCATCCCAGTGCCCGTCCCAGTGCCCATTCTGGCTCCCATACCGGTCCCTATCCCAGTGCCCACCCCAGTGCCCATCCCAGCACCCACCCCAGTGCCCACCCCAGTGCCCGTCCCAGCACCCACCCCAATGCCCGTCCCAGCACCCATCCCAGTGCCCATTCTGGCTCCCATACCGGTCCCTATCCCAGTGCCCATCCCAGTGCCCACCCCAGTGCCCGTCCCAGCACCCATCCTCACACCCACCCCGGCTCCCGTCCCGGTGCCCGTCCCAGCACCCACGGCCGCCCACGCCCAGGTGCGGTGCCGGGAGCGCCTCTTCGCGCTGAAGCGGATCCGCAAGGACTGGGTGGTGCGGACGCAGCAGCAGGAGCACGTGCGCACGGAGCGGCGGGTGCTGGCGGGCAGCCGCAGCCCCTTCCTGGTGGGGTGAGAGCTGGGGGGGCGCTGGGGGGGCAGCGGGGGGGCCGCGGGCCGTGCCAAGGTCCCGCCGGTGCCCCTCCGCCGGCAGGTTTTTCGGCACTTTCCGGGACGGGCAGTACGTCTACCTGCTGCTGGAGTTCTGCCAGGGCGGCGAGCTGTGGACCAAACTGCGCGAGGTGTACGGAGCCGGGGCGAGCGGGGGGCTGGGACACGCCGTGCCGTGCCGTGCCATGCAATGATGTGCCATGCCACTCTGTACCATGCCATGGCACACTGTGCCGTGTCATGCTGTGCCATGCCATGCCATGCCAGGCTGTGCCAGGCTACACTATGCCATGCCATGGCACTCTGTGCCATGCTGTGCCGTGTCATGCCGTATTGTGCTGTGCCATGCCACGCCACTCTGTGCTGTGCCATGCTGTGCCGTGCCATGCCATGCCAGGCTCTGCTGTGCCATGCCGTGCAGTGTTGTGTCATGCTGTGCTGTGCCGTGCCATGCGATGCTACACTGTGCCGTGCTGTGCCACACTGTGCCGTGCTGTGCCACACTGTGCCGTGCTGTGCCATGCTGTGCTGTGCCATGCCATGCCATGCTACACTGTGCCGTGCTGTGCCATGCCGTGCTGTGCCACACTGTGCCATGCTGTGCTGTGCCATGCCGTGCTGTGCCACACTGTGCCGTGCTGTGCCATGCTGTGCTGTGCCACACTGTGCCGTGCTGTGCCACACTGTGCTGTGCTGTGCCATGCCCCTCTGTGCCATGCCATGCCATGCTGCACTGTGCCATGTGATTCTGCGCTGTGCCGCACTGTGCCATGCCATGCCATGGTGTGCTGTACCACGCAATGCCGTGCCATGCTGTGCCGTGCCATGCTGTGCCGTGCCGTGCCATGCCGTGCATTCTGTGCTGTGCCACGCCATGCTGTACTGTGCCATGCCATTTCATGCCATGCCGTGCCACACACCCGCCGGTCCCCGCCGTGCAGGCGCTGCTTCGAGGAGCCGCTGGCCGTGTTCTGCTGTGCCTGCGTGGTCGAGGGCCTCGAGTACCTGCACGGCCGCGGCATCGTCTACCGCGACCTGAAGCCCGAGAACCTCATGCTGGACCGGCACGGCTACGTCAAGCTGGTACGGGGACGGGTGTCGCGGCCGTCCCGCCTTGGCGGGGGGGGGGGCTGTGTTGGCTGACGGCACCGCTGCTGCCCACAGGTTGATTTTGGCTTTGCCAAGGAGCTGGGGAGGGGGGAGAAGACCTACTCCTTCTGCGGGACCCCCCAGTACCTGGCGCCCGAGATGCTGCGCCAGGAGGGCCATGACTTCGCCGTCGACTTCTGGATGCTGGGCATCCTCACCTTCGAGCTGCTGGTGGGCAGGTGAGTGTGACCCCACATCCACCCTGTCCCCCCGAGGCTGGCTCAGCACCCCCCCTCCCCAAATGCTGCGGTGAGGCCCCACCTGCCCGCACGCCCCCCCCCAGGCCCCCCTTCCACAGCGCCGACCCCCAGCAGATCTACAGCCGCATCCTGGACGGCGTCTTCTCCTTCCCCGCCTTCCTCAGCGAGGCCGCCTGCTCCCTCATCGCCAAGCTCTGCAGGTGCTGGGGCGGCGGGGGGGGGCACACGGGGGGTGGGGGGTGCAGTGGGGTGCCCCAGGCAGGGTCGAGGCACTTTGGGGTGCATCGCTGCACCCCTTTGTGCGTGGGGGTACCCTTGGTGCATCGTTACACCCCAGCGTGCACCGGGGGGGTGTGGGGGTGTGTGTGCTCTCTGGGTACATCGGTGCACCCTGGTGTGCAGGGGGGTGGGGGTTCGCCTCAGGTGTATGGGGGTGCCCCAGCCCCTGCCCCCCCCCCCCAACACCCACAGGCGCCGTCCAGGGCAACGCCTGGGGAACACGGCCAGCGGCATCCGCGGCATCAAGAAGCACAGGTGAGTGTGGGAGGGGTGGGGTGGTGTTTTTTTTTGGGGGTGTGTGTGTCTGTGTGTGAGACCCCCCCCACCCCCCAGTCCCTCCTGAAACCCCCAACCCCCCCCCCCAAGGTGGTTCGGGGCCCTGAAGTGGCGGAAGCTCTCGCTGCGGCAGCTGGAAGCACCCACCCTGCGCCTCATCAAGGAGGTGGGTGAGGGGGGGGCTGAGGTGGGTGCTGCTGGGGGGGGGGGTGGGCAGGAGGGGCTGAATCTCACCCCATTCCCCCCCTCCAACCCAGGGACCCCCCTACATCAACTTCAAGCGTTTCTCAGTGGACTGGACGCCAGCAGAGGACGAGTTCTCGGGGTGGGATGAGGATTTCTGACAGCAGCGGGACCGCCCCCCCCCACTCCGGGTCAGCTGAGCCCCCTCCCCACCGCACCCCTGAGCCAGGGCGGTGCCGAGGAGAGAGGGGGGGTCCCCGTGGCCTCCTGCTCCTGGGGCGGGGGCTGCCGCACCGCAATAAGTGGTGGGAGCCGTGGGTACAAAACCCGGTGCCGCATCTTTATTTTGGGGTGGGGGGGGGCCGGGGGCGGTGTGGGGGGTTGGGGCGGGCGGTGTGGGGCGTGTGGCGGCAGGGGAGTGAGGGGTGCTGATAAATAACGGAGCGGGTGTGTGTGTGTGTGTGTGGGGTCCCGGCTGCGCCCCTGGCCGTGTCGGGGTGGGTGGGTTTGGAAGGGGGAGGGGGTGGGGTGTGGGGCGGTTCGGTGGGTTTAGGGCTCCTCGGCGTCGTAGAGCAGAGCCCCGCTGAAGACGGTGAGGGGCTCGTCGGGGGCGTGGGCCAGGCGCCCCGAAACCAGGTCCACGCAGAGGGTCTCGCCGGCCGCCAGCGGCAGCAGGAGGCTGAAGACCCCGAGCGCGCCGGGGCTGGGCTGCAGCGCGGCCACCGGCTCCTTCTCCAGCCCCTCGGGCTGGAACCCACCCGAGTCCAGGCGGGCGATGCCCTGGTTGGAGCGGGACAGCACCGCCTCCAGCTTCTCCCCTCGGTGCCCCGTCAGCACCGCGCTCACCAGGTACCGCCCGCTCACCGGCGCGGTGAAGGTGCCTGCGGCGGGCGGGCGGCTGTCAGGGCGCCGGCACCCCCGGGGGACCCTCCCCTCACCCAGCGGGACCCCGCCCCAGCCCCACGCGCGGCCGCCGGCCCCGCGGGCGCTCACCCGTCTCGGGGTCGTAGGCGCCGCCGTCGTTGAGCAGGACCTGGTCGAAGGGGACGGTGCCCGGCTCGGCGCGCTGGGTGCTCAGGGCGGCCGAGAAGGCGACGCGGGGCACGGAGCCCGGCTCCCCCACCTCGCCTGGGCGCCGCGTCAGGATGGGGCGCCCCGGCCCGGCACCCCCCCCCCCCCCCACCGCCAAAACACCCCCCCCAGCCCCAAACCGGCCCCTCCGACATGTCTGAGGCCGCACCCCCCCCCTTTCCACTTTGACCTTGTCCCCCCACTCCCAGCCCTGCCCATCACCCCGGGCTGCCCCGCCCAGTGACACCCCCCCCCCCGCCCCCCCCAGCTGCCATTGCAAACCCCACAGGCCTCCCCCCCCCCCCCGCCCAAAACCCCCAGCTCACACCCCAAGGACCAACCTCCCCAGGCTGCCCCCCCCTAAACCCCAGAGCCCCCAGCTCATACCCCAAAAACCAGCCCCCCCCCCCCGCTCACACCCCAAGAACCAGCCCCCCCACACCCTCCCCAGCCCCCCAGCTCACACCCCAAGAACCAGCCCCCCACACCCCCCCCAACTCACACCCCAAGAACCAGACCCCCACACCCCCCCCAACTCACACCCCAAGAACCAGCCCTCCCCAGCCCCCCATCTCACACCCCAAGACCCAGCCCCCCCACGCCCCCCCCAGCCCCCCAGCCCTACCTCTCTCTCCTGGCAGCCCTGGGAGGGAAGGGGAGGAGGGGGCTGCAGGGCGTGTGTGGGGCAGGACCCCCCCGGGGCACGGGGTCTGGCCACACCACTGCTGCCCCACTGCAGGGGACTGGGTGTGGGGCGGGGGGGCTGCTCCTTACCGGGGGGACCCATGGGACCTTGTTCTCCATCCTTGCCAGGGGGCCCAGAAGGGCCGGGGGGCCCCATCTCACCCATGGGGCCAGCAGGGCCAGGGGGGCCGGGGGGGCCTGGAGGGAGGGGGGGGGGGGGGGGGTTGGAGCTGCTCTGGCCCCACAGCCCCTTCCCCTCACCCCAAAGCCTCACGCCTTGAGCCCCCCACCCCCCCGCCTTGCACGCCCACACCCCCACACCATGAGCCCCCATGGCTTGCATCCCCATGTCCCCACACCCCACACCTTGAAACCCCACATCCCCACAGCTTGCACCCCCACACCCCAAAGCCCCGCACCGTGACCCCTCCCACGGCTTCCACCCCCACGTCCCCACCCCCCACGCCTTGAACCCCCACATCCCCACGGTTTGCATCCCCACGCCACGGGCCCCCACATCCCCACACCTTGTATTCCCACACCCCACACCTCGAACCTCACACCCCCACGCCACGAGCCCTACGGCTTGCATCCCCACGTCCCCACCCCCCCACGGCCCCGCGCCCCCCCTGCCCCCCGCGCACCGGCGGGGTCCCTCTGGCTCAGGCGGAGCAGCTCGCCGCGCAGGTGCTGCAGGCTGGCGTTGAGGGCGCCGAGCCGGCGCGGGAGCTGGGCCTGCAGCGCTTTCTCCACGGCGGCAGCGCGGGCGCCGGCGGTGCCGTTCAGCTCCCGCACCGCGTCCCACAGCCCCGCCACGTGCCGGCCCAGACCCTCGCGGACGCCCCGCAGCCCGCCCGCCACGGCCTCCAGTTGCTCGCAGACACCCTCCAGTTTGGCCAACCGCGGCTCCAGGCCGGCTGGGCAGCCGCCGGCCCGCGCCAGCTCCCGCGCCAGCCCCTCCAGCCGCTCCTCGCTCTCGGCTTGCCGCGCCGCCGCCGCCGCCGCCGCTTGGTCCAGCTCGGCCACGATGCGGTCGGTGATGGCGCCCAGTTGGCGCTGACGGGCGTCTTGCTGGTCCAGGGCGTCCTGCAGCCCCTGCACCGTGGCGTTCAGCCCGCCCAGGGCGAGCAGCGCCCACGCCAGCTCGCCCCGCAGCCCCCGCAGCTCCGAGGGCGAGGTGCCCCCGAAAACGCCGAACCCCTCGAGCGGCGGCTCCGGCTCTGGCGACGGCTCCGGGGCGCAGGGGCCGCCGCTCAGCTCAGCCTCCAGCCGCCCCGTCCGGTTGCGGAGCTGCGCCAGCTCCTCTGCCAGAGCCCCCCCCGCCTCCAGCCGCCCCAGCCGCCCCGCCAGCCCCCCCAGCGCCTCCCCCTGCGCCCCCAGCAGCTCCCGCAGCCCCCGCAGGGACCCGGCCAGTCCGTCCCCGCCGGCCCCCAGCGCCCGGAGCTGCTCCTCGGTGTCCTGCAGCCGCCGCTCCAGCTGCCGGAGGAAGGGGTCGCGCTGCTCGTCCCGGCTGCCTGCCGTCGGTTCTGGGGGGGCCGGGCAGGGCCGGCCGCAGCGGGCCAGCAGCCCCTCCAGCTCGGCCAGGCGTGCGCCGCGCTGCGCCCCGCTCGCCGCCAGCCCTTCCACCACCCGGCTCAGGTTGGCCAGGTGTGCCGGCAGCCCGCCCTGCCGCCCCTCCGCCTCGGGGGGCCAGGGGCCGGCCCGCGAGGCGTTCAGCCGGCCCTCCAGCTCCGCCAGCCGCCGGGCCAGCACCGGCCCTTGCCCCGCCGGCCCCGCCGCCGCCGCGGGCAGCCCCTCCAGCCGCCGCTCCAGCTCGGCCAGGCGCCGGTGGAGATCATCGGGCGCCGGGGCCAGGCGGCTGCTGAGGCTGCTGATGCGCCGCTGCACCGTCTCCACCGCCTCCCGGTTGCGCTGGTCCACCGAGCCCACCAGCTTCTCCAGCGCCCGCATCCTCTCCCGGTCCTCGGCCGCCTGCCGCCGCAGCCCCTCGGTGCCGGCCGCGCAGGCCGCGCAGGTCTCCTGCAGCCGCCGCTCCAGCTCGCGCAGCCCCGCGTCCGACACCGGCGATGCCGCCGCCGCCGCCGGGCCCTCCCGGCCGCTCTCGTGCCGGTGCAGCCGGTTCTCCAGCTCCTCCAGCCGCCGCTGGACGTGGCTCAGCACCTCCCGCACCTCGGCCGGGGCGGCCGCGTCGGCCGGCTGCTCGCCCTCGGGGCTACCGGCCGCCGGCCGCCCCGCCGGCTCCTGCCCGGCCCGCAGCTCCTCCACTTGCTCGCTCAGCCGCCGCACTTGCTCCTCCAGCCGCCGCACCTTCTCCGCATCCCCGCCGCCTGCCGCCGCGCCGCATCCTCAGCACCGCGGCCGCCACGGTTCCCCAAAACCATACCCCCCCCCCCCCCCAACTTCTCCGCATCCCCGCCGCCTGCCGCCGTGCCGCATCCTCAGCACCGCGGCCGCCACGTCGGTGCAATTCCGCAAAACACCCCCCCCGCCCCCCCACTTCTCCGCCCCCCGTCCGCCCGCTGCCGTCCCTACCTTCGCCCCCCAGGCCGCTGAGGGGGTTGCCGAAGCCAGAGAGCGTGGGGCGGCCGGGCCGGGGCCGGGGGCGGCCGGTGGGCTGGGGGGGCACCGGTGCCGGCCCCTCGGTGCAGTCGTCGCCCGAGTACCCCTGGCAGCAGCGCCAGGCCAGCTCCGACACCGTGCGCTGGGCCACCTTGTACCGGGGCCGCAGGAAGCTGCGGTACCTGCAGGCAGAGCAGCGGTTTGGGGGGGGGGGACACAGACGGGACCCCCCGGCCGGGCGGCGCAAGGAGGGGGGTGCCAGGTGTGGGGGTGCCCTCCCTGCACCACCCCGCGTTCGGCTCCCCGCTCTGAGAATGTGGTGAGGCGGGGGGACACACACACAAAAAAACAACTGTAAGCTGTGGCCTGGCCCCGGCCCCCCCCACCTCGCCCGCGCCCCTCTTGCTCATTGCTGGTGACCGGGGAAGAAGAGGGGGGGCTGCCTCTGTGCGACCCCACTGCCGGCATCACCCCACAGTGCCGGCCCCACTGCCGAGACCTGCCCTGGGTGTGGGGCGTGCTGGGCGAGGGGGGTGTCCCAGCATCTGCCTCACAGCGGGGGGGGGGGGGGGAGCTGCCAGCGGGGCAGGGGGGGGCCGGTCACCCCGCCAGCACCGCTGGAGGCCGCCCGGCTCTTGCGAAAAAGTAAACACAACCCCGGGGTGGATAAACACCGGCGGCGCGGCCGTAGCCAGACCCGGCTCTGCTCCCCCCCCCGGCCTGCCCCCCCCCTCCGGCCCCACTCACGCCAGGACGCGGGGGCACTGGAGCTGCCCCCAGCCGCAGGGTTGGTAATCCGGCTTCACGAAGCTCTCGACGCCGTCCTCCACCACGCAGCTCACGCTGCGCGTCACCACGTAGGCGCACCAGTTCCTGCGGGAAGGGGTCAGGGCGCCCACCCGACACCCACCCAGCGTCCCCCACCCCCCCTTCCCCATCCCAGCAGCCCCCCCCCCCCCCCCCCCCCCAGCACGCCCCAGTGCTCGCCCTGCCGGCCCCACCGGTAGCACCGTCACGGCCCAGTGCCGCGGGGTTAATGGGCCGGATCCTGTGCCGTGCCGGAGCGCTTTGCCAGACCCCGGCGGGGACGGGGGGCTCTGCCTGTGGGGTTCGGGGTGGCCGGGCAGGGTTCGGGGTGCCAGGCACCCCGCCACGCCACACTGTGCAGGCCCACGCTGCCCCACGGGCTGCCCCATTAGTGCCCCATGGGGCAGCCACTGACTGCGGGGTCTTCGCCGCCCCGTGGCCACTGTGCCCCCCAACCAGGCGTCTGCAGCTGGGGGTCAACCCCCACCCTGAGCCAGAGCAACATCCCTGTCAGGGCACCGCTCCCCCCCCTCGCCCACACTGGGGATGGACCCCAGCCCCACGGTGTGGGACCCCAACCCAGCCCCACAGCGCGGGACCCCCTCCCAGCCCCACAGGCTGCAGGGACAGCGGCGCAGCCTTATATGGTGTGAGCCCAGAGCCCGGAGCTGAGCCCCATAGCCAGCACCCCCAGCCCCACACAGAGCAGCCCCCCCTTGCAGCCCCATTGGGAGCAGCCTCCCGGGCCCCCCGGCCCCCCGCGCTGGGAGTGGGGCTGCGGTGGGGGCCCGCGGTGCCGCGGCTGGTTCCCGTCAGGCCCCGGCTGGATTCCAGCTCCTCCCCGGGGGCCGCCGGGAATTCCTGTGCCGACCGACGGCCCCCCCTTGCCTCCCCCCTTCCCTTCCTCTTCCCTTCCCTTCCCTTCCCGGCCCCCCAGCCCCCCTCTCAGCCCCCCCACTCGGGGGATCCTGGGACCCCCCCGGGCCGCCCTGGGGTCCCACCGCGCGGGACCGGGGATGTCCGTATCACAGGGGTAGGATGGGGATATGGGACGGGGCAGGACAGGAGCCCTCCTGAAATCACAGGGCACCGGGGCAGCCCCCCTGTGCCCCCCCCCCCCGCCCCGAGCACAGGATGGGGCCACCGCAACCCCCCAGCCACAGGGAAGGGTCGCTGCAACCCCCAAAGTGTGGGGAGAGCCCGCTGTGCCCCCCAAAGCCGCAGAGAAGCGCTTCAGCCGCGTCCCTGCCCCGCCGTGGGGCTGAGAGTGCCTGACCCACGTGTCCCGTTCCCCCCCCCCATTTGCAGGCAGCCCCACACCTGCGGCCAGGCCCCGCCGTGGGGCTGCCGCGGGGCCGGCCGTGGGGCCGGCGCCAGCCGCGGCCGTGCCGGTGCAGCTCCACCCCGCACGTCCACGCTGCCGCGGCGCTGATGTGGCCGCGGTGAGAACGTGACCCCCAACCCACGCCAGCCCCACACCGCCCGACCCCCGGGGGTGCCGTGGGGCAGGGACGGGGGGACGGTGAGCGGGTGCCCCCGTGCCGGGCGGGTGGATGCTGCGGCGGGATCAGCCCCGGGGACCCCCCGGCACGCGCGGCTGCCGGCACCCACCCCGGGGTCTCGCCCCCCCGGTGCCCTGCCCCACGTGCCCCCCACCCCCCTCCACGTGCACCCTCCACGGGACGGCGGGCGAGCGAGGGGTTGGGGGGGGCAGCCCCCCGGCACCCACCGGCGTCGGGACCGGTTGCGGCACGTGCCGGTGCCCGGCCGGTCCTTGGGGGGGGGGGGGGGTGTCCCCCACGACGTCGGGGCGGGCGGCTGCACCCTGGTTCCCACCCCACCCGTCACGGCACGGTCACGGCTCCTACCTGTGCCGGTTGGCAGCCCGGGCAGCGCCGTGGGCTGCGGTGGGGCCGTGGGGGGCCGTGGCCTGGACGGGGCCGAGCGCGGCGGCCCCCCCGGTGTAGAGGCTGTACCTGGGGGGGAAGTTGGCGGCCAGGGCCTGGGCGGCCAGGAGGCACGGCCAGAGCCAGGGTGCCATGCTGGGCACGGCACGGCACGGCACGGCACGGCTCGGCACGGCACGGCTCGGCGGGCACGGCACGGCACGGCTCGGCACGGCCCAGCTCAGGAGCGCATGGCGCGTCCCGTCGCGGCTCGCGTCCCTCCCGGCTCTGCGCGGCTCGGCACGGCTCGGCTCGGCGCGGCGATGCGGCTCTGCCCTCCCCTCGGCCGCGCCTCGGCCAACCCCTCGTCGCCAGAGCCTCCCCGGCGCTGCCCGTCGACGGGGTCCCCGGGGGCCCCCCCGCTTCCCGCCCGCCGCGGACCCCCCCCTCCCCGGCCCCGGCAGCCCCCGGCGCGCCCCGGCCTCAGCCGGGCACCGCGGCCCCCGCCCCCGCCGCCCGCACATCTGCTTCTCGTTAGGGCCGGGCCGCCGGCGGGGACGGGAAGGAGGGACGGGGGAAGCCAGAGAGGCCGGGCCGGGGGCCAGGGCCGCAGGCGGCAGCGCGGCCGGTGCTACGGCCACGGGCCCCGGCACCCCCGGCCGCGGCCCCGACCGGCGGCCGAAACGCACGGCCCCGGCTGCTCGCCCGGCGGGGCCACCCCGGGCACCGGCTGCTCGCCCGGCGGGGCCACCCCAGCACCCCGCTCCTCGCCCGGTGTGACCACCCCAGCACCCTGCTCCTCGCCCGGCGGGGCCACCCCGGCACCCCGCTCCTTGCCCAGTGTGACCACCCCGGGCACCGGCTGCTGGCCCGGCGGGGCCACTCCAGGCACCGGCTACTCGCCCGGCAGGGCCACCCCGCTCCTCGCCCGGCGGGGCCACCCCGGGCACCGGCTGCTCGCCCGGTGTGACCACCCCAGCACCCCACTCCTTGCCCAGTGTGACCACCCCGGCCCCGGCTGCTCGCCCAGTTTGACCACCCCAGAACCCCACTCCTCGCCCAGTGTGACCACCCCGGCACCAGCTGCTTGCCCGGCGGGGCCACCCCGGCACCCCACTCCCTGCTCACTATGTATCCACTGTCACCCCACTCCTCACCCACAGTGGCCACCCCGGCACCAGCTCCTCGCCCGGTGTGACCCCCCCAGCACCCCGCTCCTCGCCCGGTGTGACCCCCCCAGCACCCCGCTCCTCACCCGGTGTGACCCCCCGTCACCCCACTCCCGGCCCAGCCCCAGCTCCCACTGGTGCCCACTCCAGTGGCACCCGGCGGCCACGCACCCGGCACCCACCGCACCACGTCCCCACGGCAGCGCCAGCGCCCAGTGAGGGGCCCAGCGCCCCCGGTTCATCCCCCCCCCCCCCCCCCCAGCACTGGGGACAGCGGGGCCAAGCGGGGGAGCAGGGTGGTGACACCGCGGCCACCCTGCCGCGACCCCTGGGCCTGTGGTGACACGGTGGCTTTCCCCGCGCCGCGCGGTGATGTAACGGCCGCCCGATGACATCACGCCTTGGCCCCAGCCCCGGGATGACGTCACAGCCCTGGCGAGGCAGCGCGGGAACCTGCCGCGCGCCGGGGGCTCCTCGGGGCCGGTTTGAGCACAAACAGCTGGGGGGGGGAGGGGCGGGGGGGGATGGGGCCGGAGGGAAGAGGGGAGGGGGGGGATGGGGATGGGGGCGGGGGGGTCCCGGGGGACAGCGGCTGGAGCGGGGGGGGGGGGGGGGGGGGGCAGGACCCCCTCTCCCTGTCCTGCCCCCGCCCCGCCCCCCGCGGGGCCCCGTCCCAGTTTCTATATTTAGACCCGGCCGCCCCGGGGCCCCCGGGGCGGAGCCGCACGGCCCCGCCCCCTCTCCAGGCCCCGCCCACGGCCCCGCCCACCCCCGCGCCCGGCCTTGTATGGAGGCGATGGCAGCCGAGGGGGCGGGGCGACCCCGGGGGGGGCGTTCCCAGGGGCGGACAGGGCCACGCCCCCTGGCCCGCAGCCCCGCCTAGCGCCTCGGGCTGAGCGGGGCCGTGACGTCACCGTGGGGCCGGGGCCAGGCTGCGACGTCACAGCCGGTTGGGGGGGGTTGGGGCGTATGTGACGTCGCTGCGCGCGCGAGCGAGAGGAGCCCCGAGGCGACCACCTGGCCGGGGCCCGGCAGCCGTGACGTCACGGCGCGGCCGGGGGCCAGGAGGCCCTGACGTCGGCGCGGAGCCCGAGGCGGGCGTGACGTCGCCTCCCTCCACCGACGCCCCGCCCCCGCCCTTCCCACCGTGCCCCGCGGCCGGAAGTCGCGCGCGGAGGACGCGGACGTGGCGGCGGCGGCACCGGCGGCGCGTGAGTGGGGGGGGGGGGGTCCCCTCGGAGGGTCCCATGGGGGTTTGGGGGGTCCCGGGCGGGAAGGGGTCTCGAGGCGGGGGTGTCCCAGCCCCGGGGGGGCCGGGGGGGGGGGGTTGTTCCTTGGGGGGGCCGCGGTGCAGGGTCCCATGCCCCCCCCCCCCCCCCCCCCCCCCCCCCCCCAGGATGATCACGGACGTGCAGCTCGCCATCTTCGCCAACATGCTCGGCGTCTCGCTCTTCCTCCTCGTCGTCCTCTACCACTACGTGGCCGTCAACAACCCCAAGAAGCAGGAGTGAGGCGCCGCCGTGACGTCATGACCTGACACCCCCCCCCCGCGCGCCGTGACGTCACACCACCCCCCCCCCCGCAGGGCCGTGTCGGGGGGGGGAGGCGGGACGCCGCGCTTCTTCCCGATGGATTTTTGAACGGCAACGCGCTAATCCCGAACCAAACCGCCGCGTTAAAAAAGAAGTTAAAAAAACAAACAAACAAACAAACAAAAAAATAATTCTCTCGCGTCCCTCCGCCGGGGAGGGGCGTGGCCGTGCCGGGACCCGCCGGGGGGGGGGGGGGGGCTCTGCGCTGGCGCTGTGTCGGTTTTGGCGGGGGTGCCCCCCCCCCCCCCGGTGCGGTGCCGGCGGTCAGGCTTCGGCGCAGAACGAGAGGAGCTGCCGGTAGGAGCCGAGCGAGGGGGGGCCAGCGGGTGGGTGCTGCGGGGGGGGGGAGCAGGGTGAGGGGAGGGGCTGGAGCCCCCTTCCCAGCAGCGGGGGCTGCCCACCCGGCTGCCCCCCCCCCGCTTCCCAAACCCGCGGGGCCGTACCTGGGGGTGCAGCCCCTTGCCCCTGTGCAGGAGGAGTCCCTCGGCGCTCTGAGCCCCCCCGGGGGGGGGCTGCTGGCCCAGCCCTGCGGGGACAGACACCGGTGCCAATGGGGGGTGGGGGGGTGGCAGCCCCCCTTGTGCGGCGGGGGGGGGGGGGGGGGGGAGCGCCCCTGCACTGGGCCCTACCTGGCTGCGAGGCGGGGGGCTCGCCCCTGGGGAGCCCCGGTGGGCTCCGGCTGGTCGTTGCCCCCTTCCTCCACACCGGGATCCTGCTGGGGCGCAGGGGGGGCCCCCCTGGGCTGTGGAGGAACCACACGCCGCTGCTGAGGGGGCTGCGGGGTTTGGGGAGGGGGGGGGTGTCTGTTGGGGTCCACCCCCCCCAGCTCTGATGCCGGCACCTACCCAGGCTGTTCCGGGGCACTCCTGGCCTCCAGCTTCTTGGGGGGCACCTGTGGGGAGGGGAGGGGGTCTGGTCCTGGAACTGTGGGAGCCCCCCAACAGCTGCTGGGGGTCCTGCAGAGCCAGAGCCAGCCCCACAGTTGGGGGATCTCAGCCCCACAGTCAGGGGGGTCTCGCCCCACAGTCTGGGAGGGTCTCGCCCCACAGTCGGGTCAGCCCCACAGTCAGGGGGGGGTTTCAGCTCCATAGTTGTGAGGGGGGGGTCCCAGCCCCACACTTGGGGGGGGTTTAACCCTGCAGTCAGGGGGCCTCACCCCACAGTTGAGGGTAAGGGGGTGTCAGCCCCACAGTCGGGGGGGTGTAAGCCCATGGTTTGTGGGGGGGAGGGGTCTTGCCCCACAGTCAGTGGGTCTCACCCCACAGGCGGGGGGTCTCTGGGGAAGTGCCCGGGTGGTTGCTGTGCAGGGCCCCCCCCCCCAGTCCCGGGCAGGGATTGTGGGGGGGGGATCCAACATCTCCCAGCACATCCCGGGGGCAGCGTGTGTGTCCCCCCCGGCCCCCCGGGCCCGGCTGGCGGTACCTGCAGCGGTGCCGTGCCGGGGGCAGCCGCCGGCTCTCCCGCGCCGCGCTGGGCCTCCCGCGGTCCGTGCTGGGCGCTGGGCGCTGGCAGGGTCCCTGCGGGACAAACGAGATGGAGCTCAGCCCTCGGGGGGGGGGGGTGAGGTGGGGGCCGGGGGTGGGGGGGGAGCTGTGAGCCATGGCGGGGGCGCGGAACCGAGTTGTGCCGCGGGTGGGACGGGACAGACGCATGGACGCGGCCGTTTCAGCCAGGAGAGACAGAAACCCCCCGGCAGCGTGGCCGGTGCCGGACGGGATCAGCCCTACGGGCGCTCGGACGCTGCCACCCAGGGCATGGACCCCCCGCCCCCCCCCCAGGGACCCCCAGAGCCGGGTGCTTGGGGGGGAGGAGGAGGAGGAGGAAGGGGCCCGGCGCTCCTGCGGCAGCTGGATGCCCACCAGCCCTGGGAAGCGGCGAAGGAAAGCCCGAGCTTTTTTCTGCCGCTTTTCCCCTTCCCCGTTAACCGGCCTTTATCCCAACCCAGTTTCCTTCCCTTTCCCCCCGTTCCCAGCGCGGTGAAGCCACCGCAGTGTCCCCGGGGAAGGGACGAGGCGCCGAACGGCGGCGAGCCCGGCAGCGAACGGGGCCCCGCGGGCCGCAGCCAGAGCCCGGGCCGCGGTCGTGCAGGTTCACCGTCCCCCCTCCCGGGCCGGCGGCTTTATCGTGCCGGCGGGCGAGAACTCAACCTTGACCCCCACCGCGTCGGACACCGGGGCATCCCGTGCCATCTAGCAGCGCTTTGGGATCTCGGCATTCCCGGTTCCTTCCCGGCGAAGGAAGAATCCGTGATGCCGCCCCGGGACAGCCGGCAGAGCGGTGCCGACCCGCGCTGTCGCGACAGGCTCTCCCCACTCCCGGCCCCACGGGCTCTGCTCCTGCTCACGCGCCCGACTGTCGCCCGCTGCCCGGGATCGGCCCGGGGGGGGGTTGTTCCCGCTGGCTCCGAGCGCGGTCGGCAGAAGGAACAGACGTCACGACGTGCCCGTGAGAACAGAAGCCTTTTTTATTTCCTCCCCGCCACGGCAGATCGAGAGACGGGCGCTACAAAGTGCCGGCAAGCCCACGCGGCGGACGGAGCGACGGCGGAGCACGAGAAACGAGCCGACAGTCGGAAACGCGGCCCCCCACCCCCCCCCCCTCCCCAAGAGCCGCGCCGGCGCACGGAGCCTCGACACATCACCCCCCCCAGTCGCACAGGCAGCCCCGAAAGCGGACCCTCGCCCGCACCCCTCCGTCTTTGGGTGCTGGGGTACGGTGCTCGCTGGGCCGGGAGCCCCACAGCAGACTGGGGCTCCCAGTCCAGCCCCAGTTCCTTCGCTGGAGACCTGTGGGACCAGCCCCGCGGAGCGGCACCGGGGCTTCCCCCGCCTGACCCCCCCCCGCCCGCCCCACGGCGAGGAAGGCAGCGCGGGGGGCACAGCGAGCGCCTTGTTTTGGCACGTCCCCCCCCGCTCCCGGAGCACAAACGGGCGGCAAACCGGGGCCTCTCTCCCCACCGTGCCAGCGGCTTCGGGGCTGCGAGCCAACCCCCCCCGCCCCGCACAGGACTCGCCGCCTGTTCAGAGCCCCCAGTGACCGACTGGCAGCCGGGCCGTGACCAGAGCCGTGGGCCGCCAGCGAGTGCTGCTCGGCGGTGCCCGGGAGGGGAAAAGGCACTTTGGTGTATCCCGGCGGGCCGCGGGAACGCCTTGGGAGCGGCTGAGGCCGAGGGGAGGAGGTTTTCTGTTCCGGCTTCTCCAGAAGCCCCTGGGCCCCCACGGCCGGCGCGGGACGGGCCATCTCCCCCGGCAGCCCGCGGCGGACACGGTCCCTCTAATCTCGGTGCAGCAGAAGCAGCGGCAGCTTCTGCCCAGCCTGGGGCTGCGGGGCCGCCGGGCGGGAGCGCGGCCGGGCCCCGCGGTTCCCTCCAGAATCCGGGCTGGAGAACCCCCGGGTCTGGCCGTGCGGTGTCTGTCCCGGCCCAGCCAGGGGCGTGGGGCTGAGCGCGGCATCCGGGGCCCTTCCGAGGGGAGGGGGGGGCGGCGGTTCACACGCACTCCTTCCACGCAAAAAAACAACCCCCCACTTTTATTGCGTCAAAGCACAGGGTTTACGCTGGCACAGAGCTCTCCTCAGGGCTGCGGCTTCGCACAGCAGCTCGACAGGTACCGGACCAAGCGCACGAGCGGTCCCCAGCCCAGCTTACCTCTGCCCGGCGCCGGGGCTCTGCCGCTGCTTTTGGGGGGGCTCCGGGCGGCGGCGGTCGGAGCCGGGGCTCTGCCGCTGCCGAAAGTGAAGCTGGGGGAGGCTTTGATCTGCGGCGAGTCCTGGCTGCCGCTGGTGCCGTTGCTGCAGCTCCTCGTGCGGGACAGGGCGTTATCGGAGGCCGAGGTGGGGAGACCGCTGGAAGGGGGATGAGAAACAGGGAGGGGGGTGGGTTCGGCCCAGTTCTGTGGGGAGGGGGGTTCCCTCCCGCCAGCCCCTCTGCGCTCCCCCCCGTCCTTGCCAGCCGGTTCTGCCCCGCAGCCCGGGCAGCGAGCGTGAGACGCTGTCTCTGTCAGCTCCACCCCCCCCATTTTTTTTCCCCAGTGTCTGGGGACAGGGATGGCCCCACATCCTTGGGGCTGTCCCTGAGCAGCAGCAGACCCCAGCCCCCCCTGCCAGCAGCAGCCTCGGGGCAGCAGCCACGGCGTCAGAGTTCCCACTCCCTCGTGCCCAGTGCCCAAATCCATCCCAGTCCAGCGCCCGACTGGGCTGGGGAGGGAGAGAAGCAGGAGATGCTGGTTCTGTCCGCAGGCAGGTAATTGCTTCCCCATCCCCGCGGCAGCTGAACCCCCAAAGAGCTTCCCCCTGCACGGCTGCGTGCCCCCCTCCTGCCTGCCAGTGCCTCGGGCCGCCGGCACGGAGCAAACCGCCGGCACAAGCGCAGGCCCCGAGGCGGTGGGAAAGCAAGCGAATAAACCTCGGCCTCGTTAGCTGCAGGGCGACTCACTTGGAGTACATTTATCATCGCTAATTTGGCGTTATCCCGCAGCTCTTGCGCGCTCAACCCGGCGGGCCCTTACGTGGAGCTCCTGGGGGGGGTCCTGGCACCTCCTCGCCGCCGCGGGCCCCCGCCTGCACCCTTGGTGCCGCGCACGTGCTTCAGCATCCAGGCGCGCAGGTTGCTGAGGCAGCTGTGCTCGGAGAGGACGATGCGGGGCCAGGGGTTGCAGTCCGCCATGTCCAGCGCTGCCACGGCCACGGCTCTCCCGACCTGCCACGGCAAGAGGCCACCGGTGAGACAGGTCCCCGGGAAGAGCCCGCGGCTCTCCGGGAACTGGGGCGGAAACGCGGAATTTTCTCCCTGGGTGCGGAGGGAGCCGGCCGCCCCGCTGCTGGGGGGGCCCCTTTACCTGCTCAAACAGCTCCACGGTGTATTTGGAGGGGAAGGCGGGAGGGGGCGGCGGGCTGGCCCGCCCGTTGTCGTGGCAGGCCACGGGGATGCTGTTCACCGAGCGCCCCGTGTTGTAGTTGCACTCCAGCGTGTAGCTGTGAAGCGGGAGGAAGCCCACGTTACCCGAGGGATCCGCTGCTGGGAAACAGAGCCCGGGGAGGGGGGGAGCGTGTGTGTGTGTGTCACCCCGCCGGGGAGCCACCAGCATCCCCCCAACCCCAGAACCCGCTTCAGTGAGCTGCATTTTCTCGCCCGGAGGAGGTAAAAAAGCAGCAGTTGGGCCGTCGGGCGGAAGGCAGAGGCGTGCGAGGGCAGGAGCGGCACCCGTGGCACAGGACCCGAGGGACCGGGCTCTGAAATCGCTGCTGAGGTGAGGACTGGCCACGGGGGAGCTGAGGGCAGGAGCTCGCCGAGCACCAGCTCCCACAGCACCGGAATCCACCCCCCCCCTTGTCTTATATGACCGGTCAGGGCACCCGCGGCTGCCGGGGACACCCCGACGTGTTCTGTGGTCACCCCGAAAGGGTCCATGGTCACCCCGGGTGAGCCCGCGCCACGGACAGGGCACGGGAGAGACCACGGAGAGACGCCGGACCACGGACACGGCGCAGATGGCAGGGAACGGGCAAGATCCACAGAACCACCTTCGAGTCAGCCGGGGCTGGGCCGTGTGCCCGGGGACGTGGCAAAGCGGCGGCGGGAGCACGGTACCGGGTGTGGGGAGCCGGGAACGCCGAGGGAGCTCAGGCGACCTGGCAAAGCCGGAGCCCCGCGGGGGGGTGGGAGGGGGGGGATGAACGTCCCGATCTGCTGACCGAGAGGCCGGCCCGACTCTGCCGCGGCGTGCCGACGTGGCCTGGCACCACAGGGCCAACCGCCGCCGCGGCACCAACCAACCACTGACACACCGGCGACCACTGTGGCACCAACCACTGACACACCGGCGACCACCGTGGCACCACCAACCACCGTGGCACCAACCACTGCAGCACCACCAACCACCGCCGCACGAGGCCACGGCTCTGTGCTCCAGACGTGGAGGGGATCGATCGCCCCTCGCCAGCCACCCCATTCCAGGCTGTCCCGGGGGGGCCGGGGGCCCGTCCCCACACCTCCCCCCTGCTGCCGAGGCACTGGGTCCCGGGTTGCCCCTCTCCAGAGACGGAGGGTCCTGTAGCCCAGCACAGCCCCCAGCTCGCCCCCGGCAGCTCGGGGCTGGCACTTTGCAGGCGGAGCAGGGAGGGAGGGGGGACTGACTGACAGACAGACAGACAGCCTGTGCAAGGCAGGAGCTCAGCCCAGGGCGCCAGAGCAGGGCTGAGCCTCGCTACACCAAAATAGCAGAAGACGGGTGCCCTGGCGCCGCGGTGCCGTCGCCCAACGACGACAAGTGACCGATTTTCTTTAAAACCGACCACACGCCCGCTTGCCCAGCTGGAACTGTCAGGACAGCAAAAGCCAAAGCGATGCTGCCGGCGCCCCCCGCCCCGGGCGGGAGCCAGGCGGCAGAAAGCAAACGCTGACCCCCCCGCAGCGGGGGTGCCTCGACTGCTCGCCGCCGCGCCAGGAGCCCGCTGAGGACCCACCACGGGCCTCGAGGGTGGGGACGGGGCAGAACGGGCTGGGGGGGCTGTGGGTCGGGGGCAGCCCGGCTGCAGCGCCCACGCCACGGTGGGAGCTCGGTCACCCGAGAGAAAGGAACAAGGCAGAAAGCAGGATCCCAGCCCTGGGCGCCGGGAGAGCAGATTTTTGGCTTTTCAGGGATCTGCTCGGGGGGGTCCCGAGGGGCAGGGCCCTGGTGAGAAGAGGGGCCCAGGAGAGCCCATCTGTTTTTGGGGGCTCACCTCCTCCAGCTCCACAACAGTCCACCCAGGGAGGTGGGAAGCTGAGCAAAGGCGGCAGGACCTGCAGGGATGATCAGGGAGCTCCCGACTTGGGCTTGGAAAAAAACCCAAGGGGTGGAAGAAAGGAGCGGTGATGCAGGAGGGACACAGAGATGCTGTCCAAATGGGCAGGGACTGGGGTGGGAAAGCCAAAGCCCACGCGGAGCTCAAGCTGTTGGGGGATGAGAAGGGCTTCAAGGCGGCTTCCAGAGGTATCAGGGGTGGAAGGAAGACAAGGGAGAGTGTGAGCCAGCTGCTGAATGGAGCTCGACCTTCTCCACCTCCGTCGTCGCTGGCGAGCTCAGCGTTCAGCAGTCCCTGGCCCCCGAGAGCAGAGGGAAGTTGGAGGAAGCAAATGTCACCCGTCTTCAGAGCCAGGGACCCATGAGCAGGTCAGCTCCACCTCAATCCCCGGGAAGGGGACATGCTGCACAGTGCAATGGGTGCTAGAAATTCACCTCTGCTCAGCGGTGATAAATAAAGAAACCATCCATTAAATACTGCTTCTATCCCCCAGAAAGTCCTGGAGGCCTCCAGACTAGTGGAGGGTGTTGGGGAGTAACCTCCCCATATGGGTGCTGGATGGGCCACCCAAGGGTGATGCACAGCTGGATCATGGGCATGGAGGAACTCGTTAGCTGGGGATGGGATAATGAACGGCAGCTTTGTCCGTAGTGACGGTGAAATAGCAGAGTTCTTGGTCCTGAGGGGGGGAGAGCAGCAGAAGACAGACCCTGGGCCTCAGCAGAGCAGATTTTGGCTAATTCAGGGCACCAGTAAGGGGGATCCTGCTGGAAATGGCCCTGAGGGACAAAGCAGCTCAGGAAAGAGGGCGATTTTTGAGGACAGATTGCAGGAAGGGCCCATCCCAACGCTCAGGGAGATGCACAGACGTACCAAGGCGGGCTGGGAGGATCGCTCTGCCCAGAGATGGGGCTCCAGGAGGACAACCACCAGAAACGGAGCTTAACCCAGCCAGGGATCTCCTGAGAAACGCTCTCCGTGTGAGCCCATGGGCCCCGAGGGGCAGCACCCAAGGGTGCCGAGGGGCCGCCGAGGTCCTTGAGGGGCTCCTTTTGGTCGTCTCCAGAAGGTGACAGGGAGTTGGAGGGGGTGTGTGTGTCCCTGGTGGGTTGAGAAAGGCAAACGCTGCATCTGCTGTCGAAAAAGACAACCCAGGGACCGAGCGGCCCGTCAGCCTCACCTCGGTCCCAGAGGCGGCAAGAAGAAGGTGACTGGGAGCTGCCAGCCAGGACCGCCTGCGTCCCTCCGACCGCTCCGACACAGTTCTCATCCCACTGAAACCCAGCGAGTCGCCGTCCCCGTCCGCCTGGCGTGCCGGCACGGCACGGGCACCGCGAGCGCTCCCGACTCCAGCACAACGCCCGCCGCGTCTAACCGCGGGCCGTTCCCCGCCAGCCACTGCAAACGGGCACCGAGCCAGCTACACCAGCAACCCCGGCCTAAAAAACCCCCCTGTCTGTTACTGCAGGGGCGGTTTTAGCCGGATCGGCCGGGGCGCAGAGAAGCAGCAGAGTGCACGGCAAGGGCTGAGGGAACGGGGGGAAAGAAGGGAGCCTGCCCCCGCGCCGAGCAGCTCTTCGCGGGAGAAGGGGTGCGGGGGGTTTCTGGGGGAAGTCCGCATCTCCTCAAAGCACAGATTCCCGCGGGATGCAGCACCTACTAAAGCAACATGACACGCTTCTCTTGTGCTCCTCCCCCGGCACCTGCAACCGGCCACTGCTGGGGCCAAACGGGGTAAGACAGGCCGTTGGTCTGATGAGTTCAGCCACTTTAATGATCCCAGCAACCACAACAAAAACAGGCCAAAAATATCCCATCCGTTGTTGGGAGAGCGGCCCGTGGCTGCTACAGGCCACACAAATACCCTCACCGCCCAGAATCACGGATTGGCCGAGGCTGGAATCTCGCACGGCAATCTCGCAGGCGAGGTCTGGGGAAGCTGAGCCCTTTGCAGGTTTTAATTATAGCTCCCTACAAATACAAACGTCTGGGGAAGAGGAGAGTTCCCTCTGGGAAGGCGTGCACGACAGCGAGGCCGAGAAGCCAGAGGAGTGGCGGGAGGGATGTGCAGGGAGAGGGGGTACGAGAGGAACGCGTGGCTGCTCGGCGAGGCAGCGCTTTGCCTACCTGTGGATGATCCCCAAGGCTTTGTAGACGGCCACCCGCCCGCTGCCCTCCTTCGACTGCCCATCCCGCTTGTCTCTGGCGTACATGTTCTTCTCCGAGAAGTTACAGCCCGTGAAGTCGAAGTGAGGCGAGTTCAAGGAGATGAGTTTGGGGAACAGCATGTTCTCCACCTGCGAGGCGCGGGGAGGAACACGGGCGACTTTGGTGGGGCGCTCTGGGGTGCTGGCTGGGACCACTCTGCCCAATCCCGGCGTCTCGCCCGGCCCCGGGGGGTGCTGCCCGCCTCTGCCTGCCCCCTGCCCATCTCCAGCTGGGAGAGGGGGCAGCTGGGCTCTCTCGGGGAGGAGGGAGCACAGCGGCACAGCTCTCCCCCAGCCTCTCGTCCCTCAGGAGGAGCAGCTCGTCCATCCTGCTCACGCCAGCTCCCGGGGGCAGAGCCGAGACCCGCTGCCGCCCCGTGACAGGCCTGGGAGGAGGGCAACCCCCCCCGAGCGTGGACGGCAGGGAGGGCAGCCAGCCCAGCGCCTTGTCCTCGGGCACCGACGGCAACCTCCCACCCCTCCCCAGCAGTGGGAGGGAGCGTTTGGGACCCTGGGGAGGGGGGAGAAGCAGGCAAGAGGGTCCCAGCCTGCTCCAGCACCTCTGTCCTCCCACCCCCTGCCCCTCACCTGGTCGTTTTCATCACTGAAGCTGTTGCCGTACATGAAACAGCCACGCTTGGAGGCGTGGCCGTGGAGATCGACGTAGTAAGCCAGCCCGCTGTCCTGGGGCGCGATGGTTTCGGGGATCGGGGCTGGCGGAGGGCTGGGGGCTCCCCCCTCCCAGCGCCCCGCGGTGCGGCTCGACGGGAGGATCCAGAGGGCCGGGTCGGCGGCGGGCGCTCCCGGGAGCCGGGGGTCCTGAGAAGGGCCACGGCCCGCGCCCGCACGCCAGGCGCTGGGCGAGTTGCGGAGGTTGTTAGCTTTCTCCAGCTCCGAAAGGGCAGCCTCCGGCGCCGGGGCACCGCGGCGGGAGGGCTGGTTGGAAGATTTTGTGCTTAGGGAGCTGGTGCCGAGCGGGGAGACGTACGTCCTCCAGTCAGGAGAGCCCGGCAGGACGCGGCTGTGGACGTGGTGGTAGAGCAGGACAGCTTTGGCCCCGAACACCGCAGGGTGCAGCTCGGCGTCGGGGTTGAGATACTGGCGGTTCAGGTTCACCCCGCGGGAGTCAGTTCTGCAGAGAGAGCAGAGGTCCCCTGGTTTTGGCCGGGATGGAGCTCATTTTTTTCTTTTTCTCCCTCTTAGCAGCTAAGACAGCCCGGTAGCTGTGGCTTGGGTTCAGGATGAGATTTGACACGAGAAGGCTGTCGATAATAGCAAGAACTGAAAACGTCAGTGTAAGAACTCCAGGACTTTTCATCTCCCCGCGTCTTGCCCGTGCGCAGGCACACAATAAGCTGGGGGGAGCACGGCCAGAACAGACCCAAACTGGCCAAGGGAATATTCCGTACCATACAGCGTCACGCTCAGTGTACAGGTGAGGGTTCATTGGGAAGCTCGCCCGGGCTTCCAGGATTGGGGTTTCAGGATTCTCTCTTCTCTGGGATCGCTGGCCGGGAACGGGCTGGGCATCGGTCAGCGGGTGGCGAGCAATCGCACCGCGCGTCACTCGCTTGTATTTTCTATTTTTACTGTCGTTATTATTTTACTTTTATCTGAGTCACTGTTTTTATCTCAACCTGCAGTTCTCCTTACCCTGACCCCTCCCGCCCCGTTCCCCAGCGCAGAGGGTGAGCGGCCGTGGGGTGTTGGGCTGCCGGCCGGGGTGAAGCCACGACAAGAGAAGACACGAGGCCCTTTGCACGGTGTCACCCGTTCTGCAAAGGCAGACCTGGCCCTCCCTCGTAACAGCCGAGGCTCTGGGCTCTATCCCGGAGCACCCCTGGCCACGGGGCATGCTGCTGTGGCACCTGGCGGGACGCAGCCCCCAGGCATCTCCCTCCCTCCTCCCCGAAGCCGGCCCAGCTCCAACAGCAAGGGCAGGGCAGTGTCCGAGCGCCTCGAGAACTGTCCAGCACAGCCCCAAAAACCTTCCGCCTTCCACGGAAGGGGACAAAGCCCGTGAAGGACACCTGGAGGAAGACTGTCTGGGTCACTCCTGCCCCCGGCAAGGGCAAACCCATCTGCGGGATCGCTCGCTTTCACTCAAGGACCGGATGAACTCGGTGGGTGATGGAAGGATGGGGAGTGCTGCTGTGTGCCCCAGGGGGATTTGAGCTGAGGCGAGAACAGCCAGTGAATTACACTGTATGATGTTAATTGGGACACAGCCCTGCCACTCCACCTCCTCACTACCGCAGCTGTTAGATGCTTTATCAACGGTGTTACACTAAAAAATCACCCAGACTAAGGAGGAACAAACTTTGACGAAACTGAGCGAAGCGCAGCAGTGATGGAACCAGAACTGACTTCAGCATCCAACAACCCACCACCACACACCACACACCACCCTCCTACTGCCACACGGTGGCATGCCCCGCATATAAACGGGGGGGGGTTGGCTGGGGAAGGGGCTGGACACCGCTCAGCGGGTGGTGAGCTATTGTACCGTGCACCACTTGCTTTGTATATTCTATTATTACTTTCCATTCCTTTTCTGTCCTATTAAACTGTCTTTATCTCAACCCATGGGTTTTATTTGCTTTTTCTGATTCTGTCCCCCATCCCATGATAAAGGCGCAGGGCAGCGTTGCTCGCCCGGGCTAGAAAGCCCCGATCTGGGAGATGAGCTGCACAGGCACAGCAGCCCCAAGCCCTCCTCGCCAGAGACCCCGGGGGTAGCAGGGGGAGGTTGCTGCAGCCCGTGGGCCTCGGCTCCTTCTACAGACGCAGGATCTTGGGACTGTTCTCCACAGCCAGCGCGGAAGGCAGAGCGGGCTCCAAACCGGGAGATGGGCCCAGCTTGCAGCCCGACAAAGCCGCAGCCCGCGCTCACTCACCGATAGTGGCCTCGCACCACCCCGTCGGGGTTCAGCATGGGAATGAGCTTAAAAACAAACATCCGCCGCAGCATCTGGGCGCGGGGGTCCTCCTCCCGCAGGATGAAGTCCAGGAAGCCATTGAAGACGAAGCTGGACGGTGTTTCTCCCGGGTGGACTCTGCTGCTCAGGAAAAACACCTGAAGGCAAAACAGAGCGGGGTGACGGGCAGGTTCCTGCCTGCCTCCGAATCGAGGCGTTAGCCAAGGGGCCAAACGCTCCCTGGGGCTCCCGAGGCGGAGCTGAGGCTTCACGCGGAGCCAACAACTAGGCACCAGCTGCGGTAACAGCATTTAGGGTGGTTTCCTTGCCAAGTGCCTCTCCTGGGAACTTCCCTGCTTGGAACACGGCTGCTTACCCCCCCGTGTGAGACCGAAGGGACAGAAGCCCCGCAGCCGAGAGGAACCAGCGCGTGGTGGCGGTGAAGCTGAGCCGCAGAAGCAGCCCAGGGAAAACCCCGCGTGATCCCGCTCAAACCCGAGCGCAACGAGGACACAAAGCACCTCCCGAAGAGCCCTTCTCCGGGTGGGAGCTTCTCAGCAAGAGACAGTCCTGCAGCCTCCCGGCCCAGCGCTGCGCAGCCGCAGAGGGAGCTCCCTGCCCGGGGCAGGGCCTGCCGCCCCGAGCACCCCACTTCCATCAGCTTCTTCACAGCTTGAGGTTAAAAGGAGGACAGAACAAAACTCCTAGGGAACGAGCCGCTAATTCCTTGCGGAAGGCGTGTGTGGTGCTACCAGAGGGTGTTTCGTGGTGCCGAGATGATGTGGATGCACTGGCAGGCCACCGGTTCCCACGTGGGATCTCACAGACTCCCTGCCCTGCCTAACGCCTCAGCCCTCCGGGACACGAGGGCGGCAGCCAGGCCCCGGCAGACGGACCGTGGCACGGTCCGCTGGCCGCAGCTCGCCGCCCCCGACGCGGCAGCTCACCCTCTTCCCCGCGAAGCGGCGCGGCCGGGGAGTGGTCGTGTCCGGGAAGAGCTTGTCCAGCCGGGGCTCCCGCTTCTCCAGCATGCCGTGACACGAGGTGACGGTGAGCAGGTCCACTCGCAGCTTGTCCAGGGAGTGGCAGAGCAGCTCCCGGTGGTAATAGACCGAGTCGAGGGGGCTGCAGGGCGAGGGGAGACGCTCAGTGGGACTCCTGCGGAAGGGTTCGGTTGGGAGCACCCAGCCCTGCCACGACGACCCCGAGGGGCTCAGGGGCCTCGTCTCAGTTGGTGAGTTTGACCCACAGAGACCACGGCGTCGCCGTCAGACCCTTGCCGACTGACCGCTGGGTTTTGACATTCTCACAGCCCTCCATCGCGTGACGATTTGAGAACAAACCCCTTTCAATAAACCATTGCTCGGCCCTTATTTAAGGAAAGGTACTTCGGATCCCCGCCCCGCGGCACGGGAAGCCTCTGGGGCCAGGAGGGGCTGCAGGACAGAGTTGTCCACAGAGACACCTGAAAACTGACTCTGTCCTCATCCTCCTCCCCCTCAGCCAGGCGTGTTAAGTTCTCCTCTGACTTCTGAGCATAAATTCTTGAGATCAGAGGAGCTTCCTAGCAAGATTCACAAAGCACCCGGCGCTAAGGCTGGCTCTGGGCAGCGAGATCTCCCTCTGGGACAGCAGTTGTAGAGGGAGAGGTGTCCAGACCTTCCTGCGGCCAGGAGCAGGGAAAGCAAATGAGGTGTTAGCCTCCGAGACGCTCCTCTCCTTAAACAAGTGCAGTTCTGTTACAGCCCCCCCTCAGCCTCTTCTGCCTGAGGGGAACCTGCCCTTGGGGAACCCCAAAGCAACAAAGGACCCTCCGGAAGCCCCTCGGAAGCGCATGCTTGGGGGGAGCTGCTCGTGCAGAGCTGGGGCCCGGAGAAGCAAGCACCAGGCAGCTCCCAGCGGGGAGCAGGGGGCACAGAGACACCCCCCCCGCCCCCAGCCCACCCTGCAGCCAGAGCCGGGCAACGCCGTGCTTCCACGGCGGGGGGCAAAGCCAAGCCGGGGCCGCACCTGGTGGGAGACATGTGCCTGCACTCCTGGAAGCGGCCGTCCAGCTGCGCCAGCATCTCCTGGCACTCCGTGTAGGAGAAGGGGTAGCAGAAGGCAAAGTAGGTGGTGGCACCGCGGTGCTCCAGGAAGCGGTGCACGAAGGACAGCACAAACTGCGTCTCCACCATCTGGGACAGACACAAAGCAGAGGCTGAGCAGAGGCCCCGGGAGCAGCCGGCACTGGCCATGCAGAGCCACCTCCCCGGCACCCTCGCCCTTCCCTAACCGCGGGGGAATCCACGCCGTGCTCCCAGCAGGTCGCATCCCCGAAACGCCGGCCCGCTCCCTGCAAAGCCCTCGGTTCCCTGCTCACCCCACCGCGCAGCCCTCGGCTCCCCGAACGGGCGCCGAAGCCTCATCGTACGCCCAGCTCTGGGGCAGAGCTCTCTGGAAAACCCTGGGGGTCCTTCTGGCCCTCGTGCCCACCCGCCAGCGCTCAGAGACCGAACAATAATTACTCCATTTCGGCACGCTTCGCCAAATTAACAAGGGCTGCAAAGCTCAGCTGTACGTCGGCGCTGCCGCCAGCCAGGGGATGGGAGAGTCTCTCCAAGCCCCGTTCCCTGGGGCAGAGGTGGGGGGCATGCTGGGGGCGGGGGTTCTGCCTCCTTACAGCAGCAGGCACAGAGCAAGGACAACCCTGAGCGCCCGCAAGCGCCTCTCCCCTCAGGCAGCTCCTACCAGGCAGAAGACAAGAAAACCCCCGGACCAGCAAGCTCCTGTTTGAAGCCCAAACAGCTTAAGAGGGCTGTGAGAATCAACCTGCTGCCGCGGCTGTTCCTGCTGGTTTTGATTCCCCGGGTGGTCACCCCACCGCTCCCCTCGCCGGGTTCTGGCACCCTGGCATCGCCGCGAAGAGCCGTGCTCTGAGAGCAGCTCTGCGGCTCCCCCCCCCCGTCGCACAAGAGGGGAATCACCCCATGGAAGCCTGCGCCGCCCCAAAAAAGCTGCTGGGTCCTCTTCTCCCCAGGGCTGGGCCCCCCCGGGGAAGGGGCTTTGTCGCTAACCCCCCCAACCCTCTCCCAAAACACAAACCAGCCGCTCGCCCGCCCCGTCCCGTCCCGAGGGAGGTCAGCGCAGCGTGGCGAGCGGGGAGGGGTGCTCGTGTCCCCGGAGCCGCCCCCCACCCTGAGCATGGGGTGCTGTCCTGCGCCCCCCCCCACCTCGAAGCTGGGCCGCTCGCGGATGCGCTCCCAGCGGGGCCGCACGGGCAGGGTGCGCACGAAGGGGGACATGCCCTGGGAGTACAGCCGGCTCTGCTTGTTCATGTTCAGGATGTGCAGCTTGATCAGCTTCCCCGGAGCCCCCCCCCGCACGCTGAAGTAGAACCAGGACCTGGGGGAGGGACGGCAGCGCCGGCTCAGCCCCTGCCCCGGGGTCCCTCAGACCCCCCGTTCCCTCTGAGCAGCCTGTCCCCAGTGTCCCGGGGTGGGCACAGCCCCCCCCCGTGAGCCCCCCACCCCTCTGAGGGCGTTCCTGGCACCCCCCAGGCCCCTAGGACCTGCCAGCCCCCGGGACCCCTGCAGCCCCCCAGGGCAGCCCCAATCCCCCCGGATCCTGCCAGCCCCCCGGGACCACTCCAGCCCCCAGAGTCCCTGCAGTCCCCAGGCAGCCCTCCCCCCAACTCCCGGGATCCCCCAGCCCCCCGGGGTACCCCCAGGACCCCCCTCAATTCCCCAGGATCCCGCCAGCCCCCTGGGACCCCCTCCAGGACCTCCCCAGATCAGCGGGACCCCCCAGCACCCCGGCAGCCCCCGGGACACCCTAGGACCCCACAGCTCCCCAACTCTCGGGGTCCCCCGGCGCCCCTGCAGCCGCGTGGGGCACCCCCAGGACCCCCCCCCCAATCCCCCAGGATGCTGCCGGCCCCCCTGCGCCCCTCTAGACCCCAGGAAGCCCCGGCTATTCCCCCGGGACACCCCCCAATTCCCCAGGACACTGCCAGCCCCCTGGGTCCCCCCGGCACCCCTGCAGCCCCCAGGCACCTCCCCAGCCCCCGGGACCCCCGCAGCCCTCCGGGGCGCTCCCGGGACCCCTCCGGACCCCCAGGCTCCTGCCAGCCCCCCCCCCGGCCGTTACCTGTTGCCGTTCTCATACTCGGTCTGGGCGCAGTCGGGCCGCGTCCAGACGTTGAACTCGTAGTCGGCGGCGGGGAGGGCGGCACCCCAGGCGGCAGCGGGGCCGCCCCCCGCCCCGGCCGGCTCCACCCGCTCGACGTGCGCCAGGTTACCGGAGTCGAAGCGGGAGCTGAAGAGGAGCCCCCCGCACCGGATCTCCATGGCGGCCCGCTCATCTCCCCGCCGGGCCCGGCCCGGCCCGCCGCGCCGCCGGGCAACAGCAACGCGCGTCCTCATTGGCCCGCCGCTCCCTTAGCAACGCGCCCACCCGTTGGACGGGCGCCTTGGGGGGGGGGGTGGGTGGGGGGGGCTCCGGCCACGCCCGCCCCCCCCCCCAAACCTCGCGTGTGTGCGGGCGGCTCCGCGCGTGGGGACACGGACATAAGACACAGACGGACGCGCGGTCCCGCCCCACGCGCGACAGCAACAAAAAAAAAAAAAAAAAAACCAAAAACAAACAACCCAACCCAAGCCTGGAGGATGCGGGTATCGATCCCGCCACCTCTCGCACGCGAAGCGAGCGCTCTACCGCCTGAGCTAATCCCCCGCCTCGCGCCAGCGCCCCACCCACCGCCCCCCCGGGGCGCGGACACGCGCAGCCCCCGCGTGGGGCGCGACACAAACGGCGCTTATCGGTGAAATCGGGGCAGTTTGGGTGGGTGTTTTTCTTCCCCCCCCCTCCCCATCAGAGGCTAACGGGGGGGGGGGGCGGTTCTGGACAGCCCCCACCCCACAGGCATCTTTGCCAAGGAACAAAAAGCACGTGTGTTAATGCAAAAAGGGAAAAATAAAATATATAAATCAGTCCGGTTCATTCACCCAGGAGCCATGGGAAAGGCGGAGGGAGTGGGGGGGCCATGTCAGGGTATCCCCCCCCTTCAATGCAGGCAAAGCGCAAGGGGAGGGGGATCGCTCACCCACCTGAGGGAGTGGGGGGACAGTGAGAGCCAAAGCCAAGTCACAGAGTGTGGAAAAACGTGGATGTGTGTTTCCCAGGAAAAAAAAAAAAGAAACAACCACTTCCCCACCCCCATAAGCCCGGATTCGAGCCCAAAAGTCCCCGTTTGTGCGTCTCCCTCGGCATCTCCATCCCACGGCCGACACGAGTGGCACCGGCGAGACGGGGGGGGCGGCGGGGACGTCGGGGGGAGCCCTGACCGTGTCCTCCCGCCAGCGCATCAGTGTCCGGAAACCAGAGCCAAGGCCCAGTCCGCGACGGCGAGGGTGGCGTTTTGCAGATAAATCCACGAGGAATAGGTAAAGCTGGCCAGGTGGTGTCTCACGCAGTCCCACGACACTTCTCCACTGGTGGTGGTGATGTTGGGGGGGGGGAAAAAAATAATAAATAAAAATGAGGAGGAGGGGTTAGAGGCAGGGCTGGGGGGTGGGCAGGCGCGCCCCGGCCCCGGCTGTGCCCCCACGGTGGCTGTGGGGTGACACTCAGCTCGGTCACCCGTGGGCGGCCCCGGCTCCCGGCAGCAGCCAGGGACACTGGTGGTGGTGGGGGGGGGGCGCGTATTTGGCTTTTGGCAGGCCCAGAGCTCGGGGTGGCGGCAGGTTTTGCGGCGAACGCCGCTCCCGGGGTGCGGTGCTACGTGTGTGTGTGTGTCCCCCCCAATAAAACCAGGACTTGGAGGGCCTGACCCCCCTCCCCCCCGCCCCCCCCCTCAAGCCCCGGGTGGGGAGGGGGGCGCAAAGCCCCGGGGGGGACGCTGCTCACTTGCAGGAGTCCAGGCAGCGTCTCCAGCCCCGCTCCAGCGCGGCGGCGGCGCGCTCCAGCAGCGGCAGCAGGCAGCTCCGCGCCAGGAACAGCAGCAGCTCCCGGACGCACTCGGCGAAGCGCAGCAGGGCCTCGGGGACGCGGCACCGGAGCTGCGGACCCCGGGACAGCCGGCGCAGGTTTAACACCGACCTCCCCCCCCCCCCCCCCTCCACGAGCGGCCCCGCGTCCCGCCACAAACCAGGGGGGGGGTCCCGCCACCGTGTGCCCCCCCTCCCCTCCTCCCCGCACACCCACCACGCTCCGGCTCCTCCAGGCCCTTCCCCGGAGGTTCAGCCGCCTCCACCGAACGGCAGAGACGCGGCACCCGCGCCGCTGGCTCCGCGGGGCGCTAAAGCCACCCCCCTCTTCCACCAAACCGCTGATTTTCAGGAAAACACTGAGTTATCCCTCTCCCTTTCAGCCACGGCCACTGCCAGCAGCTGGAGGAACGGCACCAGAACGCCTGCAGTGCCCAGACCACCCCCCCCCCCCCAGCACCACCGGGCGCGCAGACGCAGCGACAGGCACGTTGCCTTCCTCCTCCTCCTCCTCCTCCCAAGCCCCCAGGCCGGTGTTCCTCGCCTCCGCCGGGCCACCGTCCTTACCCACTCGCTGGCCCAGGGCTGGCTGTCGCGGACCCAGGCCAGCAGGGACGAGCACTGCAGGGCCACCTCGCTGCTCTTCGCCCACAGCAGCTCGAGCTGCGGCTGCAGGACGGCCGCTGCCTGCGAGGCGTAGAGGGGCAGGCTCCGCTCCAGCCACCTGCAACGGAACCGGCGGCGGCTGATGGCACTGCCGGTGGCCCCGGCCCCGCCGCGGGACGTACCCGGAGCTGCTGCCAGGGGCAGAGGAGAATCCAAGCCCCCCCCCCCGGCAAAGAGGGCTCCCCGCAGAGATCGCTCCGCGCTGCGTGAAGAGCTCCGCGCCCACGCCACGCTGCCCGCACCGCTGACCTGTACCCTTCGAGGCAGCAGTGGGAGACCTTCTGCCAGGCTTGCTGCGAGGCCGGCAGGACGCCGGAGGAGCGAAGCAGACGAGCGGAGGAGGAGGCTGGAAGAGACAAGAGGCGCTCCCTGAGCAGCCCTCCGCGGGAGCCGCGCGCTCGCTCCGTCCCTGGAGCCTCTCTCCGGGGACACGGAGCTCCGCAAGACGTCTCCGAAGATGCTTCGAGGCGGGACAAAGAGGGGCAGCAAGCCCCAAGACGAGAGGAAACCTGGGTTAGGGCAGCCCTGGGGGAAACCTCCCAAGAGGGGCTGGGTGGGGGGGTTTGGCTGCAGCTCTACGCAGCCCACGCACGCCCCACGCCGCAGCACAGGGCCCGGGTGAGGGCAGGGGCGCGGAGGGGCTTCGCTCAGGGGAAGGGCGAAGCTGTCGCTCCCCCGGGGACGCTCCTCCCGCGCCAGGGGCGCGAGCCGAGCCGCCGCCTTACCCTGGAAGGAGCCGTGCGTCCGGACGTCGTGCAGGAGGAACCCGGCGGCGAAAACCAGGAGGACGAGCAGCGGCCGCTGCCAGGGGAAGCCCCGGCCCTTCACCTTGCGCAGCAGGTCCTGGGCAGGCGGGAGGACGAGGCCGCGCTCAGCACCCGCCCCCGGCTTCCCCGTGGAAACCCGTGTCACCTGCCAGGAGGACGGACGGGGGGGCCGGCAGCCGGCCCCCCGGCGCAGCCCCCCGGCTCAGCCGGAGCCTGACCCCAACCCCAGCGAGGAGCCCAACTCCGGCTGGCGCCGCCCGCCCCGTCCCCGCCCGGGGCTCACCTTGCAGGCGGCATCGCAGGCGGCCACATCCTGGCTGCCGTTGGGCCCCCTGGCCGCCAGCTCCTCGTTGGTGACTTTGAAGGAGCGAACCGTTTCCTGCAGCGACTGACGCACCTTTTGGGGGGGGGGGGGAAGGCAGAGCGGCGTCACGGCACCCCGAGCGAACCCGGCGGCGCAGGAGGGAGCGGGGACGGGACGGGCAGGAACGCCGAGGAGCCGCGGGACGGGTCGGGCTGTGGGGACACCCCCCCCTGAAGCTCCCGCACCGAGACACCGCGGTGCTGCTCCCCTGCTCTGCCAGTGCAACCCCCCCCCCCCCCCGCCCGTCGCAGCACCAGAGAAGCCAGGCCTAACGGGGGCTGGATCCAGAACATCCCGAGTCCCGACGCAGCAGGCGGAGGGAAAGGGGCTCTGCTCCCCGCCGGCAGCGCGGCGCCCGTTCCCAGGGCAAAGCGCTGGCTCCCAAGCCTGGCACGCACACCACTCCTCCTTCCCACAGCCGCCTCCTACCTTCTTGCTGCTGCTGTCCCAGGACTCCAGCAGATGGTTCAGAAGCAAACTATGGGGAGGGGAAAAAAAACAAAATCAAATCACAGGGTTGGGTCAGGAGCTCCGAGAAGCATTTTAAGAGTCCTAAATGCCAGCGGGGTGGTGCTGCAGGCATGAACCGACCTGGACTGGGAGAGGTGTTTGGTGTAGAGCTGCCTCCAGACGCTGAAGCTCAGCGGGTCCAGGCTCAGGCACTGGCTCATGGAGGTGAGGAGCTGGGAGGAGCACAGCAGGTCATCACTCTTGATCCTCACCCGCCCCCAGCATGACACGTCACTCCGGCACAGCCGACTGCCCCCCAAAACCTGCCGGCTCGCTGCTCTCCCCCCAGCCAGCTCCCGGGGCACCGAACTACCCCAGCGTTTCCAAAACCCGGGCGTGGGTGGCAGGAGCCCTGGTCTGTGTCTGCCATCCTCGCCTCGGGACGGGCTGACCCGACGGTCCCTCCCCGCCGGGGACACGCTCCCACGGGAGCTGCCCGACCCACCTGCCCGTTCCGGCTCGGGCACGGGGGAGCTGGGCCTGTGTGAGGGCTGCCCGTGCCCACGGACACCAGAGCCCCGTGCCCACCGCGGCGGACGGGACCCGCTCGGCTGTCCCGAGCCATGCGGTGACACGCAGGGACCGGGGGTCCCGCAGCGCCCAACCTGTGGCGCCACGCACCCCCCGCCCCGCTCTGTGCCCACCTCTTTTTTCATGCCGGGAGGGCAGCTCGGCGTAGCTCGGGAGAGGAACGAGGGGAAGTAGGTGTGCAGCGACGTCTCCGGCTTCGCGCCGAACGCCAGCACCTTCAGGCGGGGGTAGAGCCGCCGCAGCTGCTCCTGCAGGCTGAGGGGAGACGGCAGCGGGGTGCGGAGGGCGGCCAGGACGTTCGCCCCACGGCACAGCCCGCGCTGGGGCGTGCTGGGGGGGGTGCTGCTGGCGTACCTGGGTGGCAGCGAGTTGTTGGGCATGAAGGCAAAGTCCAGGAGGGGGAAGAAATCCTTGGGCCCGATCATACCGAAGCCTTTGGTCAGGTTCGGGTGCATCCTGCGCGGCAGAAAGAAACGCCGTGAGCCTCGGCAGGCGCGCCAGCGGCCGACCGCAGCCCGGGACTGGGTTGCTGGTAAATTAAATGAACTCAGAGAAGAGAAACCAGATTATAGGAAACCAGTTGACTAAAGGCTCAGAAAGATGAGGGTGAACTGTGAATTTTGGCTGAACGCATCTCTGTAAAGTCCTCTGGCAAAAACAAACGCAACGTTCTTGTTATGGTGAAACAGGGGGAAAAAACAAAAGACAAAACAAAACAAAAAAAAACAACTTGAATAAAACCTCCTGAACCCTTTGGAAGGGCAGGGGATGCCCCTCGGTGCCCACCACGAAGCTGCTCCTGGCCCTTCCCATTTCCCTGTCAGCTCCCTGCGCTGTGTGGCACCACGCTGCCTTCCACCCCGGGTGCTGGAGCTGCCACAGCCGCCCCACCCCGTGCCGTGCCGGTGGCTACCATCACCCCCGCCAAGGCCACCAGCGCCGCAATCCTGACCCTCAGCCGGACGCCACCTCCCTTCTCCCCGCAGGGAAAAAGCTCATCGGGCTCCGCTCCCCCTCCGCCACCAGCACCCACCCTCCCCATTTTAGGGAGGAAACCTGCGCAGAAACCCCGGAGCCACGGTGGGAGCAGCAGCCACCGAGGCACCACGAGCGCGGCGGGGACACCCCACGCCACAGGCAGCCTCCACAGATCGAAGGAACCCACGCGGCGAGGCTCTGCGGGGCACGCACACTCAGGTTTTTTCCACCAGCACAGCGCAGACACAGCCACCCCCCCCCCAGCCCCGGCAGGCGCTCATTTCTCTTAACGAAGCTGCCCGGAAAAATGAAAGTGAGGTGTAACTCACACCAGCAGCCGGTCCAGGTAGGCGACGGCGTACGGGGAGAGAGCCTTGATGCCGAGCACGGGGAGCATGACGCCGAGCCACACTGCGGGAGAGAGGCAACGGTCAGACCTGGGGGGGGGGGGGGGGGGCTCTTGCTGTGCCCCCCAAGTGACAGCGGGCTCCTTCCCTCCGCACCAGCCCCGCCCGGCTCCGCGAGCAGCGACCCGAAAGCGGAGGAACGCTCAGGACAAGCCACCCCCTTCCCGTTTCCCAGCCAGACCCCTCGGGGAGGGCGCCGGGGCTCGCACGAGCGGCGCAGCAGCACGCTCCCTGTCCTTCCAGGCAGGATGGTTCCCCCGGGGGTCCAGCGAAGGGGCTTCTTGCGGCATCCCCGGAAATAATGCACCGCTTCCCGCGGCTCTGCGCCGCCGCCACTCGGAACACCGAGCGCTCGTGCCTCCCCAAACACCCTCTGGCACAGGCCACCCCCCTTTCCGCGGCGGCAACCAGCCTTTCACCTGCACGTCTAAGGAACGACAGCACGCGTGAGGGCAACGGCGAGCCGCGTCACGCCGGGCAGCAAACCCCGGCCCGCGGGACACCACCGCTCCCACTGACCCCGGGATCTTTCACGTCTTTGCCAACCACAGGCGATCCCACGATTCTCCTCCCAGGCAGGCAGCCTGGCACCGCGGCGGCCGCCGGCACCCCGCTCCCCAGGACGTCCCTCTCTGGCACTTCGACAGCGGGACGGCGTGTTTCGAGGCAGATCCCACGCCTGAGCGGGAACGCCCGTGGGAGCAGGGGCGCGTGGGCAGCTCCGGGGGACGCCCCAGCTTTCCTCCCCCGCGGCCGGTCCCGGCTCTCACCTTTCAGGCCCTCGTGGAGGTCCGTGAATCCGGCCTGTCCCAGTGCCCAGAGGACGGTGAGACATTTCGCTGGCCTGTTCTGGTGGGACCGCAACACCTCCAAGTACTGGGGCGAAGACGAGACACGTTAAGTCAAGAAAAGCCTCAGCCCGTCCCAGCCCACGGGGGCTCCCCCTGCCCCCCCAGAGGGACCCTCAGCAGCAGGGCAGGCCAGGGGCCGTGTTGACGGGGGGTTGGCACAACCCCAAACCCTCCCCTCGGGGACGCAGAGCCCTGGGGCAGCTCGCTTCGAAGGAGCGGGACCCCAAAACCCGCATCGGTCCCAGCGCAGCCACGGGCGGACGTGTCCCGCTCCCCCGGGAGCGAGCGCGAGCTTTGGACAAGGTCTTTGAAGAAAAGACACCTACAGCGGCTCCAGCACACCTGGGGAGGGGAGCTGCTGGAGATACTGGTCCCTCCGGGCTAAGAGCACAGGGAGGCTCACGGGCTTCGTGCGGGGGACACCCCGAAGGATTTCTGATTAACGGGGACGGACGCTGCCGCCCGGCGGCGCCGGGGGAGCTCGGGGCGGGGAGGAGCAGCAGCACCGGTCACTCAGCTCACCTTGCCCAGGTTCATCGTGGCGATTTTGGGCCTGTCCAGAAGCACCGCCTGGATGCAGATCCTGTACCCGTGCAAAGACTCCCCTGAAAAGGAGCACAGGCGGGGCCCCCCCTCAGCCACGAGCCGCCTCCGATGCCTCCCTCCCCCCACGGTACCCCCCGAAAGTTGGGGGGGGGGGGGGGGGGGGGGATGACCCCCTCCGCACAGACCTGCCCTGCTCACTGACTAACGAGCCCCAGCACAGCAGCGTGGGTCCTGCTCCCCCCCCGCCCCCAGCACAGCTCCAGCCCGCAGGAGCAGGATGGACCCCTCAGAAACCCACCGGCAGCTTCCTAAAGCCCCCCCGCCCCGGCCCAGCTCTGCCCTGCGAAGCAGCAGCAGGCAGGCACGGGCACGGCCCCAGCGCCGGGACCTCCCAAGGGCTCCTGTCCCCCCTGTTCGCGTTGAAAAGAAAGAGGGCTCAGAACGATTTTGGGCTATTCCTGTCATTTCGATCCGTCAGGAGGGTTTTGTGATGGAAGACAAACGTCCTGCGGGGCCCCCGGCTGGTCAGGGCGGGCAGAACCAGGGGCTGCTGCTAAAAACGGCGCGAGAGGGGTGTAAGAAAACAGGATTTAGGGTTTGAGCCCGAGGCCCTGCTGCAAGCAGCGGGCCCTCGCCGGCGTCCAGGGCGCTGCTCCTGTGCGCTCCGCGGCCGGGACCCTCCGCTCCGCAGGAAACACCCTTACGGGGCGCACGCTGGCTTTTACCAAGTTTCCTAAAGCCAAAGGGCCCCTTACGGGGCGCACGCTGGCTTTTACCAAGTTTCCTAAAGCCAAAGGGCCCCTTACGGGGTGCACGCTGGCTTTTACCAAGTTTCCTAAAGCCAAAGGGCCCCGTTCTAAAAGCCGCCGCGACACACGACACCGCGCAAAAGCCCTCGGAAAGGCGCTTTCCGCCGCGCGCCCCTCGGCCTGCGGTGCTCCCCCTGAGAACGTTACGTCTCAACGGGTAAAGCGACCCCAGGAGGGTTGGGAAGGAATGCCAGGAACTGATAACGGAGCTGGTAAAGCTGCCAGAGCCACCCTGAAGCAGCAACGCTGCAATTAAACCAAGGAAATGCCGAGATAAGCGCGAGGGGTGACACCATAAAACCGTCAGGCCAGGGAAATACCGAGATAAGCGCGAGGAAACAAAAGCTGCCAACTGAACCAAGGAGAGAACCACCTGCCCTGAGCCAGCTTCCATCAGCAGCAGAGACCCGCCTCGGGGGGGAAGAGCCCCTGCCAAGAAAAGCCCCGTCCTCACTGAAGGTGTGCAGGTAAAACAAGGTATTGCGACTTGAAACGGAGCCCAGCCCTGGCGAGGAGCAGCGAGGAGGAGGAGGAGGAGGAGGAGGAGGAGGGAGGCCAAGCTTATCAGTCAAAAGTGCTGATAACTGTCGCTGGGGTGGTGACCCTGCGCTAACCCAGGGGTGGAATTACCACCCTGCTCTGCGCGGACGCGGATTAAACAAATAGCTCAAGTCTGGGTGGTTTTCGGTTCATTGAACACTGGGGGGAAAAAAAAAAAAAAAACACCAACCAACCAAACCAAAAACAAAGCAAAAGAAAACAATCAAACAAGTGATTTTGGGGATAAGAGCTCTGGCGGCCCAGCGGGGCCGGGCACACGGGCTCGCCGTCCCCGGCAGCCGATGGAACCGACACGCTGAGCCCGCCCATTCCTCCCGAGGAAGGGACGAGCGACTCGGAGGTGCAACGCCCAAGCAGAGACATTTGAGTAAGGGCGAGTTCCTGGATTGGCGAGCATTAAATTTAGCTTAATTGCTTCCGCAGAAGATGATAAAGTCGCGCGTAGATGCTCGGCGAGGGTCGCCTCAACCGACCAGGGGGGTCAGAGCCCGCAAGTAGGTATTTGGTTGGAAAGGGCTCGAGCCAACCCACGAGTCCTCCCTGTAGCCCTTTGGGGTGTATTTTGAAAAATAAACTGGTTCAGGGGGGATTTGATGAATGAGGATAAAATGGAAAAAAAAAAAAAAAAAAAATTGTAGTAAATGGTGGCCAAATTACAAATAACTGATGGCGAACAGTGGCTGGAAAACGCGTCTTTGCAATTCAACACCACGACAACTGATGCTGTTCTGTCGTTGCTTGGGAAAATGGGATGGAGTGACTTATGTTGATGCCTTTACAGCTTTGTACAGGGATCCTGACAGTTAAAAAAGTGTATTAGCAGGATATATGTTAATGCCATGTACTGAGGAAAAGAACCTTGATCTTTGGGACAACAGCAGCACCGCGGTGGGCTCACACCTCGCCCCCCGTGACGCCTGCTCTGCCTCCTCCAGCCCGCGGCCCCGCGGCCTCAGCAGCGCCGCGCGTCAGGCCGACGAGCGCCCGGGCAGGAACGGCCCCTCGCTGCGCACAGGACGCCCAGCAGGAGCTTCCCACCTCCCCTCCTCCCCAGAGGGGTTCCCAAGAGCTCTTAAAACGGGAGACGAGGAGCAGCCCCCATCCCACAGCCGAAAAAGCCAAACCCCTTCTCGTAGAAGGATCACCGCACTCACGGGGCACACGGCGGTGCCCCGGGACTGCGCCCACCGCGTCTTACCCGGGGTTTTGTCCAGCTCCTGCAGCATGGTGTAAATACAGTGGTCGAAGAAGAGCTCCAGCACACCGGACGACCTTCCCAGCAGGGATCTGATGATGCTCCTCAGCTCCTTGCCCACGAGGCAGTACGGATAGTCTGGAGCCAACACAAGAGCAGGGAGAGTTGAGCGGGCGGCGGTCTGCGAGGAGAAGCTGGCACCCCGTCCCCACACACCACGCGGCCCACAGCTGACTTCTTTCTCAGTTGCCCGGCGTTAGGTGCGCCTGGCTCAGCCCTAAAGCACTGCCTTCTGCTAAACGTCGATGCTGCAGGGCGGACACAGGCTTTGGGAAGGTTTTCTGCTCTTTTACCCACCGCCGCCCCTGGCGACGAGTGCAGACTGACAGATCACGTGTAAAAGGGAAATCCAGCCAGAGCATCCCTTTCCAAGGTAAGTGCGGACACAAGCGAGCAGATTCCTGAATTTCACAAGAGCTGGTACAGGTCACGGGTCCTTACGGAGAAAGGGTGGCTAGGGAAAGGCTCTAGTTTGCCAACTGTACACTTGTTGCGCTGTACAGTCCGGCTGTACGCAGTTTTGTTGTCTTTGTAGCCAAGGAAAGCCAACTGTGGTGATATCAGAGAATCAAGCAAATAACCCCCATTGTATTTGTTGAATAAAGAACAGTCTTGTGTCTTTTCTATTACCAAGTTTCCTAAGACGGTTTTGGCACAGAAAAAAAGAACACCAAAAAAGTCCCAACTGTTTGGAGGGGCGGGGAGAAATCAAAGCCAAGCCCAAATGTCTCAGTTTGCAGGGAGCAGCCCCGACTGCGGGACAGGCTCGACCTGACTCCTCTCAGATTTTTCTCTCCTTTCACATCTGTTGACTACTTTGGTCCTGTCTGCTTTGAAACGTTTTGACAAGCCGCCTCTGTAGCGAGCCGTCCTTCCACCTGTACTCTTCAGAAACCTGCACAAAGTAAACCTGGCGAAGAACGCAGCACCCAACTCCTTCGAGTCTCCCTGCCGGGACCGACGGGCGGACTCGGTGACCTTCTGGGTCTTTTCCAACCAAAACGGTTGTACGGGCTTGGCGGGGGGTGGGGGGGTGGGAGGGGACAGAGGCTGCCCCGTCACCCCTCCGCCCCGTTTTAGGGCGCACGGGGAGGTCGGAGAGCACTGACCGTGGGGGTGCTGGCTGAGCACGGGGTCGCTCCTGGGCGCCTGCAGCTTGTAGTTGAGATAACTGGCCAGGTCCTTCACCCAGACAGAGGGGTTCTCGGGGAACACGCTCTGGCTTTTATCCAGCTCCTTCTGCAGATCCGCCAGGTCGAGCTGGAAGCGACAGACAGACAGATTCAACCCGGGATGCGCAGAACTACCCGAAAAGCACGGAAAGGAGAACGTTAACTCGAGTTCCTGAGGGAGGAGGGAAGCACTCCTCGCCTTCACCACCACCCTCCCAGCCCACCACCCAGTCACGCGAATGGGAGCACTGGCCTGGAAACAGCGTTTGGTTTTCTACCAGAAAGACGTTTTCTTCAGATTAGCAAACCAGGGAATAACAAAACCCACGCGGGGAACTGCCCAAAGGGGCTGCAGAAAGGCCCAGAGCCAACGGAGACAGCAGGAGGACGGGCTGTGCCGGCACAGCTGCGGGAACCAGCTCTTCCCCTTCCTCAGAGCTTCGCTCCACCTTCCCGCCGGCGCGGCGAGCGCGGCCCAGCGCCAGCCGGCACAGCCACAGCCACAGCCCGCTCCGGGCAGGATCAGCCCAGCGCCCTCAGGCAGCTCCACACCCTCCCAGGAGAAAACAGCCAAGCTCATCACGACCCACCCAATTAACAACCTGCGACCCACGAGTACAGACAGCAGCTCACACCCCCTCGCCTTCCTCCTCCTGCGCTGTCACGAAACACGTTTACCATCTGCTTCTAAGCTCGGACTATCTGCAAGCTTGCAGGGAGAGGTACCCTGTCTACGCTTCAGGGAGCGCTGCGAGACTTAGGGTGGCTGTTTGAAGTTTTGCAAAGTCTTAACATTTCCGTACGCAGAGGATTTCAGCCACAGCACGTTATTAAATCCAAGCCGGGCACCTTTTGGTGCACGTTTATTTCAGCGACTGTTCTGAAGGGAGGAACGAGGAAAAGAAATAGCTGCCTCTACGTCAAAAAACCCGAAGCGACACCGTCAGCAAAGCCGACGGAGCAGCAGTCGCGCCCTGACACACGCAGAAATCACGCGGCGATTCCGCTCCGAGCTGCCCCCCTGCCCAAAAGCTGGACGTGGGGAACCGTCCCCGCGGGGCGGACGAGCCCCCCGCCCCGGGGCAGGAGCTGGACGGGGCTGCGGGAGAGCCCGGCCAGGCAGCCGCTGCCCCGACCGAGAGCCGGTTTGGGGGGGTCCCCTTCTAAAAACCCGCCGGCGCTCGGAGGGGAGGCAAACGGGCGGGTTCCTGAGGGCTCCCCGCGGGCAGCGGAGCACTGGGGAGCAGCTGAAGGGAAGGAGGACACGTTCCCCCGCCAGAAATTCCCCTTCCAGCCGCCTCCCGCCGAGGCACAACGGCACACGGGGCGCAGCCCCCCGGGGTGCTCCGGGCCACGGCGACCGCCCCGGGGGGAGGCTGGGGCGCGGGGGGGGGCCTTCCTCCTCCTCCTCCTCCTCCTCCTCCTGGGGGGTGACGGAGCGAAACAGGGCCCCGCTCCCCGCGAGGGTTGAACGATGCTGCTGCCGGGGGAGCGGGGGGTAACGGGGGGCTCGGCCGGGCACACTCACGGCTCGCAGGGCTTCCTCCAGCGACCGGCATTTCCCCGGTCTGGCGTCGCTCGCCGCCGGTTTCTTGGCGCTTCTCCCGGCGTGCGGCCGGCGGCGCGGGGGCTCGGCGGCGGCGGGGGGAACCTGCTCCTTGTTCTGCTTCTTCGGCGCCTTCTCGAAGCCCAGCTGGAAGGGACCGGGACCGGCGGCGGGAGCTGCGAAACCGGAGGCGAAGGGGAGTCGCGGGAAGCGAGCCCCCGCGGCCGCGAGCTCCCCCCCCCCCCCACGCGAGAGCACCGGGCCGCCGTGACGCTACCGGCGGGGAGGCCGACACTCACCGGACAAAGGCAGCGCTCGGCCGGCGTTGGCTTCGCCCAGGGCGCGGCGGCTGCCGGGGCCACTGGTGGGGCGCCGGCCCTTGCGCACCAGCTCCCAGCGGCCGCCGGCCGGGCCCGGGCCCGTTCCCGGTGCCGCCGCCGCCGCCATCATGGCCGCTGCACCAGGGTAACGGGGAACGGCGGGGGGGGGGGGGGCGTGATTTGGAACCGCGCATGCGCCCATCGACCGCGCCCATTGGCTGCAGCCGCGCACACCGGCCTGGCGTAGCTGCTGCCACGTCTCCGCCCCGCCCCGCCGTGACAAAAACGATCCGCCCCCAATCACGCCCCGCCCCGCCCACACAGCGGGAGGGGTCACGGGAGGGCGTGGCCTGAAGCGATGGTGGGGCGGGGTCATGCAAATCACGCCGGTGTTAACGATGCCTCGGGGGCGGGGCCACGTAGAGCTCATCGCCGGCACAGAGCCGGGGCGGGGCGAGGGGGCGGGGCCATGCAGATTAGGGAGAGCGAGGGGTGACGGGAGGCCGTGCTGCCCCAAGACGGTGCCGCTGACGGCCCGCGCGGGAGCTGCGCGGGGCCACGCGTGGGCGGCGGGAGGCGCGTGGGTGCGGGCGGGTGCCGCGTCGGGGGAGGCGGGCGAGAGGGCCGGGGTGCCGCGTGTTGTGTGTGGGTGCGGCGGGGTGGTCCCCGGGGCGCGGGGAGCAGAGTCATACTTACCTGGCAGGGGAGACACCATGATCAGGCAGGTGGTTTTGCCAGGGCGAGGCTCATCCCCTGCACTCCGGGTGTGCTGACCCCTGCGATTTCCCCAAATGCGGGAAACTCGACTGCATAATTTGTGGTAGTGGGGGACTGCGTTCGCGCTCTCCCCTGGTGTCCGTGGTGGAACGGCAGATCCCGAATCGAGAGTGGGTCCCGTGGGGTGGGCTGTGCGGGCCCACTGCCCGCGGCCGCCACCGCGTCCCCTGCGGGAGTGGGGCCCCCGCGGCCGGGGGCAGCGGGCGGAGCTGCGGCCGTGCCCCCGCGGCTCGGGCTCCGCTGTCCCCGCCGGCCGGGGGTGTCGCGGCCCGAACCCGAGCGGGACCGGCGCCGCTTGAGCCGCCCGCGGGGTCGACACCCGGAGCTCGCGTGGAGCCCGAGTCTCGTCTCCCGTTGCCGCCCACGCGCGGCCGGGCCGGAGCTCGTGTTCGCCGTGGGGCGAGCCGGGCTTCGGCCACGGGCTCTCGGCAGCCGCGAGAAGCAGCGCGGGGCCGCCGCCGCCCCCGCGGGATTTGCGAGGGAGCCGGGACCCGCCCCCTGAGGCTGATGTGCGGCCGCTTCCCACGCGCGGCGGGACGGAGCGTGGGCACCGCGCTCGCGGGAGCTGTGAAGTCTGCTGTTCCACCACGGACACCAGGGGAGAGCGCGAACGCAGTCCCCCACTACCACAAATTATGCAGTCGAGTTTCCCGCATTTGGGGAAATCGCAGGGGTCAGCACACCCGGAGTGCAGGGGATGAGCCTCGCCCTGGGAAAACCACCTGCCTGATCATGGTGTCTCCCCTGCCAGGTAAGTATGACTCTGCTCCCCGCGCCCCGGGGACCACCCCGCCGCACCCACACACAACACGCGGCACCCCGGCCCTCTCACCCGCCTACCCCGACGCGGCACCCGCCCGCACCCACGCGCCTCCCGCCGCCCACGCGTGGCCCCGCGCAGCTCCCGCGCGGGCCGTCAGCGGCACCGTCTTGGGGCACCACGGCCTCCCGTCACCCCTCGCTCTCCCTAATCTGCATGGCCCCGCCCCACACCCGCGAATCCCCGCCCCCTCGGCCCCGCCCGGCTCTGTGCCCGCGATGAGCTCTACGTGGCCCCGCCCCCGAGGCATCGTTAACACCGGCGTGATTTGCATGACCCCGCCCCTCCGGCAGGGCCCCGCCCTCTCCCGGCTCATCGCGGGGCTCCCCCGCTCCCCTCCGTGGTTCAGCTGACGCGCTCCCACGCCACGCGTGACGTTCGCCCCCCCTCAGCACCACCAACACAGCGCGAAATAAGCTTTTTAGCACCAATCCAGCCCCTAAACCGGGACCCGGCCCGAAGAACCGCACCTCCCGTTCCCCCCCCTCCCCGCGACCCAGCACCCCGCGCTGCTCCACTGTCCCCCCCCCTTCGCGGGGGGGGGGTGTGTCCCTGCTCCCCCTCCCCAGTTCGGCAGGACAACGTTTTACCACACGAGTTTATTTTAAATAAAACTTAACACAGATGCAGGCTTTGCGACCGGAGTGACGGACCAGACAAGCGATGCGACGGGGTGGCGGGTGGGGGGGACACACACACACACACGGGGGGGGGGGACACGACACCAGCCAGGGCAGGATCCACCCCAGCACCCCCGGGGTGGGGGGGGGTCCCTGGTGGCCGTGGGGAGTGGGGGTCCTGCAGCGGGGTAGAGGGGTTCCGCCGTCCCCAAGCTGCAAACCGGGACCCTGGGGCTGCGGTGGCCGGGTGCCCCCCACCCACCGGGTGCCCCCCCCCCCCCCCCCTGCTGCCTCCCCCCCCCACCCCCCCAGCAGGCAGGGTGGCCGCGTCCCGAGGTTTCTTTTTCATCTTCCCACCAACCTGAAGCAAAACCTGTGTCCACTCCGCTGCTGGGGCTGGGGGGGGGGGACACACTGACCCCCCTGCAGCCAGCGCAGGGCTGCTGGCTCCAGCCCCCCCCCATCCCCGGGCTCAGCGGGGGGGGGGGGGGGGGGGGGGGCTGGCAGGGCTTCACCCCAAAGGCTCCATCTCCCCCCCCCCTCTCGCTCTCACCCAGCAGGGCAGGCGCAGGGGGACACGCACCGGAGGGGACAACGGAAATAAATAATGGGGTGGGGGGGCGGCGAGGGCCAGAGCCCGTCCCACCCCCCCTGATCCCCCCACCCCCCCCCCCGGCGTAGGCACAGCCGCGCTCCTCGCTGGAGGGACATCTATTTATTATGGAGACGGTGGCTTCCCGCCGGAGAACCGCGGTGGCGTGTGACAGTGCGGGGCGAGGCGCACCGGGCTCGCACCTCGAGTGTCTGTGGGGGGGGGGGGGGAACGGCGCGGGGCGGCGCGGGGCGCGGGAGCGTGCCGGGGCTAGTACTCGTCCTGGTCCTCTGGCTGCTGCTCCTCCAGCTCGTCGTCCTCCGGCGGGGCGAAGCCCTCCTGCCAGGAGTTTGGGGGGGACACCATCAGCCTGGGGGGGCGTGGCGGGTGGGTGCTCCCACCCCATGGCACAAGGGCTCCGGCAAAGCCCAAACCGGCACCCCGCAAAGCGACCAAAGCCAGAGCCTGGGAGCGGCCGTGGGGGTTTCATCCCAGGGGAGCCCAGAGCGAGGGGCTGGGACCCCCGGGGGGGGTGTGGGGGGGATGACAGCGGTGCCCGGCCCTCACCTCCGTGGCGTAGAGGACGCTGACGATGCCGGTGATGATGGGGCTGTTCTCGTTCTCGTGCTCCTGGCAGATCAGCTCGATGTCCCGCAGTTTGCTGAAGTAGAAATCCCGCTCCTTCTCCAGCCCGTCCACCGTCAGCTTCAGGTCCATCAGCTGCCGGGGTGAGGAGGAAGGGGGGGGGGGGGTGGGCAGAGCCTTCAGCCCCACGCCCCGGGAGTTGTTGTTGGGGGGGGGGGGCTCGGCCGCATCCCCCCTCCCGTGCCGCGGCGGGCGGGGGTCCTGCCCACCTGCTGGTTGAGCTCCAGGATCTGCGCGTCGGCCTCGGGGCCCCCGTTGCGGGCGGCGGGGGAGTTTTTCCGGAGGATGCTGCTGGGGACGTTGCTGAGGCGGGCCGGGTTCGGCGTGTTCTTGGGGCCGGTGGGAGAGGTCCTCTGGGGGACTTGACAGCAGACGGGGACCAACGGGTTAATGCCGGTCCCGCGGGGGGGTGGGGGAGCTGCTGGCAGGGACCCCCCCCCCCCCCCTCCCCTGCATCATGTGGGGCGGCGGGGGCTGGGAGGCAGCAGCAGGCAGCGAGGGCAGGCAGAGCACTCGGGGCTGAGCCGCGACTCCGGGGCTGCGCTGCCCGGACCCTCCTCCCCTGCCTCAGTTTCCCCTGGCAGATCTCACCCCCGGCTTGTGGCCTGGACACGGGGTTTGCCGTGGGGTGGGGTGGGGGGGCATCCAGCCCTTTGAGCCCGTGATGCCCGCGGCAGCACGGAACAGGGGGATGGGAGCCATGGGGAGGTTGGGGGGGGGACAAAGCACCCCCGGACCCGGGGTGAGCGGGAGGATGGAGGCAGCCGAGCCCTGCCCAGCTCCCCACAGGTCCCTCCGCCGTCCCCTCCGCCCCGGGTGTCCCTGCAGACCCGCTGGGCCCCCCCCCGGTCGCAGGCAGCAGAGCGGGGCGCAGGCAGAGGGGGGTGGGGGGTGCAGGCTGAGGGGGGGCCTGGCCACGGCAACGTGGGGGGGGGTGCAGGAGGGGGGGCAGCTCTCGCCGGGGGGGGACCCGGGCATTACCTGCAGTGCCAACGGGTTTCTTGGGTTTGTTGAAGATGTGATCACCTGGGTTTGGGGGGGGCGCGACGTCCTGGCCCTGCCGCGCCAGCAGCGGGTTGTACTCCTTCCCGTCGTAGTTGGCGTCGAAGAACTTCTTGAACCACTGGATGAACTCAAAGTTGTCCTGGAACTTGCCCTTCACCAGCCTCTCCACCGCGATGATCTGGGCGGGGTGGGCGGAGGGGCTGGTGGGGCTGCTCTGCCGGCCCCCCCCCCCCCCCCGCGCACCCCCTCCCCGCCACCCCCTTTGGACCTACTTTGTCCACTCCCATCTTCTTGAAGGCGGCCTGCAGCACCTTGAAGTTGTGGATGTACTCGTGCTCCAGCTTGGCTTGGAACTTCACCTTCCGCAGGTGGACGCAGCCGGGGAACAGCATGTCCATGAACTGGCAATAGGCAGCCCCTGCGCCGGGCGCGCACCGCGGCGTCAGCCTGCCGCTGGGTCTATGTGTCCCCCCGCCCGCCCCCGTCCCCCCGTGCCCCCCCCCGACCTGAGCAGAGCTGCTCGATCTTGGTGTAGCTGAGCTGGAGGGAGTCGTTGACCCAGGCGAGCATGTCATGGCGGCTCAGGTTCTCGCTGGTCACCGACGTCGAGTACACATTGACGGCCATGCCCCAGCTGCCGAGAGAGCCCACGTCACGGGGGGGGGGGGGGGGGCTGCACCCACCCGCTCCCCACCCCCCTGCCCCGACCCACCCCCAGGGCCGTGGCGGGGCTCGGGGTGCCCCCACCCCACCCCGGCTCCGGCAAATGGGCGACACCGCTGCAGCCGGGGGGATCCCCCACCCCCCCACGCATGGTGGCTGTTGGGGGGGGGGATCACACACACACATACACACACACACACACACTGGCACAACGAGGGTCTCTGGCAGCCCCGTGGCAACCCACCCACCCACCCACCCACACCCTGGCACGGGTGGGGGCACAGCCCCCGGGGCGTGGGTGCACTGCAGGATGCAGCTCATGGTGGTGGGGGGGGGAACGTGGGGACCACCGTGGGCACTGCCCCTGTGCCGGGGCACAGTGTGGCCACGGAGCTCGGGGGGGGCTGGGACCATAAGCAGCTTATGGCCCCCCCCCTCCTTCCAGCCCCCTAATCTGCCGGGGGCCATTCGAGCCGGGCTTAGAGGGGCCACATCTGCCGGCGGGCACTGGGGGGGGGGGGCACGGGGGTGGGGGGGTCTGTGTGTCTGCCTGGGCACTGCAGCCCAGACCCCACAGCGCCGGGGAGCCGTGCCGCAGGGCGGGGGGGGGGGACACACACCAAGACACCATCCCCGCTGCAAGAGGGGGGGTCCCCATCGCGCTGCCCCCCCACCCCTGGAGCGGGGGTCCCCATCGCCTGTGCCCGCCCCCCCCCCCAGCAGCAGCAGCGTTAATCCCCTCGCCCTGGGGAGGGGGGGGGTGCAGGGCTCAGGGTCAGCTGCCAGCTGGGGGTTTGGGGCAGGGGGGGGAGCCCCCCCGACCCCACTCCTGCTGCCACAGCCTGGGGGGGGCACTGCCAGCACACTGAGCCTGGGGGGGGACGACACACCTCCTGTTGGGGGCTGTGGGGGGACCACCCCACTTGTGTTGGGGGGTGGGGGGAAGGTATTGATGGCTGCAGCCCCCCCCCCCCCCCCCCGGCATCGTCGTGACTCAGCACCGGTGATACCAGCACAGCCACCAGCAGCTGGTCCCCCCGCCGGGGCCGGGACCCCCCCTCCCCAGCACCCCATCCCACCCCTCCCCGTGTGCAGCCGCGGGGGCGGGGGGGTGGGTGGGGGGGGAGCGTTGGTATTTTTAGCCACAGGAGCAGCTGGAAACGAAGCCCCCGGCGTGGTGAGCACCGTCCCGTCCCGCTCCCCGAAGTCGCCCATCGCGCCGTCCAAGCGCCCCGAAGGCACCCAGCCCTGGCTGGGATTGGGGTGCGGGCAGGGGGGTGTCGTGTCCCCGTCCCCCCCCCCCCCCCGCTCCGGCAGCACCGAGCTGAGTCATGCGCGGCGTGGGGCCAGAGCCACGCGCACTGCGGTGCAGCCGGGAATCCACCGGCGCTTGCCCGTTGCCGGAGCGGGCGGGGGGGGGGGGGGGCTGTTGGGGGGATGCTATGGGGGGGGCTGCCTGCCCGCCCCGGCGAGGAGCCAGCGGCCGGCTGACACCCGCGGCCCATCTCCCCCCCGCCCCCCCCGTGCTTCGCCATCACCGTCTTTTCCCGAAATAGCCGGGAGCAGCTGCCAGCGCCCTGCGCGCACGGCAGAGCCGGAGCCCCCCGGGCAGGGTTCGGCTGCCAACACCGAGCCACGGCGGGGGGGGGGGGGGGGGGATGCATGGCACCAGCGCCCCACACCCTCTCTGTGGGGCGCACGCTGCCGGCACCGGGCTGGGCACAGACCCACAAGTGGCTTCCCCCTCCTCCCCTGCCCGACAACGCGGGATGCCCGGCACGGCCGCAGCGTCCGTCCGTCCGTCCGTCCCCCACTACCACCACGGGGGCGAGGTCCGCACAGCCTGGGAGTGCAACCCCCCCACCCCAGGCACGGCGCAGCCCCCCCCCCCCCCCCCCCCCCCCCCCCCGACACCATCCCGGAGCGCCGGCGGGGTGCAGCCCCGGCACCTTCCTCATCATCTCGCCCCGCGGGAGGAAGCAGCCCCCCCCGCGGGGGGCACCCCCCACCCTCCGGGATTCCCACGGCGGGTGCCCCTGCGAGCCGTGCCGGGGTGGGTTTTGCTGCGGGACGAATCGAGGCGTCAACCACGCCGGCCGGTTGGGCAGCACCCTAGACCTCGTGCCGGCACGCGGGGCCGCCGAACGCCGGTGCTACCGGGGAGGGGGGGACACACACACACACACACACGCTTGCCGGGACACACCGGGCCGCCCAGCCCGTTTGCGGCCGCTGAAACGCCGGCGCTGGCGCTTCCAAAGCCGAGCACGCCCCGGCATAATGACAGGGAAGCCGACGCTCGCCCCCAGCCCCGACGCCGGGCGATGGACGCGCCTCTGGTGCAGCCGGTTTGCACAAACCAGCTTTTGCAAATAAATAAATAAATAAGGAATAAAAGTAAGGCATTTAGCCCTGAATCCCAGCAAACCGTGGGGAGAGGGAGGTGTTCCGGCGCTGGGGAAGAGCGATGCGTGTCCTGCCCGCGGCGGGATGCGGGATTCCGGGGTGCAGAGTGTGTCCCCCCCCCCGCCCCGTGCCGCCTGCGCAGGGCGCCCGGCCGGCCGCGCTGACGGGGCAAAAAGGGGGGGGGGGCAGGGGGGGATGCTTACCGCTGCATTTTAATTGTCCGGCCGCCGAGCTGCTAAATCAAGGCCCAACGGCGAACAAAACACCGGGGCGCGTGGCTCTGCCCCGTCCCGCCGGCGCTTGCTGGGGCGCGGAGAGGTCGTCCAGCCCGGCTCCTCGCCCCAACGCTGCCGGGGGGGCGGGGGGCACCGGCGGTCCCACGCCGCAGCCCTTGCCGGGCCCGGGGCCGGTGCGCTCTGGCCAAAGCGAGAGGAGAATGAGGCCGGCGGCCGCGACCGGGGCGCCCGCTCAGCACCGCTGCCAACGCCGGGTCGGTGCCGGGGCGATGCCGGGCTGCTGCGACTCGCGGCTTCTATTTTGGGAGCCGTCCCGGTGGCTTCTCAAGTGACAAATAGGCGAGGAGGGAAAGGGGGGGGGGTGTGTGTGTTGGGGGGTGGCAGACAACCCAGCGGGGGCTGAGCACCGTGCCGAGCTGCTGCGGTGCCGCCCGGCTGACCCAGGGCGGCCGCTTGCCCCCGGCCATCGCGGACATCCCCCCCCCCCAAAACCCCGACCGAGAGGAGAGCGTCGCCGCGCCGGTGCCGGTGGGTTTGCCCGGGCGCAGGCCGCAGCTTTCCCGGTTGCCCGTCCCAACCCGCGGCGAGGGAAACGGGGCGCCGACGGCGGGGATATGGGGCAGCGCGGGCAGGGGGGGCCCGGCCCCGGGGGTCCCCCCTCCCGCTAACCTAAATAACTTGAAATAGCAGCGGCAGGAGCATGTGCAGAGCGCGGTGCCGCCGGCAGCGCCTCCCCCCGCGCCGGCATCCTCACCCCGCGCAGCATCCCTGAAATATTAATGCCCGAGCGCCGTTCGACGAGTCCAGCCGTTGCCGCAGACCGCGGCGGGGAGAGCAGCTCGTCAGCACCCCAAAACCAGCGTGGGGGGGGGACCCCCCCCGCCCCCCAGGCCGCCCCTCGAGGACAGGCCCCACGCGCTGCGGCCACGCCGGTGTGCCCACGCCGTGACGGGTGGGAGCCGCCGCACCGGGGCCGGGGGGGGGGTGTGTGTGCCCGGGGTGGTGTTGGGGGGCACCCCACGCTGCGAGACGGGGCTGGGTGACCCCCCCCTCCCACGGGAGCACCCGGGTGGGCAGCGTCCCGGAGCCACCGTCACCGCGGTCGGGGCGAGTTGGCAGGTCACGGCGACGGCCGCCTCGTGTCACCCCCACGGCCCGTGGGGCGCAACTGGGCCCCCCCCCAGCGACACCCCGGGCCCGCGGAGTCTCCCGGGTGATGCCCGGTAACCGGTGATGCCCGGTAACCGGAGGCGGGGGGGGGGATGCCCGGCCCGGGACTACAGCTCCCGGCGTGCCGTGCCGTGACCGCGGCCCCACGGGACACGCAACCGGGGACACCGGGGGGGGGGGGGGGGGCGGCCGCCGCTGCGTCAGGCCGGACCCCGACCCCGGCCGCTCCATCCCCCGCCGGTTTCGCTCTCACGGCCGCTCCATCCCCGGAGACACCGGACGGACACCCCAGCCCCGTCACCACGCCAAGCCGCGGTCCCGGGGGGGCGGTGCCGGGATGGGGGGGGGGATGTCGGGTCCCGGGGGGGGGGATGTCGGGTCCCAGGACGGCGCTTTCCCCCCCCCCCCCCCCCCCCCCGTTACCGACCCGCACTCACCGCGCTCGGGCCGCTCCGCTCCCTCCGCACCGCGCCGGGACCGGGCCGGGACCGCACGGGCCTCCCGCGCATGCGCCGACACCGCCCCGCCCCTCCCCGCGGGCGGGACCGGCCCCCGCTCCGCTCCGCCCCTCCGACGCCATGGCAACGGGGGCGCGGAGACACGCCCCCTCCCTCCCGTCGCCACGGCAACGCCCGCCGCGAACCTCGCCCCCCCCCCCCCCCCCCCCCCGTCCCACAGCGCCGCCTGGCGGCGGGCGGTGGCCTCTGCACGGCCGGGCCCCGCCCCCTCCCCCCCCCCCACCCCGCAGCCCCCGGGGACCCCCCAGGGTACCCATAACCCCGCCCCCCCCCCGAGATGTCGTGACCCCCGCAGCCCCCGGGGACACCCAGAGTGTGTATCGTCGCCCCCCCCCCCAAGATAGTGGGACCCCCGCAGCCCAGGGCCCTCCCGGGACCCTTCGCCCCCCCTCCGTACCCCACCTGCACCCCCCCGCCCCCTAAAACCCCGCCTGCGCCCCCTCCCCACATCGCAGTCCCCCCCCCCCCCGCGTGTGTATGCACATTGCCGCAGGGGTTGGGGCTCCACGCTGCTCCCTGGGGGTCCCCCCCCCCACCCCCTCCAACCGCGGGGGTGTCCCCCCCACCCCACGCAGCTCGGGGGAGGGGGGGTGGTGGTGTCCGAGCCCCCCACCTCCCCGGGGGCACCCTGCCGCGGGGGTGGGTGATGGGCGGCTGTGGGGAGGCACCCAGACCCCCCGCAGGGTTTGGGGTGCAGGCGGTGCGCGGCGGGAGCCCCCCCCCGATGTTTAACGCCCCCCCCCCCCCCCCATAAGCAGGCAGCAGGCCGGGCGCTGTGAGAACCGTCTTTAATGAGCAAACAGAAACGGACTGCGGGATCCTAAAAGGGCCGATAGGGAACCACCTGGGGGGGGGGCAGGGCCCCCCCCGCCCGGCTGCGCCCACCCGGCCCCCCCACACCTACAGGGACCATCTAGGGGACAGTGCACAAGGGACAACGCACGGCGACACGAGCCCGGGGCGGCGGGGGGCGGCGGGACCCCCGAGCACCACTGCGTGGCTTTGGGGGGGGGGGGGGACACGCACGGGGACCCCGCTGTGCCGCAGCCACGAGCACCCCGACCCGTGCCCACCACCCCCCCACCCGCCCCCCGGGGACACGCGGGCATGGGCGGGGACACCGGGCGAGGGGGTCATGTGTGCACACGCGTGTGATGTGTGCGTGAGCACGCGTGGGTGCAGCGAACGTCTCACTGGGGCCACGCATGGTGTAATGTGTGTGTGTGCACACGCGTGTGATGTGTGCGTGAGCACACCCGTGTGCAGTGAACGTCTCACTGAGGCCACGCACGGTGTGATGTGTGTGAGCACACGCGTGTGCAAGAAACACCTCATTGAGACCATGCATGGTGCAATGTACGTGTGGGCACACGTGTTTGCAGCAAACATCTCACTGAGGCTATGCACGGTGCAGTGTATGCGTGTGCACACGTGTGCAATGTATGCGTGAGCACACACGTGTGCAGCAAACACCTCACTGAGACCACACACGGTGTGATGTACGTGCGTGCACATGTGTGTGCAGCGAACACCTCACTGACACCATGCATGATGCACTGTATGTGTGGGTACATGCATGCAGTGCATGTTTGAGCACACGTGTGTGCAGTGGACATCTCACTGAGACCACACATGGTGCAATGCGTGCGTGACTACACACATGCAATGGATGTGTGAGTACACGCGTGTGCAGTGAACACCTCGCTGAGATCACACATGGTGCAATGTACGTATGGGCACACGTGTGTGCAGCAAACACCTCACTGAGACCCCGCACGGTGCAATGTATGTGCATGCACACACGTGTGCAGCGAACATCTCACTGACACCATGCATGGTGCAACGTAGGTGTGGGTACACGCGTGCAATGCATGTGTGAGCACACGTGTGTGCAGCACACTCCTCACTGAGGCCCCGCACGGTGCGACGTGGGCGTGTGCCCACGTGGCCGGGAGGAGCCTTGCACGGAGGGATGCCCGCGTGTGCACACGCCTGTGCGACGATCCTCTGCGACCCTGCGTGGCGCGACACACACGTGTGCACACCCACGCACGGCTGGCAGCCGGGACCCCGCCGGCACTTGGCCGGGAAGGATGCACCGGTGTGTGCGCACACACACACACACACACACACGCGTGTGCCGGAGGCGTGTGCGCGCCGTGCCGCCGCTCGCTGCCGGGGCGTGTGTGTGTGTGGGGGGGGGGGGGGGGTGTATGTGTGTGGGGGGGTCCCTGCTGCTCCCCTAACGCTAGTGACACAAACCACTTCAGAGTATCTCCACGGGATGCACAAACAACTCAAAAATTCACTGATCCAAACCCAACGTGCAAACAGAAAAGGGCCGGGGCTGAGCCCCCCCCCCGCCCCGCTGCCCGCGGCCCCCCCCGGCCCCCGGGCCAGGGCCGCGGCCCCGCGCTGCCAGGGCAGCCCCGCCGCAGCCGGGGGTCCCGGCTCCTCATTTGGGGGACAGCTCCCCGGCTCTACCAAATCCCCGCTCGACCGGCCCCCGGGGGGAGCGAGAATCCGGGCCGAAGCTCGCTTTGGAACGTGGTCATCGATCTGCGAACCTGCCGGGCAGACGGACGGACAGACGGACGGACGTCAGCCCCAGCAGCCAGCCCCTCTGCGCTCCGCACGCCGGGTCCCGGCTGCACCCCCCACCCCCCCACCCCCCCCCCCAATCCCTCCACTCCCACCCAAAACCGCTCGCCGGGCACCAAAACCCAGCGCCTGTGCCGGATCAGTCCCGCCCGGCGCAACCGGACAGCGCGCGGGGGGACGGGGGGACGGGGGGCCTGGGGGGGGACAGGGGGCCTGGGGGGGGCCTGGGGGTCTGGGGGGGGCCTGGGGGTCTGGGGGGGGATGGGGTCAGCTCCCTACTCTGCCGCGGGACCCCCGAGACGGCGCAGCCCCCCTGCGCGGGGCGCACCCCGGGGTGGCACCGGTGCCGGTGAGCCCCGGGTTTTGGGGGGGGGGGGGCGTGCCGGGACCCTCGCCGCGGCCCCGCTCTTACCGGAGAGGCTGAAGCTGGACTCGTGGAGGTCCCTCATGCCCCCGTGCCGCGTGGCGGGCCGCGTGGGCGTATCGGCCAGGGGGGTCCCCGTCTCTTTTTTCCCGGCATGCGCAACCACGGCCACGTCCCCCAGGTAAGGGGTGCGATCCACCCCCCGCAGCTTTAAGCTCTGCCGGCGGGGAGAGAAAAGCGGAGAGAGCGTCAGCTCGGGGAGGGGCACTGCGCCGGGGCTGGGGGTGCCGCCGCCTCACAGTGGGGTGCGGATCAGTGGGATGGGGGGGGGGGGGAGCCAGGGCCTGCTCTGGCTACATGGGGGGCTGCGGCGTGGGGAGGGGGGCACAGCTGGGGAGCGGGGGAGCCGGCCGGGCTGCGGGGGCTCCCCGGCGCCAAGCGGTGCCAGGGCGGGGGGGGCTGGGGGGGAGGCGGGTGACCCCGGCGGCGCAGCCCCTCGCCCCTGTCCCCCCCCTTCCCTGGCGATGCCAAGCTGAGCCCCCCCTCCCCGCATGGCGAGAGCGGCTCGTGTGGATGTGGCGGTAGGACCCTGTCCTGGACCCCCCCGGCCACGCACGGCTCCAGCCAGGGCCCCCCCCCCCGGCACTGGCCGTCATTTCCCCAGGACAGCACCGGGATCCCCCCCAGCCGCCCCCTCCCCTCGGCAGCACCAGCACCAAGTCGAGCCCCCCCAGCGCATCCCCCACGGACGGGCAGGGGCTGCCGAAAGGCGGGGGGGGGCACGGGGGGGATCCTTGGTGCCAGGGTCTGCTGGAGCTCCCGGGGGTCACACCGTGACAGCCCCTGGGACCCGCGAGGGCAGAGGGAGACGGCGCGGGGGGGGGGGTCTGTGCCCCACACCCACAATGGGCCAGCAATGGGGTGCGGGGCCGGCGCTGTGGGATGGGGGCGAGCCCCAGGGGGGTGCAAGCCTTGGGGTCCCCTCCTGTCCCTACCCTGGGGCACGGGGGGTCACTGCTAGCTGGGGGGGGGGATGTAGAGGTGGGGGACCAGCAAGGGGCAGAGCGCCTGGGACAGTGGGGTGGGGGGGCACCCCCGATGTTTGGGACGCGCGGCAGCGTGCGGGGTGACCGTCCCCAAACCTCCAGCACCGCCGGCGCGCAGGGAAGGGGGCAGGAGCTGATGGGGGGGGGGGGGGAACGGACCCCACCGCCGGCGCTCACCCCCCCCCGTCCCGAGGCACACCACGCGAAGCTCCGGGCGGGCACCGACCGCGGCACGGCACAGACCCGTCCCCCCTGGCACCGGCAGCACCCACCCGCGGTGCTGGGACCACGGCGGCCACTGCCTCCCCCCTCGCCCCCTCCAGCAGCCCCCCGCCGCGGCACCGGCACCGGCACGGCCCCCGTACCGTTACCTTCTCCCGCTGCACCAGCTTCTTGTAGACGGAATCCGGGAAGGAGCGGAGCGGGCAGAACTTGCCGGTGCCCTCGGCGCACATGAAGACGCCGTTCTCGTAGACCACGCGCCCGCGGCTGATGGTGACCAGGGGCACGCCGTGGCACCGCATGTTCTCGTAGAGGTTGATGTCCCCCCCTTGCACCTGGGTGCTGGCCGAGATGGTCCTGAGCGGGGGGGGGGGGACAGGACACGGTGAGCCTGGTGCCACGGGGAGATCCCCCCCCCGTCCCCGCTCCCCGCCGGCTGCGCCTACTTGGTGGCCTCGGGGTCCCAGACCACGACGTCGGCGTCGGCCCCGGGGATGATCCGGCCCTTGCGGGGGTACAGGTTGTGGATCTTGGCGGCGTTGGAGCTGGTCACGGCCACGAAGCGGTTCTCATCCATCTTGCCCCCGACCTGCCGCCGGCATGGGAATCGGGGGGGGGGGGGGGGGGGGGAGGTCGGTGAGGACGTGCCAGGCCGCGAGCGGCACCTCGGGGCGGGTGCTGCTGGGACCCCCTTGATGGGACCCACTGAGTTGCACTGGGAAGCACCTCGCCCGCCCCCATACCCCCGGGGATCTGGGAACAGGGACCTCCCCCCACCCCAAAGCGGGGGGCCAAGCTGGACCCGCTGCCGAGCCCCCCCCAAGAGCCGAGGGGGGGCAGCCCCATCCCAGGGCAGGGGAGGGGGGCACGGCCCCGTACCACGCCTCGCTCCCAGATGATGTTCATGCGGTCCTGCACCCCGCTGACGCCGTGGGGGATCTTGGTGAAGTCCTCCTTGCCCATGGCCTTCTGCTTGGTGCTGAAGGGCCGGTGGTCGGAGGCCACGATGTTCAGCGTGTCGCTGCGGGAGGACGGGGCAGCGCTGGCGGCGGCACGGCCGGGGCGGCACGGCCACAGCTAGCCGGCGGTGGGGCCGGCGCCCGGGAGCAGGGTGCCCGGGGAGTGGGGTGCCCCAGGGAGCTCAGGACCTAAGGAGTGGGGTGCCCAGGGAAGGGGGCACCTGTGCTGTGGGGCGCCCAGGGAGCTCGGTGCCCAGGGAAGGGGGTGCCCGTGCTGTGGGGTGCCCAAGGAGCTCAGGACCCAGCAAGCAGGGTGCCCAGAGAGTGGGGCACCCATGCTGTGGGGATCCTGGGGAGCTCAGGACCCAGGGATTGGGATGCCTGGGGAGTGGGGTGCCCAAGGAGCCCACCGCCCAGGGAGTGGGGATCCTGGGGAGCTCAGGACCCAGGGATTGGGATGCATGGGGAGCGGGGTGCTCAGGGAATGGGGCACCTATGCTGTGGGGTGCCCGGGGAGCTCAGGACCAAGGGAGCTCAGGACCCAGGGAGCGGGGTGCTGGGGGATAGAGGTGCTGAGGGAGTAGGCATCTGCACAACGGGTTGCTCAGGGAGCTCAGTGGCCAGGGAGCAGGGTGCTCAGGGAATGGGGCACCCATGCTGTGGGGTGCCCGGGGAGCTCAGCACTCAGGGAGTGGGGCGCTGGGAGAGGTCAGCACTTGGGGAGTAAGCTGATCAGGGGAGCTCAGCACCCGGTCAGTGGGGTGCCTGGGGACAAGGGTGCCCAGGGAGAAGGGCACCCATGCTGTGGGGTGCCCGAGGAGGAGCTCGGTGCCCAGGGAGGGGGGTGCCTGAGGCCCTCAGGACTTGGGAAGCGGGGTGCCTGGGAACTGAGGCACCCAGAGAGCCCGGTGCCTGAGAAGTGAGATGCTGGGGACGTGGGGTGCCCGGGAGCTGGCCCAAGGTGGGGGCGGGGGGGGTCCCCAAAGGATGGGGTGTCTGGAGAGCACAGCAAGCAGGGGAGCTGGGCACCGGGGCGACGGGGCAGCCGGACCTGCGTGGTCCCCAGGAGCCACCAGAGATGCCTGGAGAGCACCAGGGAGCGGGGGCGCTGGGGAGGGGGTACCCGGGGGGGGTGTGGGGGGCCCTCACTTGGCGAGCAGGCTCATGAGGTAAGCCGAGGTGTTGGTGTCCAGGCGCAGCGGCGGCACGGTGACGTAGGCGGCGGCATGGAACCAGTCCTGGTGGTAGTAGTGCAGGCCGGTGAGCGTGGCGTGCGCCGTGGTCGTCTCCGCGTACACCACCTTCCCTGCCGGGGCGGAGGCACACGCGTGGGGCGGGCGTGCCAGGGAAGTGTGTGTGTGTGTGTGTGTGTGTGTGTGAGGGGGGGGGTGTGGTGCGCCCGGGCGAGCGTGCGAGGGGCACGCCTGCGAGCTCTGCCCGGGTCGGTGTGTCCGCAGCGAGCGGAGCGGCTGCGGGTCCCCGTGTCCACACGTGTCCACGGGCACGGCCCCACATCCACGCACGTGCTCTTGGGTGTCGGTCCCTGCCGGCATCCCTGCCCGGCCCGCGTGTCTCTGCAGCCCCATGTCTCCTGTGCCACACGTGTCCATGCCTCTGCACGTGACACGTCCCTGCACGCACCCCGGTGCCCACATCCACCCTTGCATGTGCCCCATGGCTGTGGCTCTGTCCGTGTCCACGCGTGTCACATTGGTGTGTGCCCATGTCCCTTGCGTGTGCCCCGTGGCTGTGGCTCTGTCCGTGTCCACCCATGTGCCCCCATCAGGGCAGATGGAGCTTTTTCCCCGGCGGGGCCAAACCCACCCCTAACCCCACGCTGAGCCCGGGGCCCACGGGGGGTCCACGTCCCACCCCACGGGGGTCCAGGTCCTGCCCCAGGAGGAGCCCCCCCTTACCTTGCATCTTGGCGGCGGCGATGACGTCCCCCGCAGACATGCTGGAGACGTTCACCAGGTAGATGGGGCAGTGGGTCTGCAGAGAGGTGGGGGTCAGTGCTGCTGTCCCTGGGGCACCCCGGTTCCATGGGGGGGTCCCCGCGCCCCAAAGGGGCGCGGGGACCCCCCCATGGAGCCGGGGTGCCCACCCCCAGACGCAGCAACAGGGGACACCCCAGCTGCAGGAGGTGGGGTGCCCGTCGTGGTCCTGCTCAGTCAAAAGGGGAGAGGGGGGACCCCGGCGCGGCCCCCTCGGCATCGGGGTTCAATCCTGGCCGCCCGTCTCGGGACCACTCACCCTGTTGGCAATGGTGATGACGCGGTGCGTGGCCTCAGCTTCCAGCTGCGGAGAGAGAAGGAGGCGGCGGGGGGGGGGGGGGCGTGGAATGAGATGATGGGGCACCCCGAAACACCCCAGTGGCACCGATGGGGGCAAGGGTGGGCAGCCGGCACGGGTAAGGGAGTGCCGGCGTCCTGCCCCAGAGCGTCCCAGCCACGTCCCGGCCCACCGCCCGTGCGGTGACTGCGGCGGGGGGGGGACACACACACACATGCAGCCATCACCCACCTCTTCGGGCCGGCTGATCTCGATGCCCTCCGGCCCCGTGATGCCCAGGTCCAGCGCCTCCTTGGCTCCCTAGGGGGGAACGGGGTGTGGGGTGGGGGGGTCAGTCTTGCGGGGGGACACACGGCTGGGTGCCCGCCGCTGCCGAGCACCCGCCGCGTCCCCGGCTCTCACCTCAGCCACCAGCTCGCCGTTCTCGGCGTGGACCCGGGCGATGGCCCCGATGTCGCGACAGGCTCGGAAGACCTGGTAGAGCTCGCTGTCCCGCAGCATGTACAGGTCCTTGTAGGTCATGAACATCTGGAAGGAGTTCACCCCCTTCTCCCGCACCAGCGTCTCCATCTCCGCCTTCACCTGCGATGGGACAGGGGGAGTGGGGGGGGTCAGCTCCGGGGTGCGTGGACAGCCGTGGGACCTGCTGCCCCACTGCCATGCGGCAGGCGTGGGGTGAGGTGCCCCCCGCCACGGGGCAGGGACCGACACTTTGCCCCCAGGGGGATGCGGGATGCAGGATTTGGGGAGCGACAGATGCTGGGGGGGTGGATTTTTTGCCCTGGCCCGGCTGGATCCTGTGCTGGTGCTGGGATGTACCCCGGGGGGCACCCGCCCCGTCCTCATCCAGCCCCTGCTGTGCCCGGGGAGGGTCTGGCCGGGCCATGGGGTGCACAGGGGCTGGGGTCTCCCTGCAGCGCAGCCAGGAGCAGCCCAGCACAAGCCGGGCCTAATCCTGCACCGGCACCTTTGCGAGGGGATCGCAGGGGCTGAGCGTGCCGGGGGGGCTGGGGGTGGTCGCCCAGCACCGACCATGGGGGCCGTGCGCCGCAGGATGGGGTGTCATCCCCCCGCCCCACCCCAGGTGGGACCCCCGCGTCTGGGCACCCCAATCCCCTCCGCGGAGCGGCAGCACCTTTCCCTGCCGCGGCAAGGGGCTCAGCCCCACGGGGACCCCCCCAGCCCCGCTGAGCCCGGCTCAGGGAGCCGGCGCGGTGCCGGCGCGGTGCTGGGCTCACCTTGGGCGCCCACCAAGTGATGCCCATGTGCAGGGCGTAGTCGCAGCAGACCTTGGGGTCGGCCAGGCTGCGGCATTTCTCGTAGGCGTCCAGCAGCGAGGTCTCCTTGTCGGGCAGGACGTGGCCGATGATCATCGTCGTCCCTCCCACCAAGGCTGCCTGCGGGTTACGGGGGACAGCGGTGGTGGTTGGAGGCGGGGGGACACACACACCCCCCGCCTGCCGGGGAACAGCCCCCCCGCGGTGCTGCCCACGCCACGGCACTAATCCTGCCTGGTGATGAGCAGGGCTGATCCGCGGGTGGCCGGGCTGGGAGAGCCGCATTTGGGGGGCGGCGTTGCCCGCAGGGAGGTGAGAGCCCTGTGTTGGGGATCCCCCACAGCACCCTGGATTGGGGACCCCCCTGCAGCACCCTGGATTGGGGATCACCCCACAGCACCCTGGATTGGGGATCCCCCCCGCAGCACCCTGGATCAGGGATACCCCCCACAGCACCCTGGATTGAGGACCCCCCCCAGCAGCACCCTGGATTGAGGACCCCCCCGGAGCACCCTGGATTGGGGATCCCCCCCGCAGCACCCTGGATTGAGGATCACCCCACAGCACCCTGGATTGGGGACCCCCCCGGAGCACCCTGGATTGAGGACCCCCCCGCAGCACCCTGGATTGGGGATCCCCCCCAGCAGCACCCTGGATTGGGGACCCCCCCGGAGCACCCTGGCCCTGCCCACGGCTGTGGCCGCACATCTGGGCACACGACACATCTGGAGAGCCCGATCCTGCCGCCCGCCGGGGCACCGACTGCCTCTTCCTCCTCCCCAACCCCAACCACTGGTTTTGGGGTGCTGGGGGGACGCCCCGCCTGGGTTCCCCATGAGTGCTGTACCCCCGCCAGGGCCCGATCCGGCTTGGGGCCACCCAGCCCAGCGTGGGGGCCACAGGGAGAGCCCCCCCCCCCCCCCCACTCGCCGTGACACGCGTGGGTGGCAGGGCGGGCACCGGCGTCCCCAGCTCACCCAGCCCGGCTAATCCCCAAAGCTCCTTTACCAATCGGCCCTCGGCGCCGGTGCGGTGCTACGCGGCAGCTCGCCGGGACGGGGAGCGGGCACGGCACCGGGTGCACCAGCCCCTGCCCTGGCTGTGCCGCGGCGTGGGGCCATGCGTGTCCCCCCCCCACTCCAAGCCCTTTGCTGCAGCAGCCGTGGCAGAGCTGAGCCCCCTGCCCGGGGGATGGAGCCAGGCACGGCCAGCACCGGCCCGGCACAAAGGCTGCTCTGTGCGGGGTGCTGGAGACAGCCGGCCCCGGCGCTGCCCGCGACAAACCCGCGCCGGCCCCTCGACACCCCCCCGGGGGCGCAGCACCCAGTGCACGGCACTGCCGGCCCACCGCAGCACCCCGCGGCACCCGGGGGGGGGTCCCTGACCCGGGCTGGCACCGCGGAGCGTCCCCGTGGCAGCCTGGCTAGCAGAGGTGCCAGCGGGCTTGCCACGGAGCTGGGTGAGCACCCCCCCCCCGGGGAGGGCCAGCGGGGCACCCAGGGGTCCCCCCCCGACCTGAGGGGTGCAGCGGGGAGCCGCAGCTGGGTGCTACCTTGGTGCCGTGGTAGAAATCATCCACGCAGGTGGCGTTCATGAAGGTCTGGTGGAAGTGGGTGCTGGTGTCGATGCCGCCGGGGATGACGAGCTTGCCGGTGGCGTCGATGACCTTGGCCCCGCCGGGGATCATCAGCTCGCGGCCCACTTGCTGGATGATGCCGTTCTCGATGTAGACGTCGGCCTCCAGCGTGCAGTCGTCGTTCACCACCTTCCCCCCCTTGATGAGGATCCGCATGGTGGCCGCGTTGGCCAGCATGGTGCTGCGAGGGCAAGCGTCAGCTGCGGGCAGGGGACCCCGGGGGTGAGGGAGGGGGCCGAGCCCCGGCTGCTGGTGCCGCCTGTGCCGGGGGGAACGCTGCCAGGGCTTCTCCCCGCGGCACGAGCCCCTGTGTTTGGGGCAAGCTGCCTCTGCCCCCCGGGCCCCGCACGGTGCCAGCTCTGCCGGAGCCCCCCCCGCGCTGCCCCCAGCACCGCCATCGCCCCCCCAGATCCACCCCCCCAGCAGTGAGGGGCAGCCCCAGACACGATTTATAATTCCTTCAGTAGATGAAGGTCAAACACAATCGGCCGACACACGATGGCTGCGAGCGCATCCCCCTCACCGAGGGGGGCACGAGGTGGGCTGGGACCCCACCAGAACCCCCCAACCCCAAAGACCCCACTGCATGAACCCCCCCCCGCTCCCCGGGGACCCCCAGCGCTGCCTCCCCCTCCTCCAAACAAAGGCCGGGGCGCACACGTGGGCAGCACGGCACGACCGTGGGGCAGAGCCCCCGGCCGACCCACACCGAGCGGCTCGGGCGCGAGCGGGACCCCAGCACCCACCCGACCCCGGTGTCCCCGGGACAGGGTTGGCACACGCCGTCCCTGCCGTGACGCCGGGGCCGGCCCGGTGCCCCCACATCCCCGCCACCGCTCCGTGCAGATGCCGAACTGCCGGCACGGCAGCAAATGGCTTCCCCGGGTGCCGGACCCAGCAGCTGAACATTCCCAGCGCGGCGATCCGGAGCAGCTGCCCGGGGTGGGGGGCAAGCGGCTGTGCCCACCGCGGGGCCCCTCGCCAGGCTGGGGGGGCACCGGGACCCCTCCCTGGGCCGGCTTCTGCACTGGCAGTGCCAGCCCTGCGGCGGGCGAGCCCGGTGCCGGTTTGCGCCTCGTCCCGCTGCTCTCATCCCAGCACAGGAATGCGGTGCGCACCTATGGCGGGGGGGGGGGCCCGCAGGCAGCCCCCCCCCCCCCCCCCGCTCCTGGGAAAGGCGCTGCCATGCACAGCTGTGCCAGCTCGCCGTGTGCCGACTGCCGAGGGGCGGCGGGAGAAAAAGGGGTCCCAGAGGGGCCCGTGGCAAGGTGGGCACCCCCGGCCTGAACCTGCCCCCCGGGGAAGCCGCTGCCCCGTGGCACGGCTGTGCTGGGGGGGCAGCCGGACCCATGGCTGCGCTGCCGGGGCTAATGGGGGGCCGGCCCCATGCCAGGGGCAGCCAGGATGTCAGGGCAGAGACCGACCTCGGTGGGGTGAGGGACCACTGGAGATGCTGGGGTCCCCACTGCATCCCCCCGGGACCCCAAGGGCGGGGACGGCGCTCGCGCGGCGCCTGAATGGGTGGGGGGGTGCAGGAGGGAAGCGGTGCGCGGCACCCCGAGATGAAAACGGGTTACTGTGACAAACAGATCCGGAGAGCAGCGGCACGCGGGGAGGCAGCACCCCCCCCACCCCCCCCAGCCACAGGCACAACCCCCCGCTATGGGTGGGGTGGCGGGGGGAGAGGGCACCCACTGCGCCCGGTGCTGCGCAGACTGGGATGGGCCCTGAAACGCCGTGGGGGTCTCGCACAGCCCGGTGCACCCCACGGCCTCACGGGCAGGACGGCGCTGCCGGACACGGCCCGGCTGCCAGCTGGATCCGTGGGGCGGGGGGGGGGGGGGGGATGTCCTCCGGGCCCACAAGCAAAGTGGGGGGTGCACGGCCAGCATCGGGCAGCGGCGGCGGTGGCTGCTCAGGCGGGAGCTTGGGGCGAGACAACAGGTTCCCCGGGCAGGGCAGAAATGCAGCGTCAGCGCCCGGGGCGGGGGGGGGGACACACCTCGAGCATCCTCGGGGACCCCCCTGCTTGTCCCCGCCACCGCCGCCAGCACACCCGCGCCGCAGGGGCCTGTCCGTGGGCGCTGCTGGCAGCTTGGCTGAGCCCCGGGGGGGGCCCACCGCGGCGCTTCCCGGCATACAAAGCAGCGCGGCCATCTCTGGGGGCTCGCCTCCCCCCCCCCCCCCAGCGCCCACCGGCTGCTCCGCCGGCCTCGAGCCGCGGGGGCGTGGGGACAGCTGTGACCCCGGCGGGACAAAGGTACCCCTGCTCTGGCGGGGGCTGCCGGGGTGGGGGGCACCTGTTGGGGCCGGGGGGGGCCGCTGGGCCTGGCCTTTGTGCCGGGACGGTGGGGATGCGGCACGGCCGCACACAGAGCCGCATTGTGCTGCTCCGCGCCCGGCTCGCCGCGGCCCCTCCACCGCCCCCCTGCTTTTGTCTGTGCCGGTGAGCCCCCCCAGCACCCACCCTGCCTGGCACCCACCCTCCCAGCACCCACCCTCCCCTGCCTGCGCCCTGGCCGGGACCCTCCTTTGTCAGGGGCTGCGCTCGGGGCCCCACCGGTGACACCAAACCACGGCCACTGCCTGTCCCCAGCCGGCGGCATCACCCCCCCCCGCCACGGAGATGCCTCTTGGGGGGTCACGACCGCCGCGTCCCCCCCATCCCAGCCCCTTCCCTGGCTCCGGTTTGGACACGGTCAGGCCTCGCTGCGGTGCTGCCCGAGGGCCCTGGGCCGCCCTTCCTCGCCGTGGGGGCCCCGCTGCCCGGCCCCCCCAAACCAGGATGAGCTCCGGGGTGACCGAGCCAGCGCCCCGGCAGGGACGGGGTGACCCGGGCTGCCCCGCTCTCACCGGGGGACCGCGATCCGCCGGCGACGGGCCGGGGATGCTCCGGCAGAGCCGGCCGCCCGTGCTGCCGGACCGGGGATGCTGCGGGCGTGCGAGCGGCCGGCCCCGGTCCCCGCAGGCACCTTGGCACGGTATGGCACGGCACGGCACGGTATGGCACGGCACGACCACGCCCGAGCGAGGCACGACAGCAAAGGGGTGTCGGGCGCCCCGCGGGGTCCCCCCGCCCCGTTACGGGGTCCCCGCCACACCCCGGGGGTGCTGGGTGGGTGCGTCGCAGCTGCGGCGGGCACCGAGCCCCGGGGGTGCTGCCAGCCCTCGGGGGGGGGGGGGGGGGTGTCCCCGGGAACAGACCGGGGCTGCTTGGGGGGGGTCCCCGGGCAGAGAAGCGGGGCTGCCCGCCGCCGGGGCGGGGTACGGGGCCGGGCCCCGGGGCGGGGGGCGGGCGCGGTGATGCTGCGGCGGGGTGGCGGGGCCCGGGGCGAGGCGGGGGGGGGGGGGGGGGCGGCGGGCGGGGGTCGCGGCTGGGTCCCGGCCCCGCAGACAAAGCCCGGTGCCGCCCAGCACAAAGGATGCTCCGAGCCGGGGCGGGGCCGCCCGGGAGCCCCCGCGGAACAATGGGCCGGGCCCGGCGGGACCCCCCGCCCGCCCCCTCCGCTCCCCCCCCCCTCCCAGCGCACCTGCGGCCCGCACCCGGTCGCGACAAGGCGCCGAGGGGGGGAGCCGGGTCCTTTTCGGGCGGGGCGGCCCCTCCGCCACACCCCACCGAGGCGAGCAGTCTTCGCCCTGTCGCAAACACCCGCCGCCCTGTCGCGACAGGTGACCAGCCGTACGCGGGTGGAAGCCACACGCAACCTTACTGCCCCGCGAGGCGACCCGTGGCCGGGGGGTGGGGGGGGATGGCGGGGTGTCAAGACGTTTCCCCCCTCCCCGCCTGTCGCGACATCCCCCCTCGCCTGTCGCGACCCACGCACCTGTCGCGATCCACGCACCTGTCGCGATACGGCCGCGACAAGTCAGGTCCCGCCGGTCCCTCCCGCTCCGCCGGCGCCCGCCGCGATGCCCGGCCGCGATCGCCTCTCACCCAAACCTGCGCGGCGGGGGCGGGGCCTGGCCGCCGCCTCGCCCAATCCGCCGCCCGCCTTCCCCAGCAGGGTGGGCTGCGCGCGGCCTGACTGACAGGCGGGGGAGGCGGGGCCGAGGCGCAGGGCCCCGCCCAGCGGCGGCCGCCGGCCCGCGCCGTTGCCGTGGTGACGGGAGCCGGCACAAAGGCGCGCGGGGGCAGCCCCGAGTAACCCCGCCCCCCCGCGGCCCCGCCCCATGACCCCCATAACCCCCACACGACCCCCCCATGAGCCCCCATGGCTCCCCATGGCCCCCCCCCCCCACAGCCACCCCATAGCCCCCCCATGAGCCCCCATGGCTCCCCATGGCCCCCCCCCCCATAACCCCCACACGACCCCCCCCATGAGCCCCCATGGCTCCCCATGGCCCCCCCCAGCCACCCCATAGCCCCCCATGGGCCCCCCATGGCTGCCCCATAGCTCACTCATAGCCCCCCCATGGTCCCCCATGACCCCCCCATAGCCCACCCACGGCCCCCCAGCCCCTCCTCATGACCCCGCCCATAACCCCTCCCATGCCCCCCCCGGGCCCCTCCCACGGCACCCCCCGACACCCCCATAACATCACAGCGCTCCCCCGCGGACACCCCTGACAGCCCCATGAACCACTCCCAGTAACGCCCAGTAACGCCCAGTAACGCCCAGCAGTGCCCAGTAACGCCCGGTAATGCCCAGTAACGCCCACTAACGCCCACTAACGCCCAGTAACGCCCACTAACTCCCAGTAACGCCCAGTAACGCCCAGCAGTGCCCAGTAACACCCACTAACGCCCAGTAACACCCAGTAATGCCCAGTAGTGCCCAGCAGCACCCAGCAGCACCCAGTGGTGCTCACTACAGCCCCGTAGCACCCAGTAACGCCCAGTAACGCCCAGCAGTGCCCAGTAACACCCAGTAACGCCCACTAACGCCCAGTAACACCCAGTAACGCCCAGCAGTGCCCAGTAACACCCAGTAACGCCCAGTAACGCCCAGTAATGCCCAGTAGTGCCCAGCAGTGCCCAGCAGTGCCCAGCAGCACCCGGTGGTGCTCACTACAGCCCCGTAGCACCCAGTAACGCCCAGTAACGCCCAGCAGTGCCCAGTAACGCCCAGTAACGCCCACTAACGCCCAGTAACACCCAGTAACGCCCAGCAGTGCCCAGTAACACCCAGTAACGCCCACTAACGCCCAGTAACACCCAGTAATGCCCAGTAGTGCCCAGCAGCACCCAGCAGCACCCAGTGGTGCTCACTACAGCCCCGTAGCACCCAGTAACGCCCAGTAACGCCCAGCAGTGCCCAGTAACGCTCAGTAACGCCCACTAACGCCCAGTAACACCCAGTAACGCCCAGCAGTGCCCAGTAACGCCCAGTAACACCCACTAACACCCAGTAACGCCCACTAACGCCCACTAACGCCCAGTAACGTCCATCAGTGCCCAGCACAGCCCAGCAGCACCCAGCATTTCCCAGTAACGCCCAGTAACGCCCAGCAGTGCCCAGCAGCACCCAGTGGTGCTCACTACAGCCCCGTAGTGCCCAGTAACGCCCAGTAACGCCCGGTAGCGCCCAACAGCGGGCACCCCAGCCCAGTAGCACCCAGCCGTGCCCACTATGGCCCGGTAACACCCCGTAACGCCCAGTAGCGTCCCAGTCCCGGTCCCAGATCCCGTCCCTGCCCCCGCCACCCCCCCCCCCCCTCCCCCCCCCCCCCGCTCGGGGCCTTTGGTGTTTCCTCATTTCGGGGGACGCTGGGGGTCAAGTTCGGGCCGTGTCTGCCCGGACCCCCCCATCGTGTGTCGTGTCCCCCCCCGCCCCCTGCCCCGCTCGAGCAGCTCCGTGTCCTTCTGCTGTTGGGGGCCCCCGAGCTGGCCCCAGCACTGCAGGGGGGGCTCCCCAGAGCGGAGCAGAGGGGGACAATCCCCCCCCCCCCTCCCCTGTTTGGGGGTGCCCCGACCCACGGGCAGGACCTTGCGCTTGGCCGTGTTGAGTCTCACGAGGTTGGGGCGCGCCCACCCCCGCCCCACCCCACCCAGCTCCCCGGGGGTGCCACCTCTGCCCCCCAGCCGGGGGGGGTGGGTGCTCTCCCACGC